CGTAACTGCGCTCAAACATCCTCCATCCGCGTTCAGCTTATCCCCTAAGTAGACAAAGCTTTCCACTCTTTCAATACCACCACTCAACTCCGTCCTTGCGTCCGTCCTATTAATCACACCATGAACACATTTCTTACATTTGAACGTGCCTTCCACCTTTTTCAGTGCCCCCCTCACACCACTACATCTCTTATGCACCCATTTCTGACATCCTATACACAATACCGAGTTAGCCTTCACTCTCCTGTCACATACCCCACAGGGATCTATTTTACTTATCACTCGCTCCTCACCTTCCCCACTCACTATTACCTTCGTCTTACCAATATTAACTTTTAACCCTTTCTTTTCAATAACACTTCTCCATCTGTCAAATTTTAACTGCAATTCTTCCATGCTATCAGCCATCAAGACTAAATCATCTGCATACAAAATCTCAAATAACAGCCCCTCCATTATGTTTCCACACACAACATCCATCACAATTGCAAACAGCAACGGTGATAACACTGATCCTTGATGCACTCCTACCTTAACACTAAAAGCGTCCGACATCCCCCTTCCAACCCTCACCTTTGTCTTTGCCCCTTCATACAGCTGCATCACAGCTTTAACAAGTCTCTCATTCACTCCTTTCTTTCCCAACGCCCATTCAATGACCTTCCTCGGTACTCGATCAAAAGCCTTTTCTATATCCACAAAACACATGTACAATCTTTGTTTCTTCTTTCTATAGTTCTCCTGCAACATTCTCACCATGAACAACGCATCCACCGTTTCCCTACCAGGCATAAACCCACACTGCATTTCATTAACTGTCACCATATTTCTCAACCTCCTCTCAAGCACCCTCTCCACTATCTTCATTCCGTGCTTTAGCAATTTCACACCCCTATATGACCCACAATCTCTCACATCTCCTTTGCCCTTATACAACGGCACCAACACACTGTGTCGCCAATCCTCAGGTATACCTTCATCATCAAACATACTGTTAGCAATTCTCATCATAACTTCAATTCCTATCATCCCACTCGCTTTTATATGTTCTGCCGCCACTTCCGAAACCCCTGTCGCCTTACCTAGTTTCATTTCTCTAACTGCTTTCTCTACTTCCTCCATCGTCACCTTCTCTATAAGTCCGTGTGTGACCGCAGATTCCACATCTTCATCCCACTCATTCTCTTCATTCATCAACCTTTCCATATGAGCTTTCCACACCTGAGCTTTTTCCTCCTCATCTATGCACAACTTGCCAGATCCATCCCAAACACATCCATTCCCTATAACATCTTTCCTATCCATATATATATATATATATATATATATATATATATATATATATATATATATATATCGAATCCAAAAACAGGTAAATTATATATAAGGGTGAGAATTTTCTGACCTGCTACTGCTACAGCAGTTACGGCTGGCAAATAGGAGTACCTACGTATAAAGTACAGTACACCATCTTTCACCTTGACCAAAGGTGCATTACTTTAAACACCTAACCCATTCTAGGCTGGAAGCGTTTTGTCATCACACCGCTGCTAATCAAGTAATGAAATATTTGGATCTCAACGGTTTGGTATCTCTTAATCAATCAGCTTACAGATGTTATCACTTTACCGAAACGATGTTATATTATCTGCAATTTATTCTGCAATCGATGAACAAAAATATCATTGCTGAAGCTGTTGGATATGAGCTCCACCTTTGCCCATATCAAATGTCCTAAATAGATATAACAAAATTATCAATTGCGTTTTCCATTTTATTAAAAGATGGCGCGACATATAAGGCCTCTTTAATAAATTTACTGAATAAGGAACATTATTAAAACATTTGCTTTTATTCGAGAAATATATGGTTGATGTCATAAACTTATAATATGTAATCACGTGTTTGTAGTGTGCTGTTTTTTTTACATAAATATTCAGTAAGAAATTGTTTTTTATTAATAGCCCTCAAGTTCTCTCCATAAATATCAATTAAATTTAAATGTATCTTAAGAAACTTGCTAGAAACTAGGAATGCAATGAACGGTATTGGTTACGGATTCAGATTCATCGAATCCAACGCTACAGATTCGCTAAAAACCAGATCCTTAATTATCAAATAAAGTTGAGTTTAAACTAATAATTTTATTGAAAATTTTTGACTCCAAACTGAAAATAGAAATTTTATAAACTTGTTTTTATCAATGTTAACCTTGTAACTACAGCCAAATTAATCATAAAGCACCAAATTGTTGATCGTTCTCGATCTTCTAAGTTAGGATGTAACTTGGTTTGAAATGAATTCAGTAGTAAGTACACATGCACCTTGGATCCGGATTTGGTTTCGGATCCGTCTATCACATGTAACTAACCAATTATTTTTTCACCATAAGCTATTATTTAAATGACGTCAGCATATGAATGAATAATCTTCAAGACTTCAGCTGTACTAGATAACGTTAGAGCAACATCAGAATGTTTACTATTGTACAAAAATAATAGGCTCGTTTGTATATATAATTTTCTAAATATTTTGCATCCATATATTAACCAGTCTAAAATGGTCAGTCAAAGCCTTTGTGATGCACCATATCATATGGTGCATCACAATAAAAACATGTTATTTCGTTGTTGTCTTGCAATGTTTTGTGGCTTTCAAATGAATTATGTATTTGATTTTGTTGATGTTATCAAGTTAGTTACTTGTTACTTTCAGTTTCGTTAAATTTATTGCTATAATGTTATAATATGTATGTTGTCATTGTGATGAAAGTTAATAGAAGGATCTTGAGTGGGTTATGAAAGGATCTGAATGGTATAACACGAAATAAATAAAATTATTTATTGTAAATGAGAAGAAAAGTTTATATATATATGTATGTATATATATATATATATATATATATATATATATATATATATATGTGGTAATAGACCATAATTTTTACAATATTCTATAAATTCTACCGAATGTTTAAACGAAATACAAACATATTAACGCCAAACATTATATATATATATTATATTTAGTTTTATAAGTTTATATATATATATATATATATATATATATATATATATAATGAAAATCACAGCATGTGCGGCGTGAGTTAACTTCCCATTTAACTTTTCGATTTTTCCAACGGTTGATCGTAAATCATTTTCAAGTTTCTTTAGGTGTTCAAATTGATATGCTGTGAATGTGCCCAGATGCTCAAATATATATATATTGCGCCTCTACTTTAGTGTACCGGAGATGGTATGGGAATACCGAAAAAATCTTTTCCGTTCTATCATGCATAAAATAAACAAAAATTTTGGCTTTTAATTAAAGAAACTAGAAAATAATTTACGATCAACCCTTAGAAAAATCTCAAAGTTAAATTGGAAGTTAATTAACGCCGAACATGCTGTTATTTTTATTAATAATTGCATTTCTGCCAGTCTTAATTCATTATATATATATATATATATATATATTGAAGTATAGCATTTCATATATATATATATATATATATATATATATATATATATATATATATATATTCGCCTACATTCATACATTATATATATATATATTTGTATGTGTTTACACCATGGTTTACAGTTTATATATAGTATACATAACAGACCGGCACACTTAGTTTCATAAATTCACCCATGCAGTCATTGTTTTTCTTCTTTTTAAAGATAAATATGTTGAGGAAAGCGTTAGAAGTGTTAAGAACAAAATGTTTACACACACTGACGTCCGGGAGCAGACACCGTTTAACACTTATACATTTGCATACATTCGTCAGACGAGTTATGTATGATACGCGCTATATTGAAGTATAGCATCATAGACGCGTTGCACCATAAACAGCACCTATCACTGTACATTATGTGATCGCTCTAAAGACAAAGCATTCATTTCTTTTTACATTCTTTTTAGATGGATGATCATGATTTATGCTAATCTGCAGCAAGTACATCATTTCGGCCTGTTATTCTACCATAAAACTTATTCCAATGTATTATCATGATCATCCCTGCCACTCTTCACGCCATACACACACAAACACATATTTGTTTTGATGTTCAACGATGGCCCTCTTTAAAAAACTATTTGCTCAGCTAATAAATAATAAACTCTCTCACTTAACTTTGAACCCGAAGCCGAAGATTTTAACGCGAGGACTGGACGACCAAACGAGTGGAACAGTTTGAAGTGTTCCCGCCATGTTTCATTCAATTTTTAACCGATGTCCCCGGATGACGTGACTGCATCAATTGTTAAATTGCTGGAAATTTGTACAATGCCGCACGGTGAATAGCACTGCTACAACAATAATGCTAGGTTATTCAAATATAGTAATAACACAGTACTGTTATTATTGTTATTTAAAAAACACTAAAATAAGTTTTATTATATATTGCGTCTGATAAATAACTAATTAGCGTCAAAACTTAGAAAGCTTATTCCTCGAACAGAGTTGCGTTGCATCTAGATGATGATATCTCACAATATTCTAGATTTTTCATCGCTCTTAGGTCTAATGGCTTGTTGTTAATTAGCATCAAATGTGATGAAAGAATGCGTATAAACGAGCTCGTTCCATTAAAATAACAAAAAAAACCAGCACCAACAACAATCCCACCTCGCTAACAAACTTGTGAAACTAAATGAACATTACAGAGGTTTAAAAATAGATCTACTTAACATTCTGCCAAGCAAGCGAACATTTCCTGGTGAGTTAATTTATTCGACAAATAATTTTCGGTCTCCGCCCATCTCGATTTCTATTGGCTAGCGACGGCCAATGAAAATTCAAGAATGAAAAACTTATTTGATAAAACACGCGGCAACATTCAAAGAACAAGAGTTTAAGAGTTTTTGGATCTCATTAAGAACATAATGATGAGGTTAACAGGACGATGATTCAAACCATCACCACCCAGCTCAGCAACCACAAAAACTTTCATAACATCTGCAAGAAACAACGAAACGATGTTTGCAACAAAATGGTCAACTTTTCCATTGAAACTATTTTGAAAGTCAATCGTCACAAGCAAGACAACAACATCAACAACAGTTACAACAATAACAACAACATCAACAACAACAAAGCTACTGATGAAGTCATCAACTACGACAATAAAAAGAGCAACCACAACAGCAACTTCGACGCTGGCAACAACATTATTCGGCCGGAAAATAAGAAAGCAATCAAGAGACCATGGAGTGACGGATGTGCGAACGATGAAGAAAATCATCAGCAACATTTCAAACAGACCTGCTTCCCCACAAGCAACTCAACCAACTCATCCACCACGTTGAACAGTTTCACTTCCAGTAAAGCTTACATCCACAGTAACGAACGGTGCATCCGTCCAATTTTAAATCGCCTCGATGTTGCTGGTGTTGGTGGGGTCGATGTTGGGAGTGTTGGGGGTGGCAAGTTGGAATCGAACCCCCTCTATGCATTGTACGAGATGGCAAGCACCAACGTTCCAAGAATAGAACGCACCCATCTTCTAAGTTGGTCACTTTTCATTCAAAATATTTTCATTCAGTGTTTGTTATAAAATTCTTCAATTAAAAGTATTGAGAAAATTTTGAAAAAGATATAGTTTCTGAGCCGTTGTTTCATTAGACTTTCAGCTTATTCGAGACATAAGTTAAATAGAATTGTATTACGAAAGACTCGAACCAAATTGGCAGACCTCCAATGATTTGAAAGTTGCGGTAGAGAGCAATTAGGTGCATGTTATTAACAAATAGGTTAACTGAGTACAATGAGGTACGCGTTGTTAACATATGCAGCATTTGATTGGTTACCGCCCTCCTTGGTATCCAAATTTTGTTTTGAGATGAGTGTTCAACAACATTATTTGATTTCAATGGAAGGTTGCCGTGTGATTGATTTGATGTGAGTTATGGCATGCCTCGAAACAATTACGAACGAATTACATTATATAAAAAAAAACTTTCGTACAAATGGAGCAGCGAGGAAATATGATGAGTCGTATTTCAGACCTGTCAGACGATCATGAAGAATAAAACGAGGCATTGTTCTTTTTTGTATTGCTTGTTTTGTGATTGGAAAGATTTCAAAAAATAATTAAACGAAATGGAAACTGAGGCAGATGCGCAGACGGGCCTGCCACAAACAACACTCTCCTATATTATCACTATCACCCCTTTCACCCCGTTCATCCTTGTTAAAAAAATAATATTCATCAGAAAGGTAAGTAAAAAAGTAGCTATTAGAAATATTTTGTTAGCCGGTTCAGATCAACGGGCCACACCCTTACCGGTGGGAGGAAGATTTTCAATGGCTTTTTAATTTATTTTATAAAAACTGCAAATTGTTCAAAATATTATTGTTTTCATTTATCTACAATTCACTTGCACTAACTACGACTGTATCACTAACGCAGCCAGGAAAGTGCAAGAGTGCACCTTGCAGCTCCAAACATGGGTTTAAAATATTATGTTATAATGCCACATTCATGGCTTGGAGTGGCACTGGAGTCAAATGCTTCAACCCTCCCTTATAACAATAATATTTGGATACACATCATGGTACACACATGGTACATACATGGTACATACATGGTACATACATGGTACATAAATTTATATTTTGTGATACCCTAACAATCTCAATCCACATCCAGTAAATACGTTCGGAATGTTCGATCGTTGATCAGCAAATGAAGGACGTGTCACTGCTGACGCCAACAACAACCTCATTCATTGTTCCTTTCACATTGTAGCAATTTTTTATTTCAAATCAGATAATCATTTTTAATTTTTTCCAATAATTTATAACATCTTCCCGTGCAAAAACGTCAGCTTGTATATGTTTGGACGTCTTTCACCACAATACAGAATTATTTAAAAGATGATTGTCTTCAAGTTGAATTGTTCAGTTTGTGTTGGAAATAGTTTGAACGGAACTAAACTGTTGAACGTGTCCTCACCAATCAGTACTTTCAATCAAACGTTGAAAGATGATTGTGAATTGATCTCAATTTTTAAGTCTGATTACTACATTTCTTCCTGTTGTTGAAAGCAAAACCATGCCATGTATTGCACAATTTGCACTGTGTCACTTGCGCGAAAACCACCAGGGAAGTGTTGGATTGGATTGGACTGGACAGGTTGTGTGTTATTTGTATAGAGTGAAGTGCAGTTTGGTTTTTTAGATGCTCTTAAAACTGGAAGATCGACTTTCAACGAAGAACTTCCATGCATGCTCATATTTGCAGAAATTCATTTTTAATGTTAGTGAATAGCATTTATTGAAATGCAAAAATAAAACATTTCACACAACCCCTCCAACTGAATATTGTACTAAAATATTTGAAGAGTTTAAAAATTGTAGCGATATTTTGTCAGAGATTTTTTTATGTGACGACCAACCAATAAATTCATAACTTCTTTCAGTCATTTGGCTATTTTAATTATTGGAGCTGTTAGAGCAGCGATTAATTTTCGGAATTCAGCGATGACGCCGAGACTAGGGTGGCTCATTGAATCAAGGGAGAGTGTTGATGCATGGAATGGATGGATGGATGGAGAGGAGTGCTGACGATTCTTTTATTGAGTCGCAATTAACAATTAGTATGAACGTTGCTAACTTTGCAGTCCTCAAGCGTAGTGCTAAATGGTACAGAAATTGATGACGATGACGAAGACGATGATAAAGATGGTGACGAAAGATACGATGGTGATGGTAATGATGATGATGATAATAATGATGACCTACTTGTTCTATGTACCTGCAATTAACATTTTTCTACTTCTGCATATATTGTCGTAAGTTGTTTTTTTAAATTTATAAACTATTTCATTGAATTACTACATGAAACTTTGTTTCAGCAGCTTGAATTCTGAACTTTTTTAAAACTTAAAAAATGGTGGCAAGTACCATTACGCTTGAAACAGCTTCAAACTTATAAACAATTCAATCAAAAAATTAACAAACATTTTGTGAGGTTATTTAAAAGCACTAAAACACGAAACAGCCAACAGAGTGTGTTTGAATTTGAGCTAATACGGATATGCGCCAGAAACATTACATTAGGCTACATACGTACGCATGTTGAAAGTAACGCGTGTATTGCACGTATATTTATTATAGATCTACATAGATGTATGTATATGTATGTATTTTACATGTATATATATGATATATGGTGCATGTAAGTTGCATATATTGGCATACACGCCTGCATATTGTGTCTATTAGTTCGCACCTATTAGACAAGCAACTGTCAAAACATTTGCATTGGAAGGCTGCAAAGTTAGCGATTCTAAAACGTTTCAATTTAGTTGATGTGATGAGATGTGATGCTTGGCTCGTGTAGGCCTGTGTGCGTGAGTGTGTTGTATTCTAAGTAGCTAATGCATGTGATGTGATGTAGATTCATGTGATGTTAGGAGGGGTAATGTGGTGTGACGTGATGTAATTTGGGTCTCTTGCTATATCGTGTAATGTGATTGAGTTGTTAATGTCATGTTTTGAGTTGTGATACGACTTTAGACTATGTAACGAATATGGTTCGTTCAACAGCAATGTAACAGAGTAGTGTGATGATAAAGGCATCGGCATGTGATGTAGGCAGTGCTTTCTTTGAACAGACAGGTAGAACGTGAGGGAGGAAGTTTAACGCAATGGAAGCTGAACTGTAATGAAAGTTTAAAAAAGTTGATGCTATTTGTTGCATGTTGATGTGATGTCATGTAATAAGATGTCATGTAATAAGATGTCATGCCACTCTATGAAATCTCAAAAGTCAATGTTCATAAATGTTCAGTCAGATCATAAAATGACGATTTAAAAATTTTCTTTTGAAATATTCAATTATAAATAATTTAAAAGCAAAAAATGTAAAAGTATAAAAGCGACGAATTAAGGTTCAAACTCTTGAAAGTTGATCACTCGGTGGCTAGCGCAATAGTATGAGAGAACATCGCATAACAAACAGACAGACAGAAAAAAAGGTGTAAAGTAAATAGCGAGTAGTGAGAGGAATCTCTTTAACTCGCTGTAATGAAGATGGACGTAACGTGGCTGTTCATGTTAGCAAACGTTTTCTTCATTGAGTGATTTATGAATGATAAATAACAACACACGCGCTCCTCTCTCCATCCGTATGTTTCTCTGTCTATTTGTTTCTCTCTTTATCTGTCTAGCTATATGTCTGTTTGTTTGTATTTCCATCTTAGCAACCATCGGGTTATTCAAATGTTATCATATCGGTTCAGGATGTTGTTGTTTGTTTTGTTTGTGAGTGTGTGATGTTGTGTCTGCTTCAATGTTTGTGTTGTTCATTGTGGTGTGTGTGTGTGTTCGTCGTTGTGTTTGTTTTGTTGTGTGTTATTGCTGTTGCTTCAATCTTCCTGTTGTGGTTATCGTTGATTGTGTGGTGTGTGCTGATGTGCGTCTTGTTGATCATGGGGCTTTGGTGCTCCACATTAAGTGCTGTTCATTTTAATTTTGTTGTTTCTATTGGTTGTTTTTTTTTAAATTATTTTTATGCTTGAGATGATGTTGTTCGTATATTAATGTTCTTTTTATTGATGATTTGTGTGGACGGATGATGTTGTTTGTTTCACTGTTTGTTACGGTGGGAAGTTGTTATTAATATTGGAGTTAGTTCCGCTTTTGACGGTTATATGGTTGTTAAAACTTTACTCTCCCATTAAAAAAGCTGATTGTTTTTCATTTTTTAAATTTGGTCTTTGTTTATTTTCACAGCGATTTATTTTTTGAGTTTGATGTCTTTGTTTATTTTCACATCGATTTATTTTTTGAGTTTGATGTCTTTGTTTATTTTCACATCGATTTATTTTTTGAGTTTGATGTCTTTGTTTACGATTGAAATATTTTCATGTCGTAGCGACTGATCCATTCGTAAATTATCGCTCAATTATGGCCGTCTGTATGTTCCTTTTGCTATTCTTCGTTCTTGTTCATTTTTATTGTTTCGATTGTTTATTGCTCCAGTTTTTCAGCGCTCATTCGATCGGCGATATTAATTATGGTGCTTCTGCTGCCGTTTCTGTTGATGTTTTTGATGTTGTGTTTGTTTTTGTTGTTTTTAATGTTGTTGTTTTTAATGATGTTGTTGTTGATAATACTTTTGTGGCTGTCGTCATCGTCGTTGTTTATATATTGTCATTTGTTTGACGTGTTTAGTAAATTGTTGTTAAAAATATTTAGACCCAGTTATATTCCTGTCAGCCAGTGATGGTGTTGTACGGGCCTACATTACTATAATGATTTCATCGATAGTAATTTTATTAATTAGCAAAAGCTCTCAATAATTTTTTATATTTTAATTGATAACTTTCAAGCGTATTAATGTTCAATGCATTCAAAATCGTTTTCATTAATTTTTGTGTGTTCAATCAGACCACCGTTCGGTTTTCGATATTTATTCATACTTTTTGTTGTTGAAATATACTCACCCATTTGGTAAAATTTTCAAACTTGACTTTTAAATTAAGCGACAACAACTAAAAGTACCAGTTTTTAATGATAACTTTCAATTATTTTGCCTTGAATTGACTTCAAGAATTTGAAGAGCGACTTACAGCGGCAGGCAACCTGTGATGCTACGATGATACTACCGCGATACTACGATGCAGACCTTCCGCGTGTACCAGCAGCCACTCTGGATGGAAAGAGCAAAAAATTCGTACAACGTCAACAAATTGGGGCAAAGAGACAACTGAGAAACAAAACGTGAGCGGTTATGCAGCTTCCAGCGTTCCATCTTTGGGTAGAACTCAATTGAGCATCTATTCATCCATTTCAGTACAAGTTTTACTCGAGTACTACTTGAGTACCAATTTTAAGTACTTGCATTCGTACTTGTACCTTTTATTTATTTCACAATGTACTCCTACTTGTACTTGAAATTCTTCAACTACAACGTGCAAGTACTTTACAAAAATTAACAAAATTATGGTTAAAAATTTTATGGAGACTGATGTTTTGTTTGGAGATTTTGGCCATTTTTCCAAATTGGGCTAGGTCACAATTGAGCCAGATTTAAGATTTGAGCAGAATATTTTTTGTCATCCAAATTTTAATACGCACGTTTTAAACGGCCATGCACGTAGATTGAGAAATTTGTTTTTCAAAATGGGTCAACGTGTGGAGCACATGCGTGCATAATCACACACGTTTTTATTATGCATGCGAGTCTTAAGGTATGTTTGTTCTCACGTGTCTGTTTGTATCTGATAGTATATACGAAAATCGGTTAAGAGGTATTAATTCAATTTTTATTTCATTCAAGTTAATTTATTGATGGCGATGTAATGCAACAAGGTTTTATGCTGGGTTTGAGACAAACTGTAAAGCCACAGTTGCAATTTATAATAAAATGGTGAAGAAACAAATACTACCTACTAACTATTATCATAATTTCTTGTATCATCTTCAACATCCTGGTTATTATCAACTAGATTTATGTTTTAAACCTTGATAGTATTTTTACAAATCGTCAAAGACAATTATTATAGTTAGATGAATGTTTATTGCAATATGACATCAGGCCAAACACATTCAATCACAAAACATCATTCATTACACACACCAATATTCAGCTTTAATGCAATAAGTCAAACACATCTCAAAACGTCATATTTACACATTATCACATCAAAACATCTAATGTCATCATATCACAAACCATCGTCACATCATCTCATCAGGTACATCCTATCATCTCTCAACATGGTCATCATCATCTTATCATCTCTACATATTTTTATATCATCAGATCACAACACATCTTGATGTTCTCATATCATCACAATATCACAAAACATCACATCATCACAACATCACAACAAATCGTATCAGCCAGTTCGTGTTAAACTAACGAAACAAAACGCGAGGAGCTGATTTAAAATGCTTGTGGGCGGTTCGATATGTTGAACCCAGCTGATAGAAAATAATTAGCAGGCGAACAAGCAGCAGTCAGTACATAAAAAAACTTTTGTTCGTCGGTGTCATGTGTTCGACCGTGTGATGTCAATCAGATGTGTGTGTGTGTGTGTGATGTGTTTGTTTGTTTGTGTGTGGTGTGATGTGTTGTTTGTGTGGTGATGTGCGTGATGATGTGGTATGCGTGTTAAAATAAATATAAATAAATAATGGACTTAAACGTAAGTTAAATGTATGGTTATGTGATTGATAACCTGACTGGTAATGTGATGGTGTAATATGTGATATATAGGGTGATGTGGTGATGGTGATATGATGATTATGTGATTTGTGGTGGTGGTGCGATGATGTGCGCAAGAATGTGGGGTGTGCTACGATGTGTGTGATGACGTGGTGTGATGATGATGATGATGTGTGGTTTGGTGGTGGTAATGTGGTACGATGAGTGGAGGGTGGTGTGCTATATGATTAGTAGTTGTGGTAATGTGCTTGCGATATGATATGTTTTGTAACATGTAACATGGTAGGTGTGCTCTCTTGATTGCTTTGTAACCACATATCACAAGCTATAATTTGCTATTAACTTTTTAATATTTTTATTTTTTTTTTTGTTAAGGTGAGATAAGTCAACTTCAACTGTTGATAATATTTGATATATTTTTTGTATGGTTCTTTTTAATTGTTCTCACTCTTCAGTTGGTTCGTTTCATTTGAAATGTTCTTATAAATTAGTACCTCACAAAAAAAGAAGAATAGATATATGCAAATTAAAATTTATTTCTGCATTCTGTTGTGCTTCGTGTTTGTAGATTTGTATAGCGCCTCTCATTTGCAGACTTCAAAAACGCTAACTTTGACACAGATTGTTAAAAACGGTTTTTCGACGTTTCTTAAAGACATCAGCTCTCCTTGTTGTTTTGAACGCTTCAGATCTGCGAGTGGTGCAGGATTTGTTCGCCGACACAACGTGCAACTTCACTTCTTGTATTTGGATCAGTGCTGTATAAAATGATAAAATGTCATGGGGACTGCCTACCTTCACGGATGGAAACAGCTGCAGTGCTCGCGATGAACAAGCATGGAGGAGCAAGTTTTGAATCCTGTGGAACGTCGCCACTCAATTCTGGAAAGCCATTTTCACCAAAACTGGCTAGAAGCGTTTTGTGGATCAAAGACACTAGAGACAACTTCAAAACATTTTAACTGATTGGACAGCAAAGGTTCATGAGCCGCTTTGTGTGAAAAATGTTGGACTTGCATCTAAATGTGTGAGCATCTGAAAGTGTGAGCGGTGAGACTTGACCAGGGTTGAATGATGGGATGATTTTTCTTTAGAGATGTAGTTGAAAAACAATTTACACAATTTTTAAACAAACTTATAATCAAAATTTTTTCAAAAAGGTATATTTTAAAAAATAACTAAGTTAATATTGAACATATTTTAATAAAAATCATAAAAATTTTTTTAATTCTTGCTGCAAACTACGTGAATGTAAACATAAAATACAACGTTAATAACAAGCACAAAAAGAGAACGTGGATATGAAATGCATCTTGATTTTGTAACTCACATTCAACGTTCAGCGTGAACTCAAATTTGAATTGAAAGCACTGTTGTACAGCGTATCAAATTCGATGATTTCAGATTACATGTTTGCGCCTAGGAGTCTCCTGTTTCACAACTCCAACATAACTTCCAACTCAGCAGCCACAAATTACGTCAAACACTTTTTCAAGAAGAGGAGGAAGACGAGGACAGCATTCACCCACCACCAACTCCTCCAGCTGGAAAACAGATTCCGCCACCAGAAGTATCTGACGCCTGTCGATCGAGATGAGATTGCCTCCCAGCTCAACCTCTCAAATTCGCAGGTATAATATTACGTGTCGCGTGATGAAGTGATTTAAGCATTTGTAATAACAATAACAATAAATGCTGATGACTTTCCTGCTGATGTTGCGAGGATAAGAAATTTCGTGTGAAAATTTTTGCAATTGTCATTATGATTTTTATGGTGATGACATTATTATTAGGGTCGATCTACTATGTTCATAAGTGTTACATTACAGTACACATTTCATTAATTTATAATATAAATGCAGAAATTGATTTGTTTGTTCGCGTTAGCTTGCATCAATTTTATCAATAATTTTTAAATTAAGAACATTTATCACCAAGCAAAGGGGCTGTCCATAGAGGATGTTACGCTTTTTTGACCCCCCTCGCCCGTGTCACAAACTGTCACAAATCGACCAACCCCCCAAAATAAGCATTTCACTAAACTTTACCCCCACCCTCTTAGTGATGGGTTATTAAACAATGTAATTGTTCTATACATTTTATTTTTTATTAATATCAAAATAACGAATGACAAGTTTATAAGACGATAATTTGATATCTAAAGGCTTTACCGTAGTTAAAATATAATGAATAAATATTAACTTCTACACTTACACAGCGGTAAACTTAACATTGGCATTTAAATTTGACTCCTCCTTTAATTAATATTCATGAGCTATTTGCACGCGTGAAAACTTTAGTATTCATTTATGCGCATATATATGAAAGAAAATTTATTTATTGTTTTGTTTAATTAAAAAAGGAAGTCACACTTGCGTGTACCTCCCTTCCCCCTCGTCACAAAGTGTCACAAATATTTGGACCCCCCCTTGAAGCGTGACATCCTTTAGGGACGGCCCTAAACCAATAACACATTCAAAAACCAAACCAATCTTGAAGACGATTTTTACATTCTTAATTCCTGTTAAAAACTCTTATGCTTAATCGACGTTTATTTTTCTGGTCCTTTTCTCTGGAACTTTTTACCTCCTATTCTGCCAACTTCTCCATCACTTGCGAAGTTCAGAGCAGATTTCAAGACCCATCTGTTTGTTAAATTTATCGAGGAGTGCTGTTGAACATCGCGCAAATGGCGCTTAATAAACTGATTGAGTGATTAATTAATTGATTGATTGATTGAGCCTTCAAATAATGACATCCAATAATGACTCAGTTAATTTTTCCAGTTTTTAAATTTTTTTAAATTTTAGGTTTTATTACGTCCGTCAATTTACATTATATTTTAAAAATGGAATTTTGTTTACGAAGTTTCTGCTAAAGTCCGAGCAACTCGTTTGAATGAAAGTATATAGGAGTCATTTTATTTCAATCCACGTTTCAGTGAAACATTTCAGATCTGTGGAGCACAGTGCTTGAGAAAACGAAATGTTTGCTTCAGGGCCGGTTTAAGCTTTACGCATGCCCTAGACAAAGTAGCGAATTTGGACTCAACTTTTTTCAAATAAATTGCTACTGAAAAATGATTATCAGTGTTAAATATCAACTACAGTTTTTATTCATTTTTGTTTTATTAAATGCCATACCTATTTAACTTAATTCAATATTACAAATTACACGAATTTTTATCTGATTTTTTGAGTTAATTCATTGGCCTGACCCGAAAGCATCTGCGTTAGTTATCTTCACCCACAATCTCCGATGTTCTTGCTTCCATAGAGTTTGTTATGAAAAGAACGTGATAATGCAACACCAGAAAAAATGTTATGTAAACTCTCTTAGCCGTATAAAATTTCTCAAATAAATTTTAACGCGCTGTAACGCGTTCTCTAATGCTACCTACACCTAGAGCTCAATGCGAATAGCTTGATTGTAGTTCTTACTTGCGTAACGCATCCGCGGTTGCGGACGACAAATCCACACAAACTTTTTGCGGTTTGCGGATTTTGCTAATGCGGTTTGCCGCCAAGTTGTTTCCAAAATTTGTTTTTAAAACCACCCGCAATATTGAGTTTTTGAATGAAACAAAAATTTTTTTAAATTAAATTTTCTTCTTTTTTGTTTCCTCCAAAATTAAATCTCTCCTTTGACACAATTTGAAAAATGCAATAGTAGATTTGTAGGAAGCAATTGCGTTTTGCCGAAAAGGTCAATCTTTTATCGTTACATTTTTCTATCTCACACCTGAAACTAATATTAAGAATTACGTTTTTTTAAAGTGATAAACGTTTCGGTCTAAAGTGATAAACTTGTCCAACTTCGTTATAAAAAAAAACTCAGACAAGTGTCGTTGCTCTATTAACTTTCTCACAACTTTTGACCAAAGACGCAAAATCATGACATTTGTGCTACTAACAGTTGCTCGGATGCTTCAACACCGATGCAACTTGGCCGTTCTTAAAACGTTCGTGACAAATTCCACTCGTGAATTGATTAGAAATTTGTCGCTTTGTTCATCTGCCAATGAAATTGTTACATTAATATAGAAGTATTGAAAATATTTCCAACCCTAACCCACGCACACGTTACGAGAAATAAGCACACGTAGACACATATATCAACACAGACACCACTCACACACACACACACACACACAGGTGATCACGTGGTTTCAAAACAGAAGGGCCAAGTTAAAAAGGGACTTGGAGGAATTAAAGGCGGATGTGAAGGCGGCAAAGTCGTTGGTCAACTCACCGATCGACAACTTTTCACATTTAGAAAAATTATTCAAAGTCAACGAAGGACTAAAAGATGAATGAATGATTTGAAATCGTGCGAACGTTTCACTGTTCATTTAATTTCATGGATGAATGTGCGTCAGTTGAACTGGTTAATTGTACATAGTCGTTTTGAGTGACACTCGTCAATGTTTGTTAATATCATTTTCAATTTATCGTGATTTTTCATTCATTAATTTTTTATATTCCCCTAAAAATTGTAATTAAATTACTTTTAATAATTACTTTTGTAATTGTGGTTTCACGGTGACGACGAGCATTGTCAGCGAGCGAGTGGCCGTGGAGTTCCCGCGCTTAATTAAAATGGAATTCTCGCCTTGCTTTTTATTGGAAGTAATAATATCGAAAATAATAATGTCCAAAAGTACGTGCCGTTCGTGTGTGTTGGGTTTCAAAATGAATGAATGAATAAATGAATGGATGAATGAATTAGTAAGTTAATTGGGTGTTTCCATGAATAATTAGCTAGAGTTTGAAGTAAAAGATGCAAGATAACATCATTGAAAATAAAAATTTAATGTTGAAATATTCAATCTGCGTAACAGTGTCCATAGAAACAGATCGTTCTGAAATTTGCAATAGTTATTTTCGGAAGGTCGAACCATCAAATGAAGCTTTATTTTAAACGATCATTTAACCGTCATGCTATACTTTGACACATTTGTATATGTATGTGTGCAGTGCATGCATGCATACGTGCGAGCCTGTATGTATGTATGTATGACTGTATGAACAAATTTATGTACGTGTATGTATGAATGTATCTATGTATGTATGTATGTGAGTGCATATGATGATGTTGTATACAGAGTACTATAGCATACAGACAGACACACCGCAGTTCTGATGCATTGTAGATGTGGTGCTTGCAATCAAGAGAGGCTTCCGACGTTGCATATCTTGATGAAGAGGGGGAGGTTGTTGTTCTTCAGGGCCTCCCTGCACCCACCCACCACCTCCATCTTGTGCCTGCCGCCTGAAACAACAATACATCCCCACACACTATATGCACGAATCCCAGGTTAATGCATTTAAATTAGCAGGCCTTCGCTGGCATTGCACGAAATAATGGCCTCACATCATCAAATTACATCAAAACTTCAGAAAAATCAACGGAACACAATATTTCATCACGCAACCCTGACGTAGACAGAACCGCTTACAGGTCAGCCCTGTATTTCAACTTTCGAGCCACAAGGACTGCACCATCCACACCACACAACCTACATCTACATTTCGCATGCGCGCGCAGGCACTGCTTCTTACGCGCATGAGTTTTGGACCAACAGTATTCGAACCAGGCCATTGCGTAACTGCACGAGACATGGCACTTCTACCGACTGAGCTAACTCGCCAACCTTTATTAATAATAATTTAATGAAATGACAAGGCGGCAGAGCTTACATCTGAGTTTGGAGAACTTCTGAATGAGGACGTTGATGTTCTTCATGATGTTTCTGATCTCGTGCTGGTTGTTCTTCTTCCTCTGGAACGTGCCGACCATCTCCCTGTTCATGTTCATCAGCGCCTTGTAGTTCTCCTTCATGGACCTCCTGGTCATCAGAGGACAGGCAACAACAAATTCAATCCATGCTGCATCATCTACCATCAGTTACGTTATAACCAACAGCTTAAACAGAAATGGCCATAAATGTTAAACAGTTCAAAACATGAGATAGACGCATGGAAAATGGCTTAACGAGGCAAAACGTCTTTAATTTTACAAAGAAACACAACAAAATAGCTTTTAGACGGCGCGTCAACCAGAGCAGCAACACCAACATCAACAACAACAACACCATCAACAACAACACCACCATCAACTCAACAAAAACATCAACACCATCAACATCAACAACAACAACAACAACACCATCAATATCAACACCATCAATATCAACACCACCATCAACATCAACACCACCATCAACAACAACACCACCATCAACATCAACACCACCATCAACAACAACATCAACACCAGCAACATCATCAACAACAACAACAACAACGACGAACGTATCGTGAAGAGCTCTGGAATCTTCTGCCTTCAAGACGAGTGTGAGGATGATGTTCGTGCTGTCCAGCATGTCCGAGGTCAACTTATCTTTCGTGTTCTCGTATTCTTTTATCTGTCATCATCATCATCGTCGTCATCATCATTATCATCATCATTTCTGTCATCATCGTCATCACCAGTTTTTATCATCATCATTGTCATCGTCATCGTCCTAACATTAACATCATCATCAAACTCATCACCACCATCATCACCACCATCACAATCATCGTCAAATAAAAACAAAAATGAAACCCCCCACAAAAGAGAAAAGTAGCGTCTAACTAACGAAAAGAAAGGCTTGCTGGATGCTGTCGATCTCGAGTGGGAAGTTGGCTGTGGAGGGGAGGTGTTGGAGGTGGAGGAAGGTGCTGAGGTGCTGGATGATGTTGCCCGCCACCTCTATGTCGTCCGTCTCAATGGTCAGCTGTTCCGGCGGATGTGTGTTGGTGGTGGTGGTGGACCAACAATATTGATGGTGGTGGCGTTTGTGTCGATAGTGGTGGTGGCCGAACGTAATTGATGGTGGTAGGAGATGAAAAGAATGAGATAGACAACAACAACAACCAACAACAACAACAACAATAATAACAACAACAATAATAGAAATCCGAATGCCAACCTTGCCAGAGTCGTTGGCGTAGATGATGAGGGGGGAGGAGTCCTTCAGTGAAATGAACTGCACGCGGAGTTCCGACGTCTGACACGTTAGGTCTTCTTGCAGCAGAAAGTTCTGGTTCAACCACAGGCAGATCTGTGCAGTTTACGGGGGTGGTGATGATGAAGATGCTGATGATGGTGGTTGTGGTGACGATGGTGATAATGGAGTGATGATGGTGGTTGTAGAGATGATGGTGGTTGTGGTGATGATGGTGGTTGTGGTGACGATGGTGATAATGGAGTGATGGTGGTTGTAGAGATGATGGTGGTTGTGGTGATGATGGTGGTTTTGGTGATGATAGTGGTGATGATGGAGTAATGATGTTAATTGTAGTGGCGATAATGATGATGATGTGATGATGGCAGTAACGTAGATAGTGATCATTGTGGTGGTGGTGGTGGTGGTAGCGATGACGGAGGTGGTGGGGGTAGCGGCAATGGTGATGATGGTGGAAAGAGAAGAGATGGTGATCAAAATAATATGAGAAAATGTTTGACGTAAACAATGAATAATGTAGCTAGAGATCACAATGCCTAATGAGTTAGTGGTAGTAGCTGTGGCCAGTATTATTATTGTATATAGCTTATGAGAGGATAGAAACATACGAGCAGCATAAAAACAATTGAAGTAACAACGTGAGAACAACAACAACAATGACCACGCCACACCACACCACGCCACACCACACTACACCACACCACGCCACGCCACATCAAACTAGCTGGCACACATCAATGTCCGACAAGAGTATGAAATCAGAATGTTAAAAGTACAACAACAACAGAAAACTGGCATTCAGTGCCTGGATGGAGAATGCAGCAGAGATACCAAGGGACATAAATACAGAGACACGCACAATAATAAACTGACATCAGCAAACAAACTAATAAACGTACGAACGAACGAACGTACAAACGAACGAACAAACAAACAAACAAGCATAACCAAAAATGTGCAAATAGATGTAAAAATCATTCAGCAAACACATAAAAATACATCAAACAAACGAACGAACGAGCGAACGAACAAACGAACGATTAAAACACATCAGAACAGAACAAAAGAGAAGAGAAGAGCAGAGCAACCCTGTTGATCCTCTCATTGACGGTCATGTGGACGGAGGACCTGGGTGTGGGCAGTTGGACGTGGCCGACCTGCAGGTACGAACTGAAGCATGGCAGACTCCTCTCCAACTCAAACACGTGCAGCTGTTCACTAGGGGCGAGGTCATATGATGATGATGATGATCATCGTCATCATCATCAGAAAGTAATGACGTGACGATAGTGGTGATGTCATGAGGATCAGAATGTGACGATGGTGGTGATGTCAGGATGGTGGTGATGTGATGATGATGATGTTAAAGGTTACTCTCTCTTTTTGCGCTTGCTTCAGAGGTTTCAACGACAAACACACACAGCGTACGCGAGAAAACCACGCATCATACACATTGCATATGAGAGGCGGGGATCTCTTTGTATTCGAACCCAGTCACTGCAGCAGCAAGACCAGGCACCTATAAGCATTGAGCCATCACGCCGTGATGATGATGATGATGTGATGATGGTGGTGATATGATGATGGTGATGTGATAATGATGATAGTGGTGATGTGATGATGGTGGTGATGTGATGATGGAGGTGAAGTGATGATGATGATGATGCTGTGATGATGATGATGTGATGATGATGATCAAAATGTGATGGTAGTGGTGTTGATGTGGTGTTGGTGTTGATGGTGATGATGATAGTGGTGGCAAATCTAGACAACTTTGATGGGGGGGCTAGATTTAAATAATATTTGACAATCGGAGAGGGAGAATTTCCGAAAACAAGGTTGATGACCGAGAGGGGAAAAAAAACTTGTTGACAGGGTGGGTGGGGGAATGGAATTTGTTTCGAAAATTTGACAGAGGGTGCTAAAATTTTCACGAGGAACCCAATTATTTTGTTAATGGGCTTATAATGTCAATTCTTCCTTCAAAAACAAAACTTGATCAGTTAAAACAATAACTTTTCCGAACTTTTACCATAAATGACGCTCCCGACGGCCAACCCTGAATCCGACACTGGATGGCAGTGATGTTTTTTGGGCAAATATTATAAAACCCAACAATGCGGTCAGAGAGGGAAGAAGAAGAGTTCATTTTATTTGATTTAAAATATAAGCTCCTTGAAAATAAACTATGAGGGTGTTTAATGCTCAATAAGCCCGATAGTCCGACAAACGTTGTAACACGTGATCTTATTTGACTGAGTTGAAGAGAATTCTTACGAAGAAGTCTTGATCCAGGATGACCAGGCTGGTTTCGGGACTACGTGCCCGCATTGGGATGCAGTAAGTTAAATATGACCAGATTGGAAAGTAATATAACGCAACATAACTGGGAAATCTAGCTCTGAGATGGTAAATTCATCCCAAGTTTTTTGAAATTGTTCTAGAAACAAATTGAACATGACCGGACCATGACAGTGTAGAATTGTTGAAAACTCGAAGAAGTTTGAGTGAATGAACTCGACATGCATTGACATTATTAATGGTAATATTTAGTTTAAGGAGATAAGTTGGACACATCGTGAGGATGGCCGAAAAATGTCAACACAACACAACAGCCCCCAACATAAAAACTAACAAACTACAACAGTAACAATGACAGATAAAATAAAACTACACAACAACAACAACGATTATACAAAAAACACAACAACAACAAAATAGCAATCCACTCAACACGTTTTCAACTGCCCTGCAAATCCTACCACCACCTTTGGCGCACCCAGTGATTGGTTGTGGCTCGATTCATGGGTATTTAACATATGTAAAGGCACCAGACAGGCGAGCTACAACTACTACAATAACAACATCAACAACAACAACAATAAACAACAACAAAATAACAACATCAGCACAACAACAACAACCACATCAACAACAACAACACAACAACAACAATAAACAACAACAACCAACTGACCAGTGCCTGTATCCAACGAAGACCTTGACGTACAGCTGCACAGTGCCATCCTTCGGTGGATACAACGGGACGGTCACGTGGGAGCTCAGCTGGTGAGCTGCAGGGTGGCTGGTGGTGGTGTGATGATGATATAGCGATGATGTGGTGGTGGTGAGGTGAGGAATGATTACGACGACTACGATGATGATGACGTGGTGATGGTCATGTGATTAATATCGTTGATGATGATGATGGTGGTGATGGTGACGATAATGATGAAGATGTGATTCGTGGTATGGGGTCAACCTCATTGCTTGCATTTTTATATTAGCGGCGATGGTGGTTAAGTGTCGGGTTTAGATATTAATTTTTGTTAGAATTAGTTCGATATGATCATTAAAGTTAAGTTTATTGTCGATGCATACACCCAGAAGTTTAAAGCTGTCAACTTTTGTTATGCTCTGTTCATTATTTTCCTCGGTGTTCAATTTTAAAGTTATGTTATGCATCGGTGTATTTCTTTTATTTGGAACAATCATGAATTTTGTTTTTTTTAAGTTGACAGAGAGTTTATTTAATTTAGACCACTTTTCCATTTTAGAGAGAAATGTTTCAGTTTTGTGAATTAAATCAGGCATGTTATTTGAATTTGCGCACATAGTGCAGTCATCTGCATAGATGATTAGATCTATATCTGAGTTAAGATGTACATTAACTATGTCATTTATGTATATATTGAAAAGAAGTGGTCCGAGGACACTACCTTGTGGAACTCCGCTTAAAATTGGTAGTTTGTTAGAGTTTTTATTTTTTATTGTAACATATTGTAGACGGTTTTCTAGATATGTTTTTATAAGATTTAGTGGCAAGCTCCTAATTCCATAGTGCTCTAATTTATATAATAAAATGTCATGTTGGATTGAATCAAATGCTTTTGAGAAGTCTATAAATAATAATAAGTTGTGTAGGCCTTTACTAACATTTTGAATGACGTTGTTATGGAGTTTTAATAGGGCCATTTCCGTGGATAAACCAGAGCGAAACCCAAATTGTTGTTCAGTAATAATTTTATGTTGTTTTAAAAAAGATTCAAATCTATTTTTAATAATTTTTCCATACATTTTAGAAAAAATTGGTACTAGACTAATTGGTCTATAATTTGATATTTCAGTTTTTGACCCAGATTTGTGAATAGGGATAATTTTTGAAATTTTTAAGCAGCCAGGAAAAATACCTAAATTCATTGATTTATTGAAAAGGAATGTTAAGATGTTACATATAGATGATGGTAATATAAATTTAATGATTTTGTTTAAATATTAAAATTGTCCATACTTTTTGAGTTGGAAAAGGAAGAAGCTATCATATATATTTCAATTTCATTTGTTGAGTTAAGGAAACATGAAGAGGGGTTTGGTTTATTCATATAAATTTTCAAGTTTGGATCAGATGGTGTTGGCTTACTAAAGATACTGGTAAAATATTTGTTAAATGAATTAGCAATATTTTGATGATCATCTAATATTTGATTATTTAAAACTATTGTAGAAATATATGAATTTATTTCTTTATTTATTAGTGTGCTTATATCTTTCCAAGTGTTTTTTATATTATGGATATTGTTTTTAAAAGAGTTTTCATAGTATTTTTTTTGGCAAATTTTATTGTATTGTTGACTAAATTACGATATGTTTTATAATTGTTTTCATTATTTTCTGATTTATTTTTTTAAATTTATGAAAAAGTCTGTTTTTTTTTCTTAATCATTAGTTTGATTTCTTGAGTGATCCAGGGTTGGGATTGTTTATTGTTTTTTATATTTGTTTATCACGTTCAGTTTTTGGTCGATTCAATTCTACCTAAAACCGTCCTTTTTCTGACTTTTATTAAAAACTGTTCACAACGAAGGGAGCAGTGCCCCCGACCCCATCCCTAGATCCGCCACTGATGATGATAATGATGATGGATGTAATGATAATAGCGATGCTGATCGAATGGATCTGATGATGACCTGATAATAAAAATGATGACGGTGACTGTGTAAGAATGAATGTACTCACATGCAATAACTCTCTCCATTGAAACAACCTTCAGCAAATACTATTGCACATCTGATGATCGTGTCTGGTGTGTGTGCGTGTGTGTGTGTATGTGTGTGTGTGTAGGGTGCGTGTGTGTGTGTATGTGTGTGTGTAGGGTGCGTGTGTGTGTTTTGCTGTGTATGTGAATGTGTTGTGCGTGCTGCAGCCAGCTATACTGATGCAAGTTGGAGATCGTCAATTAATACCAATAAGTCCAACTTTTAGTAATTCGACAAAGAGAGCGCGAATCTCAACAGATCGCACCACTTCTGCCTGTGGACAGAGATGTTCGAATCGGAACTTGGCCACTCCCACGCACTCTACCATCACTCTCCCTCGCAGTCACTTTTAGTAATGCAATTTTTTTTTTCAAATTTTTATATCCTCTATTCCTCCATTTGTTTTGTATTCGTCCATCCATCCCAATTAGTTCATCTTCTATCCGTACGTCCATTCATCCATCTCTACATCCATCCATCCATCCATTCATCCTCCCATTCGTCCATCTGGTCATCCAACCAACCATTCAACTATCCATAAATTCACCCATTCATTCATTCATTTATTCATTCATTCATTCATTTGTTCGATCATTCATTCATTCATTCATTCATTCATTCATTCATTCATTCATTCATTCATTCATTCATTCACTCGTTCACTCGTTCGTTCGTTCATTCGTTCGTTCATTCATTCATTCATTAGTTCGTTCGTTCGTTCATCGTTCATTCATTCATTCATTCATTCATTCATTCATTCATTCATTCATTCATTCATTCATTCATTCATTCATTCATTCATTCATTCATTCATTCATTCATTCATTCATTCATCCAGATACCATTGTTAGTGGATAGACTGAGTTCAACTGTTCCCTGCATAAATCAACATACAACAATCCAAACAACACTCAACAATCCAAACAACACTCAACAATTCAAACAACACTCAACAATCCAAACAACACACAATGCTTATCATTCCACAGAGATATAGTAACGTGCAACAGAACATCATAACCACGCACACACACACACACACACACACACACACACACACACACATACACACATTTACAGAGGAACGCACCTTGCTACTGTCATCAACTGGATCGGCGATGTAGAGCTGGGAGAGAACCTGCGTGTTGGCCTGTGCAAGTAAGTGGTCAGTGATGTATGTGTGTGTGTATGTGTGTGTGTGTGTGAGTGAGTGTATGTGTGTGTGTGTGTGAGTGAGTGTATGTGTGTGTGAGTGTACGTGTGTGTGAGTGTATGTGAGTGTGTGTATGTGTAGCCAGTGTAAATGAAGGAATAATAAAAAAAATGAAGTGTGTTTAACATCATAAACACGTCAACATCATCATCTTATTATGATCACTATCAGCACCATCACCACAGCAGTAAGCATTAGAGCAATACAAATCAAATTAATAATTTTTAAAGCAAACAAACAAATGAGAACAAGAGCAGACCGATGCAAGCAAATGCAAACAATTAAGAATGAATGCGAGTGAATAAAAAGCAACAAAACAAAACCTACGTACTGGTATTGTCGAGGTGGTCGACTTGTTGGACTTGCTGGGCGATGGATGTTCCTGGCGCTTCTTCTGTATGCTCCTCTCGTAATTCTTCAACTCCAACAACAGAGTCTGCATGCAACCATACAACATGACCTCACCACAACGGCATGGTCTGTTGGCAACTACGTAACATGGCGTCAGATCCAGAAACAACAACACGATGCAGACATAAAATCATCCTAACAACCAACCAACCAACATCGCAACGTCAAAACTGACATTAAAAACATCGAAACACCACAATCACATCACAGCCTTACAACGCAATGACCTAATTTCATGAAACCAAAACAACACAACAGCACAACTTCACAATACAACAAATTGGAAGGCGCCAACGAACAGTCTTCTTCCTGTTGAGTTCCTGCAAGAGTTCTTGCGACGGGTTGATTGTTGTTGTTGTTGTTCTCATTGATAGATCACCAGTGACGTCATGTGAGTAGGCAGTGATGCTCCCATCTGCACAACAACACATCAACAACTCGTTGCCATCCTGCTTATAGTCAGCCTGACGAATGCAGTAAGAGCGGTGAAACAAGAGAAAAAAAACATTAGCAACAACATTGAAAATATTAACAACATCAAACAAAACAAACAGCAAAACTCTCTATATACTCAAACAGCGAAAAATTTGTTTAGCAAAGAAGATGAAAGCGCCAACGTGGAACAGAACCGACTGACTCACCGATCAACCAACCAACTGACTATTCAACCAGCCAACCGACGTGTTGACAAGCCAACCAACTAGCCATTCAAATAACCCACCAACCAACCAACTAACTAGCGAACTAACCAGGTGCCATTCCCCAGCCCTCCAACTTAAAAAATGGGGCTGCAATTAGGTATGGAGTTAGTGCCGGTTAAAGCTATGCCATGTGCCAAGGCATTATTATATAGTTTGCGTATATGATGTGGTGATTGGCGCGTTTTCACGCACACCTAGTTTAAAGCGCTGTTGAACGTTGCGGAAACTGTGCGTATAAATAATCAGAGTTTCGTTTTCTTGTATTTGGCTGTTTCAAGGTTAAGAAATAGCGTTACGCTTTTACCACTTTGGAAAAAAGCACTGTACTAAAGAGCGTTAGACCTAGCGGCTTTTGGGAGGCTAGTATTTCCCGAACTTTAGAAACCAGCGCTTAAGAAAGAACACTAACATAGCACTAAGGATAGTGCAGATTTCAAGTCTCTAGCGGCATTTGGGGAGCTACCATTTCCCTAGCCTTCCAGCTACACATCTTAAGGGGACCAGCCCTAACAAAAATTGGCACGGCACTAAAGGACACTAGCATAGTGCATAGTGAAAATTTTGAGTCTTTAGCAGCCCTTTCGAAAACGTCTTTCCTGAGCCACCCCCGACCCTATCCATTTTGGAGGACTAGCATTAACAAAATTTAATACGGCATTAAACAGCATTAACGAAGCACTAACGATATCGTGAACTTCCAATCTCTACAGGCATTTGGGGAGCTGTCATTTCCTGAGCCCCTCGGGGGATCAGCACTAACGAAGGCACTTACGGCACTAACGATACTGAGAATTTTAAGTCTCTAGTGGCATTTTTGGGGCTAGCATGTCCCGAGCCTCCCAACTGTACTCCATACAAGGGACCAGCACTAACGAAAATAAATACGGCACTAACGGAGCACTAACTCCACACCTAATTGCAGCCCCATTTTTCAAGTTGGGAGGCTGGGAAAACAGAACACAACTAACATTCAAATAACCAATCAAACAACCAGCCAATCAACCAACTATTCAAATAACCGACCAACCAACTAAGCACTCGGCAATCAACCAACCAATCACCAACTAACCAACCGACCGACCAACCTACCTTAACAATGCCAGATATTGGATGCAGAAGGTTCTCTTTGAAGATGGTTTCCCCAGTCTTCAGGTCACGTGCATCCACCTTCAAATGTTATCATCATCATCAAGATTGCTTGCATTATTGAATATAATACGCATCGCACCCACTTTTTAGTAATCATTTTGAAAAAACTCTGAATGATGTCCTAATAAGAAGGAGCATTCTTTCAAGGTTGAATAAAAAATTCTCATCATGAATCAGTTGAAAATAACCTAACAAATAACCTAACCAACATGCGTGATGTGTGTTGGGTGTCTAGCGTTGTTGCTTTTGTAAACTTTTTATTTACACCAGCCTCTTTTAAACGCAAACAAACAAACAAACTGCTCTGAAATTTAAATTCAGAAATTTGACAAGAAGCACATGTTAGCAAGCGTATGGGCATACAGTGCGGCTCAAAATGGTAGGAACGGTAAATTTTTTTGATTTTTTTTCAAAACCATTGGTCCAAATTAAATAAAATGTGATTGTCAACCTTGCCATTGCTCCATCCAGTGATCAGTTCATCCACACCATCTCCATTCACATCGAAGCTCGTCATGACGTCTGGAATGTGCTTCGACTGTATGCATGGATGTGAATTGATTCATAAATGATGGGTAGATGCATAAATAAATAGGTGGAAGGGTGGATGGGTGAATGGATGGATAGATGGATGGATAAATAGATAGATAGATGAATGGATATACGGATGAAGAGATGAATGAAAAGATGGGTAAATGGATAGATAGATGTACAGACGGATGAATAGATCGATGAATGGATTAAATAGATGGATAAATAAATAGGATAGGTGGATGGATAAATGCCGCAGAGGCTATATTAGGCCGAATAAAAATTCGACATCAATTAAAACATGTTATTTTTTAATTTCATCTGTGAATAAAATTTGAAAATATTTAAATTCCTCATCTGGATTCTTCCATCGAAGCAATCGTGTATTCATCCTTCCGACCGACCAAGAAATAGTAAATTAATACAACAGTCCATGCATGTAGAAACTTATGGACCAATCTTCCAACAGAGTCATTCATTTAATCATAAATTAAATAAAATCAACTAAATGTGATTGAAGATGTGAAACATAATGTTGTAAACTTTAACGCTCGTAACCACCGACACCAGTGTTATTAACATACATATTCATACCTGACAATAACATAACAAAAATATTTCAAAATGATCCAAGAAGACTAAGTCTGTGACAGGACCACTCTGAAACTTTTTTTAATATCCTATTTTGGCCAAGCTTGCTTCAAAGTTATTAGTTGTTTCTGCGCATACTATTTCATCTCCCAGCTTTTCCCACTCGTTGACATCTCTGTAGCCAAAAATTTTTAGTGGCGTGTTTCCAAGTTTGTATACGTTTTCCTTGTTTTTCGCTCCCATATGAATGACTGCGCATTTTTCGGTGTTGAATACCATCTGCCAATATTCAGCCCATTTGCTTAGTTTTTGCAGATCGCATTCTAAAATTTCAATATCTTCATCGTTGTCTACAACAGCCCATAATTTAGTTTAGTGACATCTACAAATTTTGAAATTTTAGAATTTATTCCTAGATCAATATCATTAATGCATATTACATATAGCAAAGGTCCCAATACGGATCCTTGAGGAACCCCACTTGTAACATTGCTCCGGTTTAAAAAGTTTTCACCAATACCAAATTAAAAATCAACTTAAGTGTGTTTCCTGTGATTCCACTTGCCTCTAATTTTAAAACTAAACGTTTATGTGGTACCTTATAGAAAGCCTTATCAAAATCTAAGTACACAATATCCACTGCTTTCTTTTCGTCCAAATTTTCATAAACCTCTTCAGAAAAGTCAAGTAAATTTGTTAGGCACGAACGCTTATCTATAAATTCATGTTGGCTCTTGTATATGATATTATTTTTTGCCAAGTGGTCCACATTATCGTTTTAATTATTCTTTCGAGTATCTTGCATACAATGCTTGTCAAGCTAATTGGTCTATTCTTGGGTCACAACGATTTCCTTCCTTGAAAAGTGGCATTATGATTGCATATTTCAAATCTGATGGTATTTCACCCGTTGCCACGATATATTAAAAAGTGTTAACAGTGCTTCCGCAATGTCCTCTCTCATATTTTTCAGAAATGCTGGATTGAGGCCGTCTCTTCCGGGGCTTTTATCTTGTTTTAGTCTTTGCAGTTCATCGACTATCTGTTGTTTCGTGATTGTAGCATCATCTACGACAATCATTTCATTTCCATTAAAGTTTTTGGCAAAGATGTAAAAATCTCCCTTATAAATACAGAACTAAAATAAAAATCAAGTATGTCTGACATTCTTTGGTGGTCATCAGTAACTTCAATGATCTCTATTCCCTCCCATTTTGTTTGTCATTCCCGATTTCCTCCCGATTCCCATTCCCGTCCATCATTCCCGGTTCCCGAATAATGATTCCCTATTCCCTAAAATTCCCATTCCCGAAAATTATTTTTTACCAATTCCCATGGAAATCCCATGGGAACGCATGAGATTTCCGCAATTCTCATTCCCATGCTCACCTCTACTTCGCAGTAACCTCGCTATTCGCAACCCCTTATATAGCCTCTACAGTAGATTTTTTTACAATCCTGTATGGTATGAAAATATTCTAAAGTTTATAATGACAAATATCGAGGATAACAAATATAACAAGATAACAATAATTAATTATATAGCGTAATTCGATCATTCCCGCTGTTAAGACAATAATTTCCATTTGACTTTTCAATCTATCCGTCCAATAACTTGAAACTGCAAACCACGCATACATACTAATGCACACATGCATACTAATGCACACATGCATGCACCCCATACAAACATGCACACACACACACCAATGCACCTTGATCCTCCACTCCCTATCCTGACGATTGTACAATCCGACAGTCCCATTGATCAATGAGTACGCGAACGTGCAGTCGTTCAGTGCATAAATGTTGTTAACTGCCTGTGTTGTTGTGTGTGCAGATGTGTTTATGTTGTTGGTTATTGTGTGATAGTGAAGTACTGATTTTTTTACTTAAATGTTCGTTTATGTTTGCGTGCTTGTTCGTGTTTGCATGTTCGTTAATGTTTGCTTGTTCGTTCATGTTTGCATGTTCATATTTGCGAGCGCACACGCTCACACCCACAAACAAACAAACATACACACAACAACATCAACACACACAGAGCAGAGACTCACACGTACACACACACAAAACACACAAATGTTATATATTTTTAAACAATAATGGTTAAAAAATGTCACCATCGCAAACACAGTCGTCACGTGAGAACAGCTGACGTTGACGCACCTCGTTCTCGGAGATCTCAGCAAAGATTTCATCCTTCTTGAATATCCTGATGTCGTAATCTTCAGAGCCGACCAGCAGCTGGCGTCATAATCATGAGTTTTGCATAATTATATCAAAATGTATTTAACGCATCAGGTTAATAACGTCTGAAACAAGCCGGATCATTTTTATAAACAACTTAGAATCAGTTAGAGTATTGGAACAAAATCATCTTATTATAATAATAACCATCACCATAATCATTATCACCACCATCATCATCGTCGTCATCATCATACCTCCATCTTTGAGTCCCCATCGAAGTCCATGAGAGCAAGTGACGTCACATTATCACCAGTCACCTGATGAAGACCAATCGGTTACATAATTATTTAATTGAATAATTAAAAAAATGTGGTTGTCACCCCGCAACATACAACTTCATAACGAAAATTTACTGACATCTTTTAAACTGTTCTTAACTATTAAATGCTGAAAGACAAAAAAGATATAAAACAAATTTTTATATTAGGATCAAATAAACATTCAACGAAAACGCAACAGACAAATAACATGGTTTTGTAAAACAGGAGACTAATGAATATATATCTTTGATAGACACAGACAGACAGACAGAGGTGCAGTACCGTCCAGAAGCAATCGTTTCCTTGATAGTCAAACCCTTGTATGGAGCAGTTGCCTCCGACGACCACCATCTCATCATCCATCAGACCCATCCTTCCAATCACGATCACATTCGATCCATCAGCCACCTGTCCATGTTGCCCATAGAAAGTTAAAAAATATATTTACAAAATATAATCACTCTCATAAAATTCATTTAAAAAAACTTCCTCAAATCCTCAGCAAATGAAAAATTTGGAAAATTTAAAACAAAGAAAGGAACAGACATCTTTGTGAAAAAGATCTTGGTTGTTGTAGACATCGTAGGCCAGAAGATTAGTTTGAGTGCCGACGAACAAAATGTCATGCCGACAATCTCGGCCCAATATTCCTGACGTCAGACAGCTGATTGTCTGGTTGATGTTCAGCAGATTGACATTGCTTCTGAGGGCACTATCGTTTCTGACTGAACTGGAGTTGTGGATGAAGACCTTTCGAATGAAATTATTCCGATATTTGATGTTTTCATAAATTGAAATATGAATATCTGACATCTTCAAAATGGAAATATGAATATTTGATGTCTATGAAATGATGACATCTTATGAATAAATTAAAATAGCACAACATCATTTCAATTAAATTTTATAAAAAATCTATAAAATCTATATAACTAACTCCTAATTTTAGATTATAAAGCTAACATCTTTTAAATTAATCATTTAAATAATTTTTAATTAAGAACATTTTTTTAACTTTTCATAACAAATCAACAAACGACTCAATCGCTTAATTTTTTAAAATAAACTTATTGCGTTGAATAAAAATAGCTTGCAAAATTCACACAATTATTATTATTAAATATCACATATATATATGCTGGTAAATTTCTCAATATTTCTAACCAAATACTTGTCATCGTTACTTATTTTATTAAAGTTAGATTAATATACAATTTTCCAATTCATTCTCGAGTGTACAGGACCTATTTCGATTTTTCAATCATTTTTTATATAAACTGCAACAAGTGCTGAAGATAAATTTGGTTAGAAATATTGGAAAATGTAACATAAAACTATCCAACGCTATAAATTCGGTAGATTTCATAAATTACTGCATTAATTATTGTCTTTTACCAGAATATATATATTTATATATATATATATATATATAACATATATATATATATATATATATTATATATATACACCTATTATCAATACAACTACAACTTTGCCGTGAAGTGTGGAGAAATTGCTCAATGCCGACTGAGTGGAACTATAGCACGACAGTTCCACTATACAAAGACAAAGGTGATCCATTGAACTGCTCATCATATCGGGGTATACGTCTGTTAGAACACTCCCTAAAAATTGTCGAGAAAATCATTGAGAAAAGATTAACGTCGTGCATCACAATAAGAAATTATCAATTTGGTTTCCTAGCGGGGAAATCAACAATTGAAGCAATTCACATCCTTCGGCAACAGCAAGAGAAGTACCTCGAAAAGCATCAACAACTATCACACATTTTTGTAGACTTTGAAAAAGCATTTGATCGAGTTCCCCGTGAAGCAATCAGGTGGAGTCTACGTCAACAACTAATTCCAGAATATCTTGTTCGACTTGTGATGGAAATATATACGAATACTAAGACTCTCGTCAGCACAACGATTGAAAACACAGATGCATTTGACATCGGCGTTGGAGTTCACTAAGGCTCGATTCTCAGTTCACTGTTATTTATAACTGTGATGGAAGAAATCACAAAACCGATACGCACTGGTGACATTTGAAATCTAATATATGCTGATTATATCGTTTTAACAGCCACGTCTGAGCAGAATGCAGCACAGATGTTTGAAGATTGGAACACCAGACTAGCCGATCATGGATTCAAAGTCAACATCAGCAAAACCAAAGCAATGAACACTGGTGAACCCAATCCACAGCTACTGGACGATGGCCATGTTCAGTTTGTAAAGCTGTTGTAGGTAACAATTCAATCAAGTGTCCGCAGTGGAACCACTGGTGTCACAAACGTTGTTCTAAAATAATTGGTACTTTATCTAAAGTGTCCAATTTTGTTTGTCCTGCTTGCATCAATCCACAAAAACAAATTCAAATTAGCAATGTTTTTGAAGCCATTAAGGTAGAGAAACTCACATCGTTTCAATATCTAGGGGATGTTCTGGATTGTACTGGAACAGCTGAAGCTGCCGTTCAAACACACATACGTGCAGCCTGGAATAAACGGCATCTCCTTGCCTCTATGTTGATGCGGCGTGACATCCCACTACCATTACGATCAAGACTTTATAAATCTGTGATACGTCCGGTGTTGTTATATGGTGTAGAAACATAACCAATGACAACCAAACTGGAACAACAACTTCAACGAACCGACATGAAAATGCTCCGATGGATGCAACGAATTAGTCTGAAAGACCACATCAAATCTACCGAAATCCTGCGTCGTGTTGGTTTAGATGATATAAAGGACGAATGCCTGCAACACCGTCTGCGGTGGTTTGGTCATGTCAAACGAAGTGGAAACAGTGCCATAACTTCTTTTGCAGATGTTGAAGTACCTGGCACATGTCCCAAAGGCCGTCCAAAGAAGTCCTGGTCGCAAACAATTGAGCAAGACATGAAAGCTCTAAATTTAAATAAAATGGATACAACTGATCGTCTAATTTGGCTTAAAAAATTGATGGCAAAGAAAACAACGTCCTAACTCGGAAAACTGGATCTCTGAAAACTTAACAAAGATTGATTGATTGATTGATTATGGGCCAACCCTTATTCACCTCCCCATCCAACACAGGGCAAGACCTCGGAAGTCTTGACCAGACTGATGTCCGTGCTTACAACTGGTGATAATGTCGAGGAGAAGTTGATTCGTGAGTAGTTTTTCTTGCTCTTTAATATTTTGAGGGTTGCTGCGACGTGAATGACATCTGACGACGATAAAATTAAAAATGTTGATTACTGCCGTAGACATGCTGCACAAGGGTGACGTCATAAAGGTATATCCAGGTGAGAAGATCCCCGTGGATGGAGTGGTAGTGGCAGGGTCGTCCAGCTGTGACGAATCGCTCATCACCGGCGAGTCCATGCCTATCATATTTATCATACTTGCACTCTTATGTAAATGACAAGCATCGATGAATACTTTTAACATTTATTATTATTTAACAGAATATTTTTATTGTATGTTTTTTAAGGATGAAATAAAATTCGTTTCCATTGTTATTATTATTATTAATGTTGTTATTATTATTTTTATTATTTAATCATTCTTATTCTTATTCCTTATCAATGCATATCAAAAACTAATAATTTTATCATCAAACATTGTTTTGACTTTATTTCAAATCTTTAAAAAAAGGGAACAATGATATTTCTTCTATGCCACATTAAAAAATTAAATTTTAAATTAAAACATGATTTATAATATAAAAGAAAATCCTCTGATTGTTTCCAGAAAGTCACGAAAGTTGAAATTTTTGTGTTTCTAAGAGAAAAACATAACAGAAAAGAAGAAAATATTCATCTAATAAATTTAATTGAACAAATGTCCATGCACAAATAAACAAAACATACAATACAATACTGCATACATAGAGAATCATTGAAATATTAGAATTAGAAGGCAAGCCCAAGAGTCAACAAGCATAAACATCACACAAACACTTAAAGCGCACTCATACGCACACAAGCAAACAGACAAGCACGCACAGACAGACAAACATAAATAAAAATTGAAATGAAAAGAAAATGGAATTGTAATTAAAATTATTTTAATTAAATTATTGAATTGAAATTTGAATTGAAACCTTATCACTTGTCGTTGATCCAGCCAGCGAGATATTTTTGTTGTCAAACCTACCAACGCAAATTTGTTTCAGCTTTATTTTGTGGCCAACATTCAACGAGAAGATCGGTACAATCATTTTTTTTACGTAAAAATAAAACAAAAATTTGAGCCACCAACGTCACCAATGGTAACCAGCGGTACGACTAAAAATCAACTCATGTGTAATCAAGCTTTAAATAATATTTTCATCGCATTCAATTTCTTCATCGACATTAGTCGCTCGAGTCGCTCTATCAAACTAGAATGCCTAATTATATACATACATGTCATATATGGTTAAAAGGGTTGAAAAAAAGTTAAAGGTCTATTCTATTACACTCTTCCTAAGCTCAGAAGAATCAACAACGTCATATATCTTGAACAACATACAAACATCTTATATAAATAGATGCTAAACGACGCATCAAACACGAAGCACGTGTTAGGAGGGGATCTTTTTGTCATATTCGAACCCGGTCACTGCATACACTGCAAAAGAGGATTAAGCGACTTTTATCACTAGCTGGGCGACGTGATGGCCTAGTGGTTAAGGTGTAATGACCGGGTTCGATTCGATTATGACAAGTTCCTCGCCTATCCCATCCTTCGTATGTGATGCGTCGTTTAGCCCGTATTCATATACGTATGTATACATATTTGTAGCGTGTTGCTGATTCTTCTGAACATAAGAAGAGTGTAATTGACCTTTAACCTTTTTTAACTAGACCATCACTTCGCCCATATGGGTATTGTCGAACATATAAAAATGTATTTTAAAATTTTGTTCAAGTATTAGAGTTTACACGTATTTGTTAAAATAATATTTGACAATTAAAGCATAATAATCGGACATTTTATCTTGTATATTGAAGCTAAAAGATGGTGACGTCTCCCTCTATTTTTGCTCTCGCAAAGGCGGTGCTCGTTACTAATCATTCCTTAAGAACTTATCAGCTTTATTATATTTATATTAATTCAAACTTCTCCCACCAATGATGGCGGTCATAAAAGAGGTGTGAGCAGCAAGCGTCATTTGGTCTGTTTCAATGTGATGGTTGTCATCGCATATGCAATGCATTTTAATGAACGGACTACACAGTCACATTCGAGTTCGCAAGGAGGAGAAATCGTTTCTCGAGACGTAAAAGGCCATGCAAATAAATAATAATAAGAGCATTTATATGGCATTAATTCGCACCGTTGCTTCAGAGGCGCCTGGAGTCTGCATGCATGTTCTTAAAATACGAATCTTAAGTCAATTTTTGAAAAAACTCAGCGAAGAACCTCGTCTCACTTTGACAGTAGATATGTGTTTGTTAAAAGTTAGATATTTGTCAAATGCGAATCCGAGTAAGATAAGTGAGTTCAAGATTGGTAGATTAGATCCAGTAGTGCATCGGATTTACGAGGGTTGAGATAAAGTTTAAGTTGTTTAATACTAATGCAACTTGCTTGTACAATCACGTAAAATGCAAAGTATGTGAACCAGATTATTCAAAGTGACAGGTATTTGCAGGTGCGTGTCATTGGCATAATGATGGAAATAATATGTCGCCAAAAGGAGAAACATAGGTATTAAAAAAGATGGAGACGAGAACGGAGTCTTGAGGGACTTCGGTGCTAATAAAACAAGCAGAAGAAGTGCATTCACAAGTTTTATGAATTGTTTTCTGGGATCCATTCCAATTCACCCAATGCCCCCAATTTCTGCCAAAGTCAGTTAAAAAGGATCGGATGAGTTGTAGTGTCAAAGACAGTCAAAAAGCCAAACCATAGTGATTGCTTTTTGATTGCCATATTCGTTAAAAACATCATCGACGTGCAAAAACGCAGTTTCAGAAGAATAGTGGGAGCGGTTGGCAAATTGAAATATTGGAAAGTTCAAGTGGTTTTTTTGAAAATAAGAATACGTTTGATATAGGGCGATAGTTGGTCAGGTTGTCTGGGTCAAAGGTTAATTTCTTCAGTAATGGTAGGATATAACCATTTTTGTAGAGTGATGCATAGCGTGCTGTGTTGATGGCTGAATTAGCCAGCTTCACCAGCGTAGGTGCTAAGATGGACGAGAACTTTAATATAAAGTGGGGATGGGATCTAGAAGTGACGTTTTATTCTACAGAAATAAAATTAATTTTATCATCTACTCAATATATTTAAAATATAAAACTAAGGCATATACTTAGAATACCAAGACATTTTAAAAATTAAAAAAATTGTTCATTCAACTAATCATGCGCAGGTTAGTTAGACAGCAGCAAGTTTTTAAAAGTAAATTTTTTTGACATAAATATTTTATTTTATCCGCTCCTAACTTAAAACTAAATAAAACAAGAAGGGTAGAAACTCTAACTTTTATTTCCGAACGCACGACCGATATTTAAACTTGTAATTGATATTCGCGAAGAGTGAAAAAAAAACAGACAGACCCGGTTTAGTATTTATTATCATTTATTTTTATTAAGTTAAAAGTTAATTAATAATTTAATAATAACTTAATTATTAAGTCATTAAGACATTAAAAGTGTAATCACTAACCTCTGTAATGTAATCTAATCTCTCATCTATTCTTGTTAAATTGGCATTCACAAAAAGGTTATTATTTTATTAAAAATTAAATATCAAAGTTGAAATGTAACCCTGCTTTTAAAATTTTTCAAACTAAAACTATTTTAAAATTTAATTTTAAATAAATCTAAAAAATTATAAAACTTATAAAATTTAAAATTCATATACTATACTATACTTTGTACTTTAAGTAACATAGCAATGACGTTGATTTAGAGTTTTAGACTGAAACTAACTAAAAAATTTTAAATTATTTTTATCACTATTTATAAAAATTTAAATACCAGATAGAAATAATTTTTTAAATCTGTCTATGATTTGTTCTATTAAACATTAAAGGATTCATCATCATAAAGGACATAAAGTTTTAAAATTAAGCTAATTTTTATCATAAAATAAATAATCATTCAGTCAGTTATATGTTTATTGCTCCAAAATCATTTGAGTTATATGTTTATTGCTCCAAAGACTTTTATTGGTAGTTAATTCATTGTTAATGATGCCAATAGTTTGTTTTTTGAAACCAGTACTCTGAGTAAAATTAAAATGTCAAAAAATTTGCTTCCAAATGAAACTCCTAATTATTATATAAACCAGCTTACCATAAAAAAAGTTTAAAAAACTGTTGAGAACTTAACATCTGACTATTTTAAAATTGTTCATAAATATAAGTTCATCAATGAACAGTGCCTAGCTGTTGTATTAAATAATTTATGAATTTAGTTGTGTGAGGTCTGCGATATAGTACACTGTCAAACTTTGCACAAAATGAAAAGAGTTACTATCTTATATGTATTGTAAGATTATAGAAAATAATTGAATAAATTATTATCAGTTGCAGATTTTGAAGATGACATTACCGAAAGGAACAGCAGAACGCGAAATAGTCAATAGAGTGTCTGGTTTATTACCTCAGTTTGAAGATATGTTTGATGAGGAAAGTTTTTACATATTTGTGATTGTTCTCGTTACACTGACTGTAACCTGCGCTTTCATTGCCTCGAGGTTCATTGTCATCAAAGATGCTGGTCACCTGGATTAAATACAACTCATTACTAATTTTATTGTTTAGCTGTTGAGAATGACAAGAAGTTATTTATAATTTTACTAACATTTTTCTAGTCGTTATTTATTTATCTGTTTGTACATACATGCAGAATTATTCGTTTTTTAAATTATACAAATTTTGTTATTTTAAATAATTTATGAATTTATTTACAAATTGAATGTGTCAATATGACAAAACATCACATTTAAAAAAATTGTTGTGTGTCAAGTGTTCAACTGATGGCTGTTGTTGTCAGGCACATTGAAAACGTCTGAATCATTTGGAATCTTCTGAGTGTAAATTGAAATGATATTTGTATGATGCTTCAAAATAAAATTAAAAATAAAAATTGCAGTTTGTTCCAGCATAGTAAGCAAATAAATTATCACCTAAATATACATATGAAAGTTTTAAAAATGACAACTAAAACTCAACCTGGATATATTCATTCATAATCACGTTTTGCTGGTTGATGAAATAATCAGCTGTTAATTAAATAAAAATTAATCTTAGCATATTTATTATCATTGAATTGAGTTTAAAAATAAACAAATGTTAGATGACAATCTAGCACATCGGCCTTCTAACTATCGGCCGACTATTGTAACTAACTAAACAAACCTAATTATTTTCTTTGCCAAGCAAAATGATATCATTTGTAAAAGCCGATTAAACTGAGGAGAACAATGGAATAAGTTAAAAAAGCGTGACTTGATTAAATAAGACACAACTTGATGGACTTTAATTTGTTATAGTTACAATTTTATGAATAAATACTGCTGAACAACGGGTGATCGAATAGCGTGCTATAACCGTATTTAGACAAAAATTTACAGACATTTGAACTTTATTTTTATTCTACATCAATATTGTAAATAAATTGCTCCGATAATAAATAATTTAACTTCTCAAATTAAATTTAAATTGAGGTGAAACTATTAAAAGGAATCAGAGAAGAGAAACATTTTTCTACTTGATTGTGCTGCATGAATACAGTCGGGTGGTTATGTGGAGTTAGCCAGCCCTATCTAGATGGCTTGTTTGATTTAAAAACCAAATTTGCATGAAAATTCAGCTCAAGTATTCCTAAACTTTTGATAATAAAAATAAATAATATGAAGGTACGAAGTGTACCTGATGAGGTTAATTGACTGGATGGATGTTCCCCAGATAGCACATCTTCCGTATAGCATGGCCTTTTAGGTGCGACAAGAACTATGAGTAAATGAAATTCAATAAAAATTAAAGTAAAATAGATAATTTCAAACTATATTTTCTACACATAAATATCTTATTGTGAGTTGAAAGAAGTCAGAATGAAGTTAGCAAGACAAATGAAGTGTTGTCAGCATTGTAACTTGATAACAGTTACCATTACAAAGATTGATAGAGACACAACTTTAAAACTGTTATCAGGAATGCCAAAGTGCTTTCTCAACGTTCACCACATGAACAATTTTGAAATATACAATTTAGGTTAATAAATATTTATAAAAACATATTTGACAACAAATTTGATGACATTTTAGAAACAAAACGTGTGAGGAGATGCTCTAGATGGAGAGGAGATGATCTAGTTCTTTAACAAAGAGCCAAGAAACAAGATATTATAAAATCTGTGGTGCAGAATTCAAATGAATCTTGTCCTGCAGAAACTGACTAGAGTCAGAAAATTCAATTCAAACCTGCTATAATGACTTTTGAGCTTTAATTCTTATTCCTTATTTTGCCTTTTACATACACAATAGTGTATCTCTTTGTTACATAGAAGATCAAGTAATATTTATTGCTTCAAACAACCACTTTTCAAGTACATTGAATGCCAGTGTCATTCAGTTATTCAATCTTAATATTGCTTTTGATGTAAGAAAAAAAGGTTTACATTTATGTATTTTTCAAAATTTACAATATAAATTTTTCTCAAAAAAAACCTTATACCGTCAAAAAAGTTCTGCCCAACATAAAAAAATCAATTAAAAATAATTTCAACAGAAATGAATGATTAAAAGGTATTGAACATTTGGTACTTGGTTTATTTAGCTTCCTATGGTTTCTTTTTCTGAGATCAATTGGCGAAGGAAGGTTGGGGTAGGCTGTAAAAAAGTTCAGCAATTGAAACTTGTGCATCAACCGAAGCTTGTACAAACCAATCATAAAAAATACAACAACTAAAATATAAGCAACAACAAAACAACCAAAATATATGCAACAACCAAAACTTGTGCCACAAGCAATTAATAAAAAATTGTTTGGTACAGATTTAATGAAATGTTGTGTATGAAAATTTTCTGTTAGAAATGTTTAATCACACTAACCAATAAAATTTTTAAATAACATAAGCAGATAACACCTGGTCAGAAAATTATCTATCTAATACATTAAATAAGAATAATGCCATCATCAAGCAGGCAGTCAACTTCATCATGTTTAAAAAGTATTTTTGTAACAAACAGTTCTTGTGTTGCTTCAGTTATCACTTTAGAAGTGCTACATTAAGTCCATTTAATCAAAACTAAATAACGTTGTGGCTAATTAATCATCATCCTCTTCCCCATCTCTAAGGTAATTACCCCAGCCTATGATGTCAATCATTCTTTCATCTGGGTCTCATAATTGACATTCAGAAATCCATATATGTATAACAACTATTTTCAAATTACATTATTGCTGTCACTACAACAATCATGAATGATACCTTATGCTTTAATTCTGTTCAAACAATTTTGTCCAATTATAAAAACTTCCAATAATTACAATAGACAACTGACTTGTATAACAAACAATAATTATGTTAATACATCCTGACCCAATGTTTCTGGATGGGAAGATGTGGTAGGTCTACCAAGAGACACCTGTTCATCCATCACATCATCACTATTCACTTCTTTTCGAGGACAGGCTTCCAACTGCCTTGAACTCTCTAATTCCTAATACAAAATATTAACACATTTCTAGTTGTGTCAGTGACAAAAAGAAACAAGTACTGGCAATGGTTTCTCCAAACTTATGGGCACCAAAAACAATGAAATAAAACAGGGAAAATAAAATAAACCTCTTTAACGCCAGTATAAGCAGCATTTGCATTCAAAGTAAAATGCTCTTCATCTTTAGAATCACTTCTCTTTGTTGATCCTAAAGTTCGTTTGAGGTTGTTCTTGTGTTGGTCGGTTGTGAAGGCCTTCTCACTGATGCATGCTTCAATCAGGGCTTTGGCTTCTGCACTTTCAATCATTGGTTTCAACTTTTTTGTGGCGAATGTGTAAACATGACCCGTTTCACTGGCCACCAACAACATCAACTGAGTGCCAGTCAATTTGGCAAGTTCATATGCCTGGATGTGTGTTATTGTGATGGTGAATATGCGTATATAATGTATATATTTGAGACACACCAAAGGTTTGGCTTGGCCGAACATTAGGCTAAAATTTGACTTTAGACTTAAAATTTTTAAAGTTTTGAATATCACTGAGGTATTGAGAGTGGACACAGACATTAATAAATAATAAATAAATAAAGAAATAAATATTGAAAATAAATAAGAAATGTCATTTGTAAAGTGCCAGTGCAAGCAACAGGGGTGCCCCCAAAACCAAGAAATTCACAATTAACCATGGCGATATGAGACCAGTGATAAGAAACAAATAATAAAAACAAACTTAAATTAAAATTGTAATTGTTGTTGAATTAATGTAATAGAAATTAAAAGCAGCATGCAAAAATATATAATTATTATCAATTAAAAGCTAAATTGAAATAAATAGTTTTTAAAATAGATTTAATTTAAAACCACAGAGGGAGCTGTAATTTGTGATGTCTGAGGGCCAAGAATTCCAGACATTTAGAGATGAGTTAAATGTTAAAGTTATGATGACCAAAGAAACATATTTTTAGAAAATTCTAGAAGAAATAAATAAATCAATATGAACGGCTTAATTTCGTTTAATTTATTAATGTTTGAATGTTATATGTTTTAAAAAGTGACTGTTATCTATCATTAGAACAAAATTTTAAAATGTCAAACAAGTCAACCTTTTTCATTATTCCAGTTTTTCTTTTACTGAATGTGGTGTATCTTCTAACTTTATCTTTGATGAATTCCATTTTTATTCTTACTCGACCCCTTGTTTTTTTGCCTGGCTTTATTGAACAGTCATTTGTTGAATCATCCCAGCAGTCATTGTCCTCGCCAGATGATGATTCATTTCCTCTTTTACTGTCTAACTCTTCTCCTCCACATGAATACACTAATTTTGTTTCATTTACAAATCGAAGTTCACTGCCTTTTAACTGTGATAGCATTTGAGATTCTTCACATGAAGACAGAGAATCCATTTTTTGACTTTAAAATTTAAATTTTAATAGTCTCAAAATTTTAACAATTGTTTCTTTACCAAGTATAATATAAAGTTAGGAAGCAATATTAAATATTATATAAAGTTGAGTTGTTGATTAATCTCTCCTTTAAAAATTTTAAATTAGAACTCTTATTCATTCACTTCATGCTCACAAAGACTAATTAACTTTTTAAAATAAATAATATATTATTAAATAATTAATATAACAATTAATTAAAAAAAGTGTTATAAGTTAAAAAATTTAACTTAATTTATTATATGCTTTATTTTATAATTATTTATTTATCTAATAAATAAATAATTATAAAATAAAGCTAATAATAAAATAAAATTATTAATACTTTATTATTCATTAATTTAATTATAATAAAATAAAAATACTGTTTTTTAAAATACATACAAAATAATGTTATAAAATATAAGATAACTGATAAAAAGGTAGCACTCCGGAAATAATAATTATTTTAATGTTAATCTTAATAATCATTATGAAAATAACAAATGAAATGAGGATAAGCGACATCTAGCGGCACGTTTAAATTAAAAGATGCCATTTAATTAGATCAAACCGTCTGCACGGGAACTTCCTGTCAGTAGAATGCAAATAAAGAGGGCAGACGAAAGCACCGTCCACACGAAAAAGTTTCGCTCCTGTACTTTTTGGTTACGTAAGTCAACACGTCAATGAACAAGATTTCAAATAGATCAAATTATTGAAAGGTATGGAGCAACAAATTAAAAGACAAATGTATCTATATCTTCTTTTTTATCTTCTTTTATTTTAAATCTTTGATTTGTAAACGAAACAAAATTAATGTATTCATATAAAGGAAAAAAGTTAGACGTTATGTAATTTTAATTAAAGATGCTTTAACGTAAAGGATAATGATTTTAATTTTATTTTTGTTTCAAGCAAAATCTTACATCAAAAATTACTTTTTATTCAAAAGCAGCAAGTATCGTTTTATTTTCGCACGATAAGTAGTAGTAGTAATGCTGTTCTGGAGGTTATACAGAGAGCATACTGTCAGGCATGCTAGCACAGCTGATTCGTTGATTGATTGTTGTTCATCCAACAATCAATGTTTGCTTTAAATTTGTTCATTGATTGTGCATAAACAAGTTCATTTGATAATGAGTTCCAAATATTTGCGACTCCATTGAATAAGTATGATAGTTCTCTCTGCCTCTACGTCTTGTTAACTCTTTAAAATATTTCAAACTGTGACCTCGCGTTTTGGTTGTGACAATGCTAAAACGATTATTTAAATCAACTTTGTCAAAATTAAACATGATTTTAAGCAACTGAATCAAATCTCCTCTTTTTCTTCTTTCCACCAAGGTTGTTAATCTAATTTTTTAAGACGATCTTCGTAAGCTAGGTTTTTATAAATGGAATCAACTTTGTTGCTCTGTGCTGGACTATTTCGATTACCTTGCTATCACCCTTTAGATTTGGGGACCAAACTGATACTGCAAACTCCAACAGTGGACAAATAAAAGTTAGGTATAAATTACAAATAAACTTATAATCAAATTTCCCAAAAGATTTTTTTATTCGACCAAGCATTTGGTTTGCTTTGTTTGATGCTGTGATGACTTGATTTTTCCATTTTAAGTTATTTGAAAAAACCACTCCAAGATCTCTCTCGGATTCAGATTCAGCAAGAAGTATTCCATTTTTGAAGCAAATAAAATATATCGTATCGTATCGTATCGTATCATTTATATACAGTAGACATTTTTATTAGTATCCGTAGTGCATAACAGAGCATCGTAGAAGCCAGTCTTGCGACCATTTAAATGCCTCATTCAAATCAGATTGAAGTTCAACAACATCGTCATCTGACGATATTGCTTTTATGATTTTGGTATCATCTGTAAAGAGTTTTGTTGTATTTTTTAGTTTGTTGGTAAGTCACTGATGTAGAGAATGAAAAGTAGACTCTACTCTTCATTAAATATATGATTCTGCTCTACTCAGTAGAGGACCAATAACAGAGCCCTGAGGAACACCACTAAAAATTTCAGCCCAGTCAGAAATAGTTTCACCTTGGACAATTCTTTGTCTTCCGTTTTTAAGAAACGATTCAATCCATTTATTCCATATGCAACGCCACAACATTGTTAAACTGTTTAATATAAGCAACAGGGCTAACACTGTAGAGACGTTTCCGCTTCTTTGCCGTTAACAAACCTTTAGATCAGTGCTCCGCAGTGGTCCGCGGGCCAGTGCCTCCCCGTGGAGCAGCAAGGGCCTGTCCGCTACGAGCAGATTTTGAAAAATGCTTAACCAAATTTTGTCTCAGATCTGACCCGCAACGCCATAAAATTCATTATATATTACTGGCCTGCGTATGTATGACCTAGAACTACCACTACCAATCTTGATGAGTTAAGTATGTGTGTAGACCTGGTCAGCCATTTAAAAATAAGTGATTGTTTCAATACTTAAGATGAGTATGCAAATGAGGACGCAAACACTGATTTATCACGAGTTAAAATTGTTGTTAAGAAGAGCGGAACGGCTGTTTAAACACGCGGCTACAATACTTAAGCATAAATATTGTTCTAGATTGGTTTGAACAAATAAATGTCGCAATTGATAAAAATTCACTGAAAACAACAAAAAATATTGATTATAAAAGTAAGACTAGTTTTTTCAAATTTCATATAATTTTAATCGTGTTAAAACCGTTTGTTGAAAATGAAAGTACCTACATTTCTATCTTGCTGAAAATGAATTATTCTGTTGGAATTAAGAATAATTTGACCGTTAGAGTGGAAAATAAGCATTTGGAGCTTGTCGCTGACCAAGCGTTGAAAATGCAGTTTGAAAACTCATCTTCATTCGCCGCTTTCTTAATAGGCATAAGGGTCAGAAAACCCGGAGCTCACGGGGCAACAAAAACTATTCTCCTGCTTCCTTTCACCTACATAAGTGAAGTCGGGTTTTTTCATGCATGACTGTGATAAAAGCCAAATATAGAAGCTGTTTGGATGTTTGTTCGCCACTAATCACTGACTTTCGACTCTCCCAGCTATGTTTTCAACTATTGCCTTACAATGTAATAAATAATCACCCACAACGTTATTATAAAACAAAAACAGTTTGTAAAACATTTGAGATCAATTAATTAATAATCTTTTTATGAAAATATTCACCCAATTTTTATATTTTTAAAAGCTGATGAGAGATAACAATGTAGTTGTTCGCATTACTATGCAATGCTTTTTGATCGTGGTGGTATAAAAGATAACAGGATACAAATTTTCAGTTTTTAAATTTCAAACGAAGACTCAAAGGAGAAACATAAGTAGGACATATTGAATCAGAATTGTTCATTCAGACACGTTGTACTTTTTTTTGATACTGGGGTACCGGAGTAATGCAAGTGTATGGAGTAATTATTATAAATTGTTCAATTAAACCTTACAACATGATTCAATCATTTCGCTGTTTAGCGCCAACTGATCGCGATCATGAACGATTTTTATTCAGAAACTACTAACAACAGTGTTCGAAATGCGAATATGCGTTTATAATGAGGTTTTTAAATTAAATGAAAGAAAAGTGATCAATTTAGAATATATTAAACTTCAACAAGCGATAACTAGAAAGATTTAAACAACAACCAATCAATAAACATGATGTTACATTTAATTGTATTTTATTTGATTTTTATAGTTTAAAAAACAGCAAGCACGACCATATCGTTAGTTTAAAACTTTAAAAATTGATAAATTAAAAAGTTGATGAATTGAAAAAATTATAAATTTGTAAAATTAATAAATTAATATTTTCCATTGTGATGTATGCTAGATGTGAGGAAATGTAACATTATTTACAAACATGATTCATATATACAAATAATAGAAAACAAATTAAAAATGTGTGGAATTATTATGCATACAAGTTTTAGTTGGACAGGTGTTCAAACTTCAAGGTGTTCTTACTGTTAATAAATTTTTGTTACAATTTTTACAAATTTTAATTAAAATTAATGATTCAAAATAAAACAAAATGTTACTAATGAGTTATTGAAGACGATGAAACAAATGCATACGGTAGATTACAAAAACTATCTGGTTAAGCATGCTGAACCAAATTAGGAATAACGAAATTAAAAATAGTAACAATCTATTCACGTTTATGTTAAGTTAAACAGAAAAACATGACAACATCAAATATTCTCGAAGAACTTTATTAAAACAAAACCTAAGAATTCAGCCAACGAGGACAAATCTAGAAAAGTTTTACAAATCAATGAATCAAATTAAATAGGAGAGCGTCAAACAAGTGATCAATATTTAATTTCTTACAGATGAGCATGACAATTTTTGAGCTATTTTTCAGTAATAATAAAATCGGAACACCATTTATACATTCATTAATTGATTAAACAATCAATCAAGATACCTCTTGTCGTATTTCAAGTGGATCAGCAGGAAGACAAATCCGAGAATAACGCAGATAGATCCGACAACCAAATAAGCAATCCCCAGGAATGGATTCTTTCCACCTATCCAAGAAGTTGTCGTGATGAAAATCTGCTTGGAGCCACCAAATGACCAGGTGGGGTAAGCTGTCATCATTGAAAAACATCATTATAAAGGTTTTCGTTTATATGGGTCATCATTCAATAATGATCATTATCTGATAAGTATCGTCGATTATAAAGTCATCGCTAATGAGATATAAGGCTATCAGTCATAAGAATCCTCCTGTATAAAGATTATCATTTATAGGGATCATCAGCTATAAGGATTATCATTTATAAGGATCATCATTTAAAAGGATCATCATTTATAAGGATCATCATTAATAAGGATCATCATTTATAAAGATCATCATTTATAAGGATCATCATTTATAAGGATCATCATTTATAATCATCATTTATAAGGATCATCATTTATAAGGATCATCATTTATAAGGATCATCATTTATAAGGATCATCATTTATAAGGATCATAAACATAAGATCCTCTTTTACAACAGTCAACATTGAGGACATTGTTGTTCGTAACATAATTTAAAAGCGTCAAAAATTAAAAGCATTATTTCTAACACAGTTATGTGAGTTGATATTCTCATGTCTCGTAGTTGTTTAGAAATTATTAATTTTCTACGCAAGTCTTAGTAGTAGTCATTCAATAGGACGCTTAAAACGCAACTCAGCATTATTCGTCAGCAGGAATTAAACCGCACTTCATAATTAGAAATCAACAACAGCCTTTAAATGACAGTAACGCATTAAATTTTTATATCTATCAGTGGTATTATTATACCACAACGCCACAACCAACAGTACGAAGCATCCGACGACACGACAGTAACGACGTCATCAACTTCACTAACAGTATCCAACTTCGATGGTGTAGTTGCCAGCAGGCAGTCCACCTTCAAAGAATTCGGTGTGATTGATCCTTCTGTACAACTTTCTAAAGTTTGGCAGGGCAGCTGTTCTCATCCAAACCATCAAGTCCTCGTTTTCGTATCCATTGTTGTCTGGGTTGGTGTCGTCCAACTGGTACACCGGCTTCGGCCAGTTAGGTGGGCGCAAGGTGCCGTTGAAAGCTGATTACAAATAAATTACGAGTCACTATTTTAGACCATTTACTTCTTTTATGAATTATTAAAATATAAAAAGCAAGGATAAAAAAAATTTATAACTAATTTTAAAATGGTATCAACAAACATCAAGCATCCATAAAAATAACTATTACAGATCACAATTTTTGACGACAGTTTGCCAGAAAATTCGATAGGAGATTTGTTAAATTAGCACAAATGAATAATGTTAATGTAGTTCAAAAAATATCAAAAATTCTTTTTTGGGTTAAATAAATCAATTTTCTGGCAGCTAAATAAATAAAAAATAAAGAGTTGTATCATTTTGAAGATGATGGCATCAAAAAAAAAGCAAAAAGAATCCGTTTCTGAAAAAAAACCTGCTGACATAGAACTTGGACTGGGGTTGGGTTACAACGAAGGAAGATCACAACTATTAACAAAAATTAACAAAAAAAAATTCTCTCAAAGTAGCCACAAATTTTCAGAACAATGAATGGAATTCATTCAGAAAGAAAATTTAAGATTACTCTCTGACATCTTTGAAACAGCTGGAACACAACGAGAAAATCGCAAAGTAAGTATGGAGCTATGTCAGCAAGCAATAAAAAAATATTGTGTAGTTGTTAGAAGTCAGGTTAACACTCTCACACTTCTAATGTAAAATTGGAACGTCTATCCTAGTCACATCAACCAAGATAGCAATTTTCAATTCGATCAATTTATTTGACAAAAAAGCTGAGGCACAATACCTGTGCATGTAAAGCAAATCAACCAATAGTATAAAATTAAAACCAACTTTGACTCAAATCAACCAAAGAAAAGAAATATTAGTATAATATAATACAAGTTAGCCTAATGGATAAAAACATAATAATAAACATAATAAATAAGTTAAAAATTTTTTTTAAAATTGTCAATTAAGATCATTTTTTTGAACTATCCAATGTTATTGAGAGTTTTAATTTCACTTGGCAATTTATTAAATAGTCTTAGAATATTAATAATAAAAAGACTATTAAAATATAAAGATGTACGTGGATTTGAAAACATAAAAATATTGATATCTTCTTAGAAGTCTCTCTGATCGATTCAAGTGATCTTTGATTATTCTATTGAAACTCCAGCAATTTGTTTTCATAATTAAAGTGTAGGCCATTAGAAGTTGACGATATTGATATATTTGAGATATTGTTGTAGTTTTTGTTATTTTGAAAAGATGACTAGTTCTATCAAACATTCTTAAACCAAGCCAATTCATATATATATTTTTAGTTTTTTTTTATTATATGCATATGAATTCTATTATATTCTATTATATAAATTATAAAGAGAAAAAGTTTAGTACTCTACAACCTGCCTGAAAAAGAAAGCAACCTCAGAACTACAGTTAGTAACCTGCTGAAGAAGATTGTTGATATGGACTTTGACGTGTTCAGGTTGGATGATAACAAATCGGATGATAACAAATCGGATGATAACAAATCGGATAACAAATCGGCAGTGTGATGGCCTAGTGGTTAAGACAGCTTGCGGCCGTTCCGCAGTACGTGCGGTGACCGGGTTCGATTCAATTATATGACGAAAAGATTCCCGCTTATTCCATGCTTCGTTTGTGATGCGTCATTTAGCACGTATTTATATATGACGGTTTCTTTCGCTGAATCAAGGAAGAGTGTAATAGACCTTTAACCTTTTTTTTTATTAAATCTAGACCAGACTAATCTTGCTACAACTTGGTAGTTAAAATCCAAAAAACTTAATTCTCCTTAATAGCCTTAAGCTAAAATCGTATAATTATGATCATTCTAAGGAAGACGGAATCAACAACAAAAATATACCAGAAGATAAAAAGAAAGAAACTGATATCAAAGATGACGTTGCAAATTGGTCATTCAGATTAAAGATGTAGCTAGATTTTTATGTTTTGCTTTTACCAAGCAAAATTTATCAAAATAAAAATTCAAGCTAGGCAAGACTAAACACTTCAAGTATTAAATTGTCAAATGTAGATTAGCATTTAGATCTTTTTGAAGATCTTTTTGAAAAGTCTAGAAGTTGCATCGGGGTTGATTGCTCTAAGGGAAGTTAATCCCAAGAACTTTAGCCAAAGTCTGAAGATGAAAATAATTAATAGTTGGTTTGTTAGCAGTGATAAATGATGAGCTGATGATGTCATAATGTTGGGGGATTTAAACTTTTCTGAAATAGACTGGGAGACATACAGCCGTAGGGGAAATGACAGAATTACGAACAAATTTCTGATTATCTTAAAAGATAAATTTTTGTTGCTATATATTGATCATACAACCAGATTTACACAGTGCGGCGTTCAAGCTTACAGAGTCGGATTAATAAACAAACTAAAGAATGTTCAAGGAAGAGAAACAGGAATAGTAGGTCTTCAATTTGAGGAACGTTTGAAAGCTTAAATTGATCGCTCTTGCGTACTAACGTTGAAGAGCCAACCTTATTCAACCATACAGAACAATTCACCAAGAGATTTCAGATGTTGTTAGCCTAACGTTGTTTTCTCCGATGATCAAAAAGAGGACATAGATGGTCAATCAAATAGCATTAGCAGTGGCGGATCTAGACAACGTTGACGGGGGTCCAAAATTTCAAAAATGTTGACATTCTATAAATTTGATGAGAAGTGCCAATAAATTCACCGAATGTTCGCTAGTTTAGCCAAAATTAACCTGACGACGTTTTTTGGAGCATTTTGCACTTTAAAACGGTTTTTTTCTGTCCACGAATTGACTATTGATAACAACACTGCTCACAACTGGGCCCCGGCCCTCTTTCTTAGATTCACCACAGGTTGATCAGACAAAGCCATGAATCATAATAAAAAACAATAAAATAAGAAACAGATAACAAATGAATAACAAATATTTTATTTTACAGTTTCATTTCATCTACATACTGTCACCAATATTTTCTTCACATTATTTTATTTTACTCCCACTAAATGCATCTTATACATTAGATAATCATAATATTTATTTCCATCGTTTCCTACCTTGCACGTTGTTACCTTCCCTGCATCTGACAGAGTTTGATTTACAGAATAAAAAAAATAACAGATGAAAATTAAATAACAAATTAATAACAGATGAACAACAAAAAAATAACAAAACATGAAAACCCTGGGCGGGATTCTCACGAAACCCCTGCGGATTGTTGTACTTGGAGGACTTTTCGGTGGACCAGGCAATGTTCGTGCTCAGTAGTCCAACTGGAATGATTGCTGACTTGTTGTGGAAGAACAGCTTGAAGGTGTCTGTGTTGTTTATCACCGTGATATGTGACGTGGTGCGTTGTTTAACGTTACGTCATTATTGCGTCATACTGTGTAATGCTATGATATGATGAGGAGTGATGTGTTGTAATGAAATAATGACACGAAGTTACAATACAATTGAAATGATGTCATTCATTAGTGCAGTGTTACAGAAATGCCATAAAGTCATGATGACAAAAAAATTGTACTCCAAGCTAAAATATATATTTAATTCAGATGTGATGATGTGAACTACGAATTAACTTCATAATGTAACAGGAAAATTATCCAAAACCATTGAAAAGACTGTTAGCAATGACTCCACATGGTGCGTATGCCTGCAAGCTGCTTCCATTTCCTCTGTACGGATCACAATCACTCGAAAGTGAGTTGAAGTCCAATTTGATGCCCAACAGCTGATGGTCATCTCTGGACTTCACATACCTTCTGTGGTTCTGATGGAAATTGGTCAGTCCATAGTACAGGTACACCCTGCCCTGTTGCAGTGTGTCGTTTGTTTGTTCGATCGTTTGTCTTTGTTGTTTCAAGTAAGAGAATTTTTTAATTAACAAACTATACAATTGTAATGCAAACGTGCTATCGCAACAACTAAACAAGAAAGATGTATTACAATTCAAAACAAGAAAGATGTATTAAAATACACGCAAGCACACATACATCAACCCAAATAGATAAATACAACAAGCACAAACATGAGAGAAGGACAATTGTACAACAAAAACTACAAAAAATATGCCAGAAAAAGCAAGAGATGTTGATTCAGAAGAAAAACCAACTGTGAAACTTGTGTTCAGTTTGAAATTGATCAGGCAGTTACAAGTGGTGCCTGTCTTGTTCCTAAGTACTTCCTGGCAGGTCTCATGTGGAAATTCATTTGATCTGCAATTCTCATCTGTGTAGTCAATCCTCAACTCAGATATCTGTAACATGCAAGTGCATTTAAAAATAATTTTCATTGTCTAATAAAGCGGGGTTGCGTGATACTGAGGCGAGTGACAGATGTGGATGGCGTCGAGGGGTATTTCGGTTTCGTCATAGGTAGCTAAACGGCAACCCCCGATCTCGGGAAAAATGTCGTCTAAACGTGTGTTGTTGTTGTTGTCTAATAAAAAACAACGAACACACAGAGAGAGAATAATTTCAGAGAAAAATATTAAAAATGAACTTTGTAGCACTTTTCAACATTTTTGCTAAATATAAAAAACAGAAGCATCACACAACACTAAACATAACAAACACGCAACAACATCAACACATTGCAGCACAAAACATCAACCCAACAAAACAACGCAAAACAACATCAACACATCACAACAACATCAACACATCACAACAACATCAACACATCAAAACAACATTAACACATCACAACAACATCAACATATCACAACAATATCAACTTATCACAACAACATCGACACATCACAACAACATCAACACATCACAACTGCATCAACACATCACAATAACATCAAAACATCACAACAACATCAACATGTCAGAATAACATCAACACATCACACAACATCAACATCTACATATTACAACATCACACAACACACACCTCAAAACCACACCGACACACAACATCAATACACCACACCACTTAACAATACAACACGAAACATCAACACAACAACACAAGACACGTCACACCACACAACAACATCAACACAACTCACGAGACAACAAACGAAACATCTCATGCAACAACTCAACAGAACTGACATTATTGGAAGTGACTAGAAGGGCAACCCCCAGTGGAATGAATACAATTCCAGCGATGAACAGCAGTGGCAGAACGGTGCTCGCCGTTATGATCGGCTGCCAGGCTGGCAACTTTTGCTGTTTGAACTTTGTGTCTATTTGATGGATGAATGACAGAGTATAACAGAATCGATATTCATCCACTTAACGTTAATAAAATATTTTCATAAATTTACTTAACCCATTTACCGCCAGCGTTAATGCAAAGCGTATTTTAAATTCCTTAAATTATATTTTTCGTTTGGTCTATTTGCAAAAATTATATTTAAACCTATTGTCCATTAATGCAAATACATGAATATTATAAAATTTTACACTTGATTAAATTATTTAGATTTTTTTTTTAATTTTTGAATTTATTAATATTTTTTAGTTTACGTTGAGCTATGGCGGACGGTCGCAAAATTGTCGTTAACGAATTACTTTGGTTTTATGGTAAATATTTTGATAAATTTAAAGATGAAAAGTTTAAAAACAATATTGTTGATTTTTATTCTGCTAACGAGATAAATAATGCTCATAAAATTTTACTTGGTGAACTGGAATTGCTTAAAAATGGTAAAATTAAATTTTCTTCTAAAAGTAACTCCAAGCTTGATAAGTCCAACGATACCATTGAAATGTTTGAAATGGTCTTTTCTGAAAAAACTGCAAACTTGTTGCCACTGTTTGTGATTTTTAACATTGAACGTGTTCCGAATGACAGCTGTCAATATGATTCCTTTAACATGATAAACAGACTTAATAAAGTTGAAAATTTATTAAAAGAAAACATCTCATTATGTCAACAACATTTATTCACAAGTAAAAAAAATAACATTAAGAACAATAGTGGTGGATACGCTAATACTCTTAAAGCTGCTGTATCTCAACCAGGTGCAGCTCAATTGAAATATGTACACAACTCACATGTAACTGGTACCAGTGTCCCTCAACCAATCTCTACTTCATTCGATAATGTTTTGTTATCTGCTCATGAACGTTCGGATTGGAGTAATGATAACAATTTACACATAGCTGACGACAACTTCAATACTTCTAAGGAAATCAACATAAATTACGCCGAAGTTCTTGGCAGATCGAATGGTTCGCAGTCAGATAACAATGGTTTTACTACAGTATTTAATAAAAACAAAAATAGAAAACAAACCGATTCGTCATCCGTCAAAGTGCAAGTTTAAGTTTTATTCTGCAAAACTTAAACTATCGCCAATCATCCGAAAACTGCTGGAATCAATTTCATTTCCTTGTACCCGATCAAGAAGAAAAATGTTCCTGCTAGAGATAAACCTGACGACAACAAATCTGAAGTCATTGATGGTAGCACATCTTTTAGATTATGTGTTGCTCAAGAACTATGTTCAAAAGTTTTTGACTCTGACCTGTGGCCTGAAAACACAATTGTGCGTGATTGGATATTTCAAGAAAAAAAAACAATCAACATAAACATGGCGACTACAGACAATCCTGATGCTTCCACGAATGATATCCTTTTTAATGTTTCTGTTAATGATTATTTAAGCTATGACGTATTTATTAATAAATTCTGTTCTTATCTATTTCTTAGACATAACACGTACTCTCTCCTTCATTTGAATTGTCGTAGTATCTTTCATAAAATGGTTGATTTACAAATACTGATTAAATCTTTTCATAATATTTTTGATTTCATAATTGTTTCAGAGACTTGGTTGAATGATGTTACATGTAACAATATTGAACTTGAATCTTATAATTTTATTTATAATAATAGGGTTGGTGGTACTGGAGATGGTGTTGGCATTTTTATTAAAAATGACATTAATTTTTCTATTAACTTAGATCCTGTTCTAGATGTTGATAATTCAAATTTTTTAGACATTAACTTTACGATTAACAATTATAAAGCTTCTCTTATAGCTATCTATCGACCTCCTTCTTCTTTTAATATTTTTCTCACTAATTTAGAAAATTTTATTGACCAAGCTAAATCTTCTTCTGATATTTATTTAGTTGGTGAAATGTAAAAAAAGCTTAAAGTTATAAAAATGAAGACTTTATTTTGAATTTTTCAGATGGAAAATAACAGATTTTTTAATTTGAAAGAGGCTGTGGACATGATTGCTGAAGATGATGATATTTTTAATGCAGACATAGTTGTGTTTCCACCAGAAGTTGTAGATGACCAGAGTGATTGTGAGGATTTTGAAGAAAATGATTTGACTGTCAATAATGATATGCCACAGGATATCTGTGGAACAGTAGAAGTTCACTATGAGATTGATGAAGTCAAAACTGGAAATAAACTTCATTCGCAGTTGAGCAATGGAAAAAATAAAATAATAAAAGCTAAAAAGCAAAATATTCCAGTGAATTGGAAACGACAAAAACCAAAATATTGTTCAACTCCAAAAGATGATCAAAATTTGAAAATATCACATCTCATTGGATGTTTAGCTGACAAACAGAAACAGAAATGTTTCAAGAATTTTTCGATGACACAGTTATTGCTCATATCATAACATCATCTGGGGAAACAGCCCTGAAGTTCACTTGAAGCAAATTACCAGATGTCAAAATCGTTTCATCAGAGTTCTATTAAATCTACATCCATATAGTCATGTCAGCTGTTATTATCCTGAACTGAAAATTCTAAACATAAAAAATTTATATAATTATCATGTTTCTATCTTTGTGTTCAAGTTCTTACATTATCAATTACCAACATCTTTTAATGACTTCTTCGAATTTGGAAATGCTGTGCAGTCAAAGTTCACTCGACATTCTCCTCTGCTCTATACACCACCTGCAAGAATAACACTGCATGGTGGAAGTTTAAAACATACCGGTCCCGGAATCTGGAAAAAACTTCCTGTTGATATAAAGACTAAAAATTCCTTGCATTTGTTTAAAAACAAAATAAAGAAATATTTATTGAAAAAAAGTTCAATTTTTATTTAATTAGAATCATGTAAATTGTGCATTATGTTAATTTTGTCATGAATTATAAATTTACTTAAAAAATCGTGTTAGAATGAACAATTTGTGAACGGTGGCCTGCGACACAAGAATTTTGTTTTTTTTTAGCTTTGGTCTCCTAATCATTACCTAATTATTATTAATTTGGATTGATTGAATAAAATTTGATTTGATATTAATGATCAAAGTCAAATATATGCTCAACAAAAAAATAGACATGGATTTGAGCTGAAATCTTATCAGTTACAACGTTTTATTGGATTTCTGCTTTTTACTGGCTATCATATGCTACCAAGAGAAGAAATGTACTGGGAAAATGCGGAAGACTGCAACATCAAAATAGTAACTAATGCCTTAAGTCGTCAACATTTTAGAAATATTAAACAAAATCTTCATTTAAGTGACAATACAAAAATTCAATCTCATGATAAGCTTTATAAAATCCATTCATATGTTGAGTTAATGAATGCAAATTTTGTAAAATTTGATGTGTTCTCCCACAATCTCAGTATTGATGAACAAATGATCCCATATTTTGGGAGGCATTCGTGCAAAATGTTTATGAAGGGCAAACGTGTTTGCTTTGGGTTTAAAATATGGTGTCTTTGTTCATACGATGGATACCTTTTCCATTCTATCCCTTATGCTGGTAAAGATGAAAACTATGATCCTGATCTAGGTCTTGGAGCCAATGTGGTTTTAAATTTGTTACAGGTAGTGAATACTCCAGGGCAACATGCTATATATTTTGATAACTTTTTCACTTCACACAAACTCATGATAAAACTTCGAGCTGCACATTTTTATGCTACTGGAACTGTACGTGAACCTCGATTAATTAACTCAATATTAGAAGACACCAAGAAGCTTCAAAAGAAAGAGAGAGGAACTTTTGACAGTTGTTTTGATATAAAAAACGAAATTTTGGCAGTCAAATGGAATGACAACCCTGTAGTAACCCTGGCAAGCAATTTTCTATCGGTTGAGCCACTCCTGACAGCAAAAAGATTTTCAAGATCTGAAAGAAAATCTATCGTGATTCAGCAACCAAATCTCATTGTATCTTACAATGCTAATATGGGTGAAGTAGATCTGTTAGATAATTTTGTTGCAAAATATAGAATAGGAATCAAAGGAAAAAAATGGTGGTGGCCTTATTTTGTAAATTATGTTGATATTGCTCTTTGCAATGCATGGAAAGTATATCAACTTGTAAATGGGAGCAAAATTGATTTATTGGAATTTCGTCGTCGGGTGGCCATTACACTTTTATCCACTAAAGCTCCTGATGACGATTGCCAATCCAATAAAATTTTATGCGGATCTCTGTCATCACTTAAAAAATTATCAGATCCTAGGGTGATGTCGGATCGTTACATTTTGAAACATCCTGAAGGACGCAGGCTCAGATGTCAACAGTGTAAAAGTACGACATGTTATATTTGCGGCAAATGTATGGTGGGCATCTATGCTAAATGTTTCACAACATACCACCAGTGACAATCAAATAAAACAATTAATTTTTTATGTACATTGTTAATATTCTGAACATTATATAAAAAATTCTAAATGTACTGAATCCTGCCGACGTTGCGAAAACGCAACGTTGTATATTTTTTGTAATTTTTATATCAATAAAATTTTGTTTATACTATGTTATTATGACTATTATTGGCTTGTAATTTTAATATAATGTTTCCCTCACACTGATTTAACGTAGCGGTGGTAAATGGGTTAATTCAATTCTTTCAACAGACTTGGTAGCATAGAAAAAGTATATAAAGATGTTTGGATTGAAAAAATAACTAATTTTTTGCATACCCTGAGGTCTGTTTGTAAGGACAGGAACATTCCTGGCCGATGATGACAACATGCTGGATTACTTCTTTACAACAGGATCTTTACAGTCAATGGAACTTTCTGTGGAGGAAAATAAATTGGCACATCAAATTACTTTACCTGTTACTTAGTTGATCATTAACAGTTAATAATAATAATGATAAAGTTACAAGAAATACCTAATATTAAATATTTTGACTGATTTCATTAAAAAGATTTAAATGAAAAACAATGAAATGCTATTGCATTTGAATAGAATTGAATGGACAATTCTTATTTCTCATTTCAAACCAAAATTCCAAATGTTGAACACGGTTTTGATTTTTGTGCCTGTTTATCATCAGTGTTGAATATGGTCTGGGTTGTATTTACCTATGTAAACAAACACAAAACAAAATCCATATTGAACACTGATGAATGTTTCTTATGTTGGAATGTACATGAATATTTAAACAAAAATTTTTTTTTCTAAAAACTTTATTGACAGATCTATAAATATAAAACTTGTGCAGACCACCTTACCTATAGTGTGATTTAATAACTAAGTACCATTTGCAAATAAAATCAAATTAAAAACAAAAGCTGTAAACAAAAACAAATCAAAAAATCACCGAAATCAACCACCCTGCAAATGTCCTAAGCAAAAATTTTCCCAAACCAAAAGAGAAATACAAACAAGTTATAATGAAATATTATATATATAAAAAAACACAACTATGAACTTTCAAAAATTGATCTCCTGGCTATCTTTTAAAAGAGGTGATGGATGAAAACTTTAGATTATGAAACCCAAGTTTATTCCATATTTTAATAACTTTCATAAACCAGGATTTATTATTTAATCCAGATCTACTTTTAGGTATTTTCAACATATTGTTCTATTTTGTCATTGATGTAATTTTATTAAATACAAAAAAAGAATGCTCCCTAAAAATAAAATCGGTATGGTCATAAAACTTAAGTGAGAAACAAATTCTTAGTAAACGATTCTGTGCTATCTGCAATATATTATTTAAATATTTACAGGAGCAGCCCCAAAATAGATTTTCATAGATGAGGTATGGAAAAAAATAATAAAGTGTAATCATTGACTTATGTTCAAGTTTGTCCAGAGATCTATGTAACAAAATCCATATTGAACACTGATGAATGCTTCTTATGTTGGAATGTACATAAATATTTAAACAAAAATACAAAAATGAATAAAAGTTTTATTTCCGAATTGAACAAACTTGATAATGAAATTAAACAATGCTGTAATATTTTAAGACTATATATATATATATACTAATATATATATATATATATATTATAATTATTTATATCAAGTTGTGAAGTGATGAAAGAATTATTATTAATATTTTTAATTTAATATAAATTTTTAATATACTTATTTATCTTTTATCAATTTATGACATTACCTCTCTAAAAAGTGAAAAACAAACTAAAATATTAAAAATTATGAATAAATAAACTGTAATCATAATCCAATTAAAATTAATTATTACTAATTTAATAATCAAATTAAATATTATTATTAATTATTAACCATTAATTATTAATGGTTATGTTATTTACTGGTTTGGCTGTTGAATGTTTGCTTTGTAATCCTTGTTATTGTAGATTGGTGAATACGAATTGTGACTGATCTTGGATAAATATTTTAGAACTAACTAAAATTATTAATTCTATGTCGTCTACAACCTGTTCTCTAGATCTACTTCCTTCCAATTTACTTAAAGAATTCTCTTCAATATTTTATCCAATCATTCTCAAATTAGTTAATTTATCTCTTTCCACCTCTAAATTTCCTACTTCTTATAAGAATTCTATTGTTATTCCTATTCTTAAAAACACATCCCTAGATCCTACCTCTTTATCTAATTATAGACCTGTAACTAATATTACTTTCATCTCTAAAATAATAGAAAAAGTTGTTTTTAATCAACTCTCATCCTATTTAGACTTTAACTCTTTGCTACCTGTATCTCAATCTGGTTTCAGACCTGCTCACAGTACTGAAACTTCTTTACTTAAAATACACAATGATATCCTTCTCTCTAGTGACAATAGTAATCTTACTCTTCTTCTTGCTCTTGACTTTTCTTCAGCTTTTGATACTGTTGACCATACTATTCTCTTGAGACTGCTGCATCTTTCTTTTAATATTACTGATTCTTGTCTATCTTGGTTTTCTTCTTATCTCTGTAATCGTTTTTCTTCTGTTGTTCTCAATAATTCTACTTCTAACTCCTCTACTCTTACTTTCGGGGTACCTCAGGGTTCTATCCTTGGCCCTCTTCTATTTATCTGAACTACCTCGTATTATTAATAACTTTTCTTTCTCTAGTCAACTATATGCTGATGATTCTTATATTTATACTTCTTTTCCTCCATCTAATCTCAATAGTGTTCTTCATAATTTATCTCTATGTCTTTCTTCGATTATCGCTTGGTCTGATTCTATGTGTCTTAAACTTAATCCTTCTAAGTTTGAATTAATTTGTTTTAATAAATCTAAACACTCAATTACTATTCCTCCTATTATCTTACCTGATTCTAAAACTCTTGATGTCTCTCATAAGTTTCGTAGTCTAGGTTTTATCTTTGATTCTACTATGTCTCTCTCTTCTCAGATTAATAGTGTTGCTAGAAGTTCTTACTTTCATCTACGTAGAATAAAAAAACTTTTGCCTTTTCTTGATGATCCTACTCTTCTCCTTCTTGTTACTTCGTTAGTCTTATCTAGGACTGATTATTGTAACTCGCTCTACTATGGTCTTCCTGACTCTATACTCTATCCTTTAAGTAAAGCTTTTAACTCTGCTGCTCGTCTAGTTGCTTGTGCCCCTTTCTTTTCTCATATATCTCCATATCTTGTTCTCTTGCACTGGCTACCTATAAAATATAGAATAATTTTTAAAATTTGTACGTTCATGTATAAGTCTCAATCTAAATTATTTCTTAAGTACTTATCAGATATATTAATTGAACCTAAACGCCCCGGTTTACGATCGTCTTCTTCTTCTCGCTTTTTCTTAACTCGTGTTAAACACTCTTTTGCCAAATCTGCTTTTGCTTTTTCTGGTCCTTTTCTCTGGAACTCTCTACCTACTTCTCTAACTATTTCTCCATCACTTGCGAAGTTCAGAGCGGATCTCAAGACCCATCTGTTTTCAAAATCCATTGAGGAGCGCTGTTGAACATCGCGGAAATAGCGCTTTATAAGCTAATTGATTGATTGATTGATTGATTGATTGATTGGATGATCATCATGGATTGACATCACAGTCCATGGAAAAAAAAAGTAATAAATACGATGAGTCGATTAAAATTTATTTAAATTTGATGAAACAAATAAATTAAATTTAAAAAATATAAATATTTAAATTCAAAAACGAAGTCTCACAATTCTGTATTTCAGGAAAGTTGATTACCAAAACGACAAAATCAACTCTATTCTTATAATGATTAGTTTAGACCTGAGTAAGTCATGTTAGCAACGAATGGCTAAGCACCGCAAAATTTAAATAGCCAGCGGACACTATTAATTTTAAGCATGAATGTTCATTCATTCATTCTTGTTAAATATTATAAAAATATGAATGACATGAGTTATATATCAATCATCTCATTTTATTTAAATATTTAAACATTTTTAAGCAAGCTTGAGTAAAATTTTCAAGGATATTTGAATTTCAACTCTATATTTCGACTATCATAACGATTATTTTTTTTATTTTTGAAACCACCATTCAAAACTAAAAATAAGTATAAAACAACCACACAATCTATCAGTATAAAATTGTCATTCCAAGACACCTAAAATAGTCCATTAGCGCGTGTCATTTTTTTTTAATTTTTTCTATGTGCATATAATTTTTTCATTCATTCATTCTTTCATTCATTCATTCATTATTTGTATGTATGAAGAGAAATAACAACACATATGCAGTGAATAAACCATCACAAATATTCTCTTAACCTACATAGTGATAAATGCTCCTTAACTAATTAAAAAAGTCACAATAAAATGTTTCTGAAACATGCTAGACCGTATACAAAACTTGCGTAGTATTTATTTACAAACTGCAAAAAATGTACCTGCAAATATTGTTAATGTTAAATATTGTCGTTCGTCACTTGTTTTTTTTTATACGAACATCATACTCAAAGAATAATTCTATTTTTTGCTAACAATGTCCAAAAATGAATAAATCAATTATGTTCAAAAATAATTATGATTCTCTAGCTGTACAAAATCATTAAACTACATTTGGAAATGATCATGACTTCCTGTTGAAGGTTGTCATTCTTTAATTAGACCAGAATAAGTCTACGTGAACAAAATAGAAACAATTATTCTGTTCATTCATTGGTTATTCTCAAAGGTCGTCCAAAAATTTAAAGGCCTCGTTGATGACATCCTTGTCTAGAAGAAAAAATAAGAAAAAGCTCAACTAACATTAGCATAAACTTTAAATAATATCAACTTTAAAATACCGTTAATCAGAAATGTAAAGTTACATGAAACGACTTACTATTTAATTCGTCTAGAAGTTTGTTTTCTACAGAAATAATAGGCGATTTATTAGAATTGGTTTTGGCGTTGTCTTCAATAAATTGCAACGGGTAGTCAGATATTTTAACGCTGTCGTAATTTGAAAAATCAATATAAGGTTTTTCTAAAGTTTCATAAATCGATGAATTTTCATTTCCGTCTGTTTCTTCAATTGTCATAGATTTCATTTGATCAGGAATACTCAAATTATCAGACATGGAACTATCGCGTATGATGTTGGAACAAAATGATGACTCGCTGGAGAATGATTGAACACTGGTGCTTGGCGATTTGTTAATTATTGTTATTGCTGGTGAAAAGTCTGATGAATTATTTATCGACGAACTAGATAACATGTTGCAATTCAAAGAAATGGTAGAAAATTTCCTATTCGATTCTTTTGATTTTGTCTGTCCTCTTCTTTTTATGAGAAATCTTGAACATTGCACTCGATCGTTGATCATATCGGAGCATGATTTCGGTTTACCTAAGGAATTGTATATTCCAATATCTGATCTTGTGTCGTCCATCAAATAAATAAACACTTGGAGAAATTTATGGAGGCTTTTGAGAGGTAAGTAAGTAAATATTTATTCATTTCATGAAAAGATGATAACTTTAAGATGATAAATTGTTGATAATTGTTAAAAATATTACTATTGTTAATTTAATTTTGTCAAAATAACAAAATTAAATTAACGTCATCATCAATATTTTATGAAGCCAACTGAAAGGCGGCGCACAAACTATATTGTCCAACCGACGTAGCACACACAGTTCAATGATTTTCAGTTAAACAGCTAGCTATTGTTAAAAAATGTGCACTAAATAACTATACAAACTCATACATCTATATTAATACTGTAAGATTAATTTAACGTTCATTTGCAGTATCGAGTTTGTTGCTACTTCTGAATACTCTTGAATTTCAACAGATTATTAAAATTTCTTTATTTAGCAATTTTTAACCCGCTGCACATTGCCAACATCAGTGACCAATGTTAAACAACTGAGCAAATTCTGTGTACCAATCGTGCAAATTTGATAACCAAAATTTTTAGACTCATTATATCACATAGAGACTTGTGCCTTCTTGTCTGTGTTCATTTTTCGTAGTAATAATAATATTAATATTAACATTAGTGAACATGTAAAAAAGAGATATTGTTGTAACCCTTGACTATTAATATAAATATAAAAAACTAAATATATGATCTTTAATAGATCACTTAATAAAGATGATGAATTTCTCTTAACGGTAGATAATTCTAAAATTGAAAGAGTGGATTGCTTTAAATTATCAGGGGTTTTAATAGATCAAAATCTAAATTTTAAAAAACATATCGATTTTATCTTACAAAAAGTTAATAGAAATTTAGGAGTTATAAAAAAGTCAAATATCTTTTACCAAACAAAGTATTATTTTTAATGTGTTAAGCCTTTATCTACCCACATTTATATTATGCAAACCTATTATGGGGCAACACATTTAAAACTTTATTAGAATCGCTTTATATTGCACAAAAAAAGGCATTGACAATTTTAGATACAATGTGGACAAAAAAACTTGTTTAATCAGCTTTAAATTTTATCAATTTTTGAAATTAATGATTTTAAGGCATGCTGTTTTATATTTAACATTAACAATAATTTGTTGAGAACATCAGACGCGCATCTAAATGACTCTTTTAAATATGACACAAAAATAAGAAATACGCGTGTGAACTGCGAAAATTAATTAAAAGTTTCTATTATAAAAAGTAAGTTGCTCGATAGAAACGTATGTTTTTATGGAATTTATAAGCGAAATAGACTGCCGTCTTTTGTTAGGTCGTGCAAGATCTATCGCCCATTCAAGTATGAGTTAAAAAACTACCTTCAACGCCTCTCATAATGTATAATTGATTTTTTTTTATAATTGATTTCTATTGTCTGTTTCTTTTACACTATTGATCATTTTAATTTTTCTTAAAAATTGATTTTTAATTTACATGTGCGTATTTACGTATGAATTTTTGTATGTATGTATGCATGTGTGTGTATGTGTATGTACATTTTTCTTGTATTTCAACAATCATGATGTTAGTTGTGTTTTGTTACTTTATTATTATTTTCCTTAATTTTAATATTAATGTTAATTAAATTGATTTTAAATCTATTCGAACAATGTATCGCATAATGATTTTAACCAGAGAACATATGTGTGTATATATGTATATTGCTTTTTAAAAGTACATTATTTTAATTTTATTTGTTTATTTTTATTTCACGGTTTTCGGGAGTGACGTGGTGTTTGTCACTAATTTGATTTTTTGTGTTGATTTAGACATTTTTATAAAAAATTGTAGGGTTCTTATTTAATTGGGGATTTTATCTTTTTTCAGGCCCTTTTTTATGTTTCGTTTTTTTTATGCGCTTCATGAAATTCATGAAATAAACATAATTAAAAAAATCGTAACTACCAACACCAGTGTTATAACATAAATGGTCTCTATATTTCCAACACCAGTGTTGCAGCTTCCAAGGATCGTCAAGTGTTCGTTATTCCGTAGGTTCAAGATTTCCGATAGATGAACACGACTGCCTCAAACGCAAACTTTGTTGAGCGTTTATTTGAATGCCAACCTTAGTAGAAACATCGAACTAATCTAAGTAACTACATAAATCAAATCTATGACTTCGGTTCAAACTTCGCTATAAACCTGATTGACTTCTGATCTACGCAGGACCTATATATAGTCTAAACGTTAAGTTCATACGCTGTCTTTTTACGATCCTCTATCCAAAGATTACAAATATAGCAAAGGTAACAATAATCAAATAATATAGCGCAATTTGATCACTCCAGCGGTTAAAACAATATGAATAAAATAAAAAGTGACAAAGTTACAAAATGGCAATTATTTAAAATTGAAAAAGAATAAACGAAACATTTAATTGAAAGATATTGTTTATTATGAAAATAAACAAAGAGATAGATAGATACACAAAATAAACAAACATTAGGGGCTTCCTTTTAGGTTTTGTGCTCCTTAAAAAAACAAAACTGCAATTTAACTTTTAGTTTTTTCTAACGGTGGATCGTAAATCCTTTTCAAGTTTTTTTTAGTTCAAAACCAAAATTTTTGTTTATTTTTGTTTATTTTATTTTACAGAAAAGCTTTTATCGGTATTTCTATACCATCTTCGATGTTCAAATTGATACGTTGCGTATATATATATATATATATATATATATATATACATATACATATTGGTAATAGACCATAATTTTTACAATATTCTATAAATTCTACCGAATGTTTGGCGTTAATATGTTTGTAGTTCGCTTTTTTTTATTTTTCTCACTAAAGTTTTTTGGAAAACATTTAGTTTATTAATAAACTATATATATATATATATATATATATATATATATATATATATATATATATATATATATATATATATATGTTGGTAATAGACCATAATTTTTACAATATTCTATAAATTCAACTAGTAAACTGAATATATATATATATATATATATATATATATATATATATATATATATAAATGCTGGTAATAGACCATAATTTTTACAATATTCTATAAATTCTACCGAATGTTTGGCGTTAATATGTTTGTAGTTCGTTTTTTCGATTTTTCTCACTAAAGTTTTTTGGTGAACGTTTAGTTTATTAAAATTCAAAATAAACTTATTTTTCGAATTCATGTTGCAAATAAGGCCATATTTCGATTCCGAATGAATCATCATCAGTGCTCCTTGCTGTATATATAGGAAAATATTGACTTTGTCGAGATGAACTTTGACGTTGTAAAAATTAACTTTGGTGTTGTAAAATTGAACTTTTAAAAGAAATATGAAAAAGTTGAACAATGTTGAAAGTAGTGTTAAATTTTTTAAATGTTGCGTTAACAATAGTCTGTTACCAAAATATATATATTTATATACATACATACATATACTGTGCCTCTACTCTACTTTGTTGATTCCTTGTTTGTTTAAATTGAATACTTAGTTTTACAATCTTCGACATTGTAAAATATACCACTTTTACCTGTTTTCATTATCGATGATTCCTCTGTTTCAAAATTTATAAATTTATTGGTGGGAAGAATTCCAATTGCCCGTTGTTGAATATTTATTATCGGATGTCTTTGTTCTATCAGTAGTGACTCGGCTAATCGTAAATTATAATGGTTTGGTTGTTATTGTAATGTAAGATTTCAACACGTTTACAAATTGTTATTGTTACGAAGCACTTATAAACCAGAATCGATAATGAATCATAGGCATCTAATATATTTGTTCAAATGTACTATTGGTGAGTGTAGGCACCATAATTTTGAATATATTGGTTTGACGACGACGAAGTTATCGAGAAGACTCACGATGCACGTACAAACTGGCCCTATAAAGAATCATATGAAAAAGAAACACAAAACTAAAATTACTAGACAAATCTTGGACCACAATGTTAGTACAATCCGGTAGCAATCATAACAATGAATGAACAGTGGCCCGTTCAAAAGCCTATTATATTTCTAGTAAATGTTTGTTTGGTTAACGTTGCATATTTTTTGAACTTTTCTTTACCATCTCCCAAAATTTCCAAATAAATACACAAGAATTTTATTACGGGAAGTCAGAAGTAGCAAAATTTCTACGGCAAATTTTAATCAAATGGGACGTTGTTAACAGGAAATATGAAATTTTTCAAATGAAACAAAAATAAAATAAAACATTTTTGTCCGTTAACGACAGATGTTCATAATTACATAAATATACAAAAGAAGTGCTCACGAGTAAACATTTAAATGAAATTAGAAAAATTATTATATATATATATATATATATATCAAAATTAACCAATATATACACTATTTATATGAGCGTACTCGCGCGTGTGAAATATGATTTTCTACATCTTTGTATTACAGTTGACATTGTTTATAAACAATAGTATTTTCATATTCTTCTTATTTTGGTATACGAAAGTTTTGAAGTTAATCATAAATTATAATAGCACGTTATCAATAAATTTATAATCGTTCTTTTGTGTTGGCAATTAAAGTTACTGTTTAAAAATTTACTGTGATATTATTGCGAACAAAGCAGCATAGTTTATAACAAATCAAATATCAAGTTTTGCCTTAATAACATTACAAATAAAAAATAATTGAAATGTAATCTACAATACATCAAGCTTTCCCAAAAACTAAAATCCATCTGCAGTGCATTTTTAAATCAAAATATCAAGTTGTGCTAGGGAGAAGCTATCAACGTATTATTTGTTTGCAATAATATCACAGTAAATTTTTAAACAGTAACTTTACCAACACAAAAGGATAATCGTGAAATGTTTAAAAAAAACGACAGACTGTAAATAAACTCAGCTGATATTTGGTTAAAATTGACCTATGACAAACGAAGAGGCGGTGTAAGAAACTTCACAAATGAGCCTCCTGATAACTTGAAATAATTAATCAAAAAAGTTGAATAGAAAACATGATGACAAATATAACAGTCGAAAATCAAGGTGATCATTTAACTTAATCTGTTTTATTATTTATCGTAGTTGTAGCGATAGTTTGCAATAATCTGCAAGGATTATGTTCCGTTTTTCAAAAATCGATCACATTTGTAATAACATTTAGTAGGCAATGCAACATGTTGATTTATCATTGCTCGTAAAAGCGAAAAAACCTAGCTGATGCATTTCTCATGACGTGTATGATGCATTACTCTGGTGTAGTGGTCTGGACGGCGTGATGATCCTGCTGTCTCAGTGACTGAGCTTGAATACAAAAAGACCTAGATGTAGACGACTTTGACGGGGGGCAGAAATAAGAAAATGTTTATATTTTTACGGGTGGATAAAAAATATTCACGGGGAAGGCCAAGATTTGTGGTAGTGTGGTTGACCACCTTATCACATTTAATTTTTGGTCCTTTTTCTGAATATTATTAAAAAACTGTTCACAACGAGGGGCCAGTGCTTCTCTTCCCCCCTAGATCCGCCACTGCCCTCACCTAATACATGCAGGGTGCATAATGGGTTTATTCACCTTCGCTTTCGTGTATCAATTTCTGAAAAATAATTAAGAGTGAACTGTCAACAAGTTCACATTATTTAGATGTATGATGCTCTACTTTCTACGTTTGTGATGTCCTCTTTAAATGTTAATTGACTGATTGATTAACACAATGATCTTTTCAGGTGTTGGACTTTTTAAAAAACTAAAATCTGTCATGGCCTCTCTACCTCCCTCATTTCCCAATAACAATTAAAAATCAAATCGTTACTTTGAATTTATTAAATTGTTTATTGCTGCTGTGTTTATATATTTTTTGAAACTATCACAATTACTTATATTGCAGAAATTTTTCAAGATTAATGAGGTGGTTGCTTGTTTTTGTCATTGCAGAGTTCGTTAAATTGAGGTTAATAATGACTAGGGTAACTACTCTCACGTCATTTGAGGTATCCAATATTTCTCTATGTATTGTTCTAATTAAAACAAGTTTACAAAACGTTTTATTAGGTATGTAGGTAATGAAAAACGGTATTACTACTAACATTGCTCGTTTGAATAAATTTGGATACATATCTTTTTTAAGCGGCACCAAAACACTGCTAGTTTTTCAATTAAAACAAACTCGTCTTTTAGCAGTGTTTTGACTTGAAGATCAATATTTATGATTTTATTTTGACTCGGAACACTATCTATCTATTAATAATAAATGGATTTCGTATCAAAAAATCATTTGCCAATATCAAAATACTGCTAAAAAGATGTTTGATGTGCAGCGATGTGTTGTGTGCTGTGCCATTTCTTTCTTTATTTGCGCTGGCAATGATTTGTTTTCACTGTCACTTATAATTGACAAGTTTTTCAGCTTTTTCTCTTCTTTCGTACAATAAGAACTAATTTAAAAATTCTAGCAAATTTTTTATTTGCATTCATATATGTCATTTTCGGTACATGCAAGGAAATATTAAATTCCTTCATTATTGAAATGTAGAAACTAAGTAAGTCTTTTAAATTTGGAAGCAAGCATTTCAAATTTATTTGACAAAAATAAAATTATCTTAGCTTTTAAACTAATTAAATATTTTTTTTTCTCTTTTCCTTTCTTTTCCTTCCTTCGACCATCTGATTTCTATGTGGAATGAAGAAATAAAGAAATAACATAGTTAGCGTCAAGTAAGTATTATAAAGCTGTAGACATGAGAGGTTAAAGTTTTGTTGATTAGATCTTCACTGCTATTGTGTGACGATGGAGTTAACATTGAATGAGAATGTAGACTGTGTGGAGAATTAGTTTTAATTAAAGCAACAAATTCAGGCCTAACATACATGGTTCATCATCCGTGCAGGCAAAATTTAACCTTGCTTACCATCCAAACTTATTTAACATGAAACATTTTTTAAGCCGACAATTTGATATAAAATCATCGATCATTGTTGACTAAAAAATTTTTATAATTATTTTTTCATCTAAATAAATTTAATGTGATTTTTATCAATAAAAATTATCAAATAGAAGGTTTGAATTAGCCTACCTGAAAAACTTCTCTTGGCCTTTTCAAGAGAGGCTCCACAGATTGGGAACCCCTGATCTAAATTCATGCTATGTTTTCAGTTTATATTTAATTTGCGTAGGTTTGGATTTATTTGAAAGTTACAGGCCAATCTCTTTTTCTTCAACTATTTACACACGATGTACATGAATAGTACGAGTAAAAACCTGGCACACAGCACATGATACACATTGCACATGACAAACAGATTTTTTGGCCTTCGAACCAGGTCACTGCAAATCAGAACTAGCTGCTTTCAACTGTTACGCCACCACAGCATCATTTTTTTTGTTAATAAAAAAAATGTTTCTATTTTTTTGCTTGACAAAAAAACGTGTTAATTTTAAAAATTCAATTATTTTTATCAGGCAACTTGAGGCGACCTATTTACCTCTTCTTTTTTGTTGCAGTTTTATCAGTCGTAGTATTTTTTCTCCTTTTTTTGGGCACGAAAAAGGTTGGTTAGTTGTAAGATATTTGATTCATTTATGACTTGTCTTAAAACTTTTATTTCTTAGTTGTCTCTGATAGAAATTGACTACACCAAAAAACCTTGCATACCTCACAAGAGAAACAGATATGCCACGTGCAATGACTTTCTTCTGTTAAACCCAGGCTATACATGCCGATGTTTCATTCATTTTTATCTCAAATCCAGAGTAAAGGTATAAAGAAATTAATTATAAACATTCAATACTATTTGCTACTTTTTATTCTAGGGACCCGTTTATACATATTACGGATTGACAAATTTTTTCCAAAATCATAGAATGTACATAAGATCGTACGACCCCATGCAGCTTGTTGGTAATACAAGAAAAAATTTTACGGTAGTAAAGGAAGGAAAATGTAGACCTTACATGACCATAAATAATAAAATTATTGCTCCGTGTGGCACTATAGCCAACAGTTTGTTCAACGGTGAATAATAACAAACTTGCAATAATTTTATAGCTTAACATGAATTTAAATTTTTTACAGATTCGTTTCATTTATTTTATTTGAAAGAATCTTCTAGAAAAAAAGTTGAGCTGCTGAACTACGGCTTGGCATGGCCAACAGACAAGTTATTAAAATACTCAAATCCTTCTAGATTTCCACACGATCCTGCACAAGGTCAATAAATAAAATAATTGCATACATTCGGTTTTTAAATTACACTAAAATATTTGTACCATTTCTTGCCAAGTTATTCATTGAATTAAATTATAAACGTTTGACTGATCAGCTTTCAGTGAGACCATTCCTCCTCCCCACTGGAAGAGACCTGTCTACCACCTGGACCAGTTCAACGCCTCCAACAACGGTTACGTCAACGAAAATCTCATAGTCTGGATGAGAAATTCATTCCTTCCTGACTTCATCAAAACGCACGGAGTACTCAAACCAGATGGAATTTTTAACGATGGACTGCCTGCGGGAAATTATAGTCTGTTAATAAATTACGGTTGGCAATAATAATTGTTCATAATAAATTTTCTAACCAAATAAAATTTTTGCCTAAACGCAGCTTATCCTGTGTTTCGTTTTAATGGTACGAAAAGATTCATCATAACCAACACATTTTCACTTGGAGCCAGCAATTATTTTATTTTGTTTTTTTTTTGCTTCGTATCAATTCTTTGCTTTATAATAAGTTTTGCTTTACTATATCTACGTAACAAATTTCATGCAAACAGTAGTGTATAACTTCTATAAATGAAATTTATAAATTTCAAATAAACATTTATTCAATTTTTAAGTCTTTGACTTATTGAATGAATTTAGTTAAATTATGTTCGTACTGATCCTGCTGAAACTTTCAGTAAAAATCCGGCTTTGAAATTCTTAATTGACACATTACCTCATAAAATAAATACTTGATTCATGGAGCAACTTCCAAGTTGGTCGTAATAAGTAGTTAAGTCGAATAGAGTCGATGATTAATATGTAAGTTAATAAAAAATATCGTTTGCAAAAAGCTGTAGATGGTCATCCATGGCTCAAAACAGATCTTAATTTATACTCTTTCAATCAATCAATGATCCTCCTTTGTCCATCAGGGGACCGTCGAGGCCGATGGTGTACATATAAGCATGCTTTTTACATATATTTTTTCCTTTTTTCTTTTCAAAAACCTTTTCTATTTTTGGCCAGTTATATTAAATTCAGTATACCAACACCAGTCCATTCAGTAATGTCATCTATCCATTTCTTTTCAGGTCTATCAACTTTTTTCTTCCAATCTCTTTTTCTCATTAGTACTATCTTAATCAATCTGTCTTCTCTCATTCTACAAATGTGTCCAAAAAATCCCAATTTCCTTTCCCTGACTTTGTCAAATACACTTTTCTGTTTTCCAAATTGATTTCTGATGGTTTCGATCTTTACTTTTTCCTCCAATTGATTCCCAACAAATTTTGCTAACACTTCATCTCAAATGCTTCCAATCTGTCTTTGTCTCTTTTCTTTATTGTCCATATCTCACATGCATAGAGCAAGCTCGGAAAAACGCAAGATTCCATCATTCTCAACTTTGTTTTTATAGATATATTGTCACTTTTTCATATTTCCTTCTATGATGCGAACATTCCATGGGCTATTGCTATCCTTTTGTCAATTTCTTTGGTGCAGTTCTTGCAACAGGTCATAAGACTGCCAAGATACACAAACTTGTCTACTTGTTCGAGTTTTTCTGATTTTATCTGAAATTTTGCATTGTTTCCCTGTAATCACCATCTTCGTTTTGTCTTTGTTGATATGCAACTCATGATATTTTCCACCAACATGTGTTAGTTCAATTAGTTTCTGTAGACTTTCTTCACTGGAAGCTAGAAGGTCTATATCATCTGCAAACCTGAGATCTTTGACAGTTCTCCTTCCTATGTTAATTCCACCCAATTCCGAATTTTCCATTTTTTCCATTGCTCTTTTTAACAATGTTATGAATAATATTGGTGATATTGGATCGCCCTGTCTGCTTCCAATGTCTCCCTTTATCAAATCTCCAAGTTCTGTACCTATTATTCCCGACATTTTTGATTCTTCATAAAGCCCTTTCAGTACTTTGACCAGCTTTTCTAATGTCTCCATACTTTCTAATGTTGCCCACAAATCTTCATGCCAGACAGAATCAAACGCTTTCTTAAAATCAACAAAGCAATGGTAGATTGTCTGACCGCTACTTTTTGCATCTTCCATCAGCAGGCTCAACATCAGAATTTGTTGGAACTTTTCAGAATTTTTGCCCTTTCTGAAGCCTGCTTGTTCTTCATGCAGATGTTGCTCTATAACCTTTTTCATTCGTTCTTTTATGATGGTCAGCATGATCTTGCATATGTACGGAATTAGTGCAATTGATCAGTAATTATTAAAGTTTTTTTTGTCTCCCTTTTTCAGCAGCATAACCAGAACTGACTTGCACCATTCTTCTGACCACTTTTCACTTTCCCAAATTTTTTGACAGACTGTGTGAATTTGTTTACACACGACTTGTCCTCCTGCTCTTATCAATTCTATCGGAATACCATCCTTTCCTGTACCTTTGTTGTTCTTCATTTTACTCATTGCTCTTGTAATTTCTTACCTCGTTATTTCACTTTCTTCTTTATTGATTATTTTTTTGCTTTTCAAAATTTCAAGCGTTTCTTTTTTGTATGTGTTCTTGTCTATGAATAAGTATTTAATATATTCAGTCTATCCTTAATCTTTTTACTTTCTGTTAGGATGCTTCCGTTTTTATCTTTAATAATCCTTGACATATTTTTCTGTTTTCCTTTTAACTGTTTAATCAGCTGGTACGCCTCTTATGTCTTGTTTTGCCCAATCATCGTCTCTACCTTATCACATTTACCATTAATCCATCTCCTTTTATCTGCTCTAGCACTCTTTTTAATAATTCAATGGGTGAAAGTTGTAAAATTAAAATGAACAAAATAAAACCGTAGATAAGCGATGAAACATGGTACCTTGTAGAAGAAAGAAGAAGTTTGAAAATGACAAAAAGACAGAGTGAAGAAAATAAGATGAAATACAAAGAAGTCTGCCAAAAAATAAAAAAGAGTATTTTTCAATCAGTAGTGATAATAAAATGAAATTATTATGCAAAAGTTGGAATTTTTCAGTATGTTTTAAAACATAAAATAAAGTAATTTACTAAGAGAAAAAATTACATTTACTGATTTTAAGTGTTCTTTAAAGTATTTTTTATTTGTAAGTGATAATAAGATGAATTTATGATGAGAAAGTTTAAAAAATTTTTCTGGATTTCTGAACCCGGAGTCGGGAGTCGGAAATTTTTACCCGGAGTCGGATTTTTTTGAGAGGCCGGAGTCGGATATTTTTCATCCGGCTTCGACACACTTCGAAAACTTTGGTCGAATATTTTTCGTCGAAATGTTTATTGTGAATCGTTTGAATGACGGAGGCCCAACACAACAATTTGTTCAATGTGCGACGTGCGTGCCACGAAGTTGTTAAATATCGTAAAAGTCGCAGTTGAAACTAGTGAAATTGAATTGTTGTTTAAGTTTAAAAGTCGAATGATTGAAGCTGCTGAGGTAAATTTTTTTAGACTGGGATCCTAAATTTTTTGTTGTTCATCTGACTCACTAAAGTTTAGCTAAATTAAACTAAATTTAAACTAAAATCTAAATCATTCTTGTACGGGTGAACAAAACATACGGGTGAACAAAACATAAATTAAGCTAAACTAAATCATCCTTGTACGGGTGAACAAAATTGCGTTTGCGGCCGGCCACCCACGTATACAAAATACTAAATAGAAAATATTATTTAAAATAAATTTATCATATTATAATTCAATTATGTATAAATAATTTGTTATCTATTAAATTAAGGCTGTACATATTTTACATTGTCCAGTATGATTTTTTATTTTATATAATTATAAAATAAATAAATTGATGATTATCTGCCTCTTTTATCTTCCCATTTATAAACTTTACTGAAAGCAAGTGCTAAGTCAGAGTAGCATTTGGACCTGCTTAGTTTTAAATTTAATTCAATTAATTGGTGGGAGCCTTGACAAAAGCAATAGCTGATGAGTAAATGTAAATTAAATATAAATTAAAATAAACGTAATGAAGTGATGTGAATGCTTCCAGCTAGTTCAGGTCAACTTTCAGATCAATTGCTTCATTTTATTTTCTATTCCTATGTGTAATTAAATAATTGCTGACTATTTACATTTTTAACTTATTAAAAATTGAACATTTGAGTTATAAAAAGGTTGGTGTTAGTTAATTAGAACTTTGGGTAAAATTACAGTTTCTTGGTTACATCCATGTTGTCAATAACGCCAATAAGCTGAACTTAGGGTTAGAGAAATGGTTTAATTATACACATTAATAATGTTAATACATTTTATTGTGTTACAAGTTACAGTTATGAAAATTTATACAAAGTTATAAATCTTGTCTCTAACTCTAAATTTATGTTTTGTAAAACTGAACTTTGATATCAGCTAAAATATGTTGATAAAAATGTGTCGAAGAAGGCTATAATATAGGATATAGAACCTTTCTGCACTAGCAATGTGGCTTACAATCGTTTCACTAAACTAAACCTACTATCCTTTACTCACGGTTTTGGTTTAACTAGCAAGTAACATGCAGGTTTATCTTTATTGTAAATTTAGAGATTTTTTAATCTCATTTAAACATTGTAATGTTTTTAAACCTACCGAAAAGATATTTATTAATAATTAATATGAGATTAAAATAAGTTGGTTCTATTTTGACAAGGGAGTGCAGATAGACTTTTATATCCTCCCTGGCACAGCACCTTTTTAAGTTTTCATTTTGACAATTTTTATACAAACTTTTTTTCTCCATTAAAAGTTTTAAATTATAAAAGACTGGAAAAGAATAACTAATGTGAAACTGTTCTTTTTTATACATACGTTGGTAATGTGCAAATGTTTCAAAAGTTGGTCAAGATACCACAGTGACAGTGTGCGTACTCCTAAAAGCCAACTCTTGTCAATATATTTATTGATGAGTCTAGTAATTTTGAACATATAAAAATTATTTTGTAACATCCTGATGTATGATGAAATTGAATTGAATTTTGAATAACCAGCAACAAGCCTAGCTGCTGCACTCAGAACAGACTGCAAATCATCACGAAGGGATGAGCTGACACCAAACAAAATCGCAATGCAGTAGTCAATTCTTCCACAGATAAAACTACAAACGAGTGCTTTTGTTGACTCGACTGTCAAAAGACGTCTGATGGATCTTATTAGGTAGAGTTGGTAGAAACATCATTGGCAGAGTTGACTAATATGCTTTTCAAATGAAAGATGAGGATCCAGTATGACTCTGAGATTCAATACTGGATTTTTGTAGTCATTTAAACGGCTGAGGCCATGCAGCGTTCTCATCCACAAATATTGAGTTTTCTTGACTTTGAGTTTAGGCATGTTAGAGGACATCCAGCGACCAACCAAGTCCACTGCGTTCGACACAGCAAAGGAGACTTGAAGTGATGAGTCAGGTAGTCCAAATCCATAAAGTTGAATATCCTCAGCATATAGGTGACAGCCAAGACCGACTGCTTCGACAACGTTGACGATATCTGCAATGTACATGATGTATAGCAAAGGACCAAGTACTGAACCTTGTGGTTCACCGCAGATTAGTTCTAAAGAAGCCGTGCCCAGACCACTCCCATCAACGCTGACAACTTGAGACTTGTCTGCTGGAACCACCTGAAAGCATACCAAATGAAGTAGAAAAATGCTTCAATAAAATCTGGCGGTCGACTGTGTCGAAAGCAGCATTTACATCGAGAAGTGCAAGCAATGATATGTTACCAGCATTAATAAAAGTTTAAAGGTTACTCTCTCTCTTTTGCGTTAGCTTCAGAGGTTTCAACGACAAACACACACAGCGTATATGAATACGCGTGCAAACCACGCATCATACACATTGCATATGATAGGCGGGGATCTCTTTGTATTCGAACATAGTCATTGCAATAGCACGACCAGGCGTCTTTAACCATTGGGCCATCACGCCGCCCTCATTGAGCCGTCACGCCGCCCTAATAGCGTCACAAACATCTGAAACCACCTTCGGGATCGCTGTCTCAGTTGAATGTGCTCGATGAAAACCTGATTGAACTTTTGGAAGTAGTGATTTTCTGTTCAGGTAAGCAAGGAGGTGGCGAGCGACAATTTTTTCAATTGTTTTGGATACGAAGGTAAGGTTCGAAATGAGTCTGTGATTGGCCACATTACTGAATGGACTGGTGTTGGTATCATGAATTCAATAAATCCGGCCAAAGATAGTAAAGGTTTTTGAAAAAAAAGGAAAAAATAAATTTAAAACGCCTGCTTAGATATACACCATCGGCCTCGACGGTACCCCGATGGACAAAGGAGGATCATTGATTGATTGATTGAATTGGCCACAACGTTGTTCGCTAGACCAGGTCTCTTTTCAGCAACGGATTAACTACTGGAATCTTTTGGGACCTGGGTAACGTTAATTTTTGCAAACATTTAACGACCAGATATAAAAATGGCAGAAGCGTATCAACAAATTTTACTAGAAAAATGTTGGAATAGGATCGAGGCAGCATGTTTTATCTGCCTCGGAAATACTCTCAAACTGGTGGAAACAGTTATCGTTCGACCTGAATTCTGGCGGATCGACCATCTCATCAGCTGACAGTTCGGACTTTGATTTTAGATGAGTTAAAAACTCTTGAGCTGTGATTGGTGGAGCAGTCGTGCATACATTGTTTTTTCTGGCAAGTAATGACGCAAAAATCTTCCATAATTGTTTTGGTTTATCAGACCTTGAAATTATCAGCGATTGGTAATATATTGATTGTTTGGATACAAACAGTTTGTATTTTTCTGCAATAGCTGTTTTCCAATGAAGAAGGTCTGATTTGTTTTTAGTACATCGATAAACCCTTTCTAACTTACGAGTTGATCGTTTTATTTCATAGCAATCAATGTCAAACCATCCGCATGATTTTGAATGAACTTGTTTGTTGACTAACGGAGCATGTTCATCAACAATACGTCTGAGTGTTTCCTCATAAACATCAAACAGTCTGTTCACATTGAAAGCCGAGTATGCTCCACTGTCACAGAGAACACAACACTATCAATAAGTGAATTTCTGAATTTAACACCATCTATCTTTTTTGGTAGTTCCGAGCACGTCTGCAGGTTGAAAGAGATGGAGGAACTGAGGTGACAGCCATCGAGCATGAAATGAGTCCATGATCTGAAACGACGGGCGGGTCAACCTGAACATTGAATACTCCGATCTGGTGAGGATGACGTACAATTGGCCTCCCATCCGATGAGTAGGAGAGTCTATGGGTTGAGTGCAACGATATATATATATATTAGGGATGCACCGGATTTAGGTTTTTCAAATCCGGCCGGGGCCGGACTTGGTCGGATTTAAAATTCAAAAACCGGCCGGAGCCGGGGCCGGATTTTAGTTACCATTTTACATACGTTAGAAAAAATACTTACATTTACGGTTATCTACATGTTGAACATCAAAAAATAACACCAAGCAAATAGTTAATTAATTCAAATATATGAATAAGCTGTGTGATACGCCAAATTCTGTATACAAAGATCAACTTATAATTTCTGCATAACCCATGTTATAGCATAAAAATTGTCCAGCTCACTTCACAATTAGTGATGTTGTTGTAATGTGATGTCATGTATGCTTATCTTTTAACTTATTGACATAAAATTAATTGAATTTAATAAAAAAAAAATTTCGATTTATAACATTTTTAAATGTTGATAGACGCTTAAAACCGGTCCTAAATCCGGCCACCGAGGCCGGATTCGGCCGGATTTGAAAAAAAGCCGGATTTTGGCCGGAGCCAGGGCCGAACTTTGGTGCATCCCTAATATATATATATTAAGTACGAAATGAATATTTAAAATGAAACTATGCTTCTGATGAACAAGAACTGCTTGAGATCGTAATCTGAAATTAAAGTTTAAAAATTTTTGTGCAAAAGTATTTAATATAAAGCATTACTTCATTCACTTACTTCATTTTCAACGGACATCTCCGTGATTTGGGTTTCCTTTGCTATAATATCAAAGAAGGAATGAAGAGTCATCTGAGTAGCTTTCTTTCTGTTTTCGTTATAGATTTATTTATACGGATAAATTCCCTCTTCGATTAGTCGATTACATTTTATATTACGCTCCATATTTGGATCATCTTCATTTAATATTGCCATTCCTGATTCAATGAGTGTAAAAACTTCTGATATTCTTTTATTTGTATGTTTTTTTTTTAAATTTCTGAATCTGTTTCGACTGAAACCTGATTTGTCGCGCTGTTTTGATTCAATTTGGAAAAAACGGTTTTTCAAGCGACGTTAAATCGAAACGACTTAAATCGAGGCGACATTATATACGTTTTTACAATATTCTATAAATTCTACCGACCGAATGTTTGTAGTTCGTTTTTTCGATTTTTCTCACTAAAGTATTTTGGAGAACGTTTAGTTTATTAAAATTAAAAATAAACTTATTTTCCGAATTCATGCTGCAAATAAGGCCATATTTCGATTCCGAATGAATCGTCATCAGTGCAAGTTGATTTATATAAGGAAATATTTACTTTGTGAAAGATGGAAATTAGGTGTCAGATTTCTTTATTGGCTGGTATGGACCAGCCAACGTCTCAACGACAAGTTGGCGCCTCTGGGTAGTAGTAATCCCGATATATGAGTCATGTTGACGTGCACAGCTGTCAAAGGGGCAATTAAATTCATATATTACGTGATTACGCTTTAACACAGAGTTATCTCTAGGACTACAATTATTTTTCAGTATTAGGTGAGACGTTTTTTATTGTTGTAATATATTCGGAGTTTAACTTTACTAATTGGGTTGGTTGGTGTGACATTTTTATTGATGATATGTTTAAGAATTGCTTCGTCTACTTTGTATGCAGTTGACATGTGATTTCTGTAATACAAGATGATGTCGTTATCTTGATTGTTGGTATTAGGAAGGTTATTGTTGTGTGGTTATTTACCCTTAACAAACTTTTCAATGGAATAAGTCTTATATCCATTGTTTACAAGCAGGTTGGGGACTCTTTTTAATTCAGCGTCGCGATTTTCAATATCGGAAGAGTGTGTGAATGCCCGGTTTACAAATGATTTTGCAAATGATTATGCTCTATTACCAACATATATATATATATATATATATATATTTGATTTGGAAAAACATGAATATTGCATATTACAGGCGAATTTATTTACTGCATTAAAATAGCTTTCAAAATCCGTATGAAACTCACCACTTATATCAACTAGGTCCAAACTTTCAAGAGGTGTGATCGTGACAGTGGCTGCATTTTTAATATAAACAGCCATTATTTTTTAACTGCAAATGAATAAATTAACGTAGTAACAGAGCTCTCAATTGCATTGAGTTTTCACCGAGAGGAAATTTTTATTCTCACCCTTTCTAGTGACATTGTCTGATGTTTTCAAAAGCTGAATGTGGAAGCAATGCCAATGTACCGCATTATGATTTAAATATCGATGAAACTAATTTGTTTTACAACTCCAAATTAATTGCCAGCTGGATCAAGACAGATTGGAATGTTGATGACATAAGCTGCCAGGTAATGTAATTTTTTGTTTCATTTTTTCTTAATTTGTAACATTTTGACAACTCGTTTGTTTGTTGAAGGTATTCAAAGATGGTCTAACGAATAAACTGGTCGCGTGCATAAATAAAGGTAGCAAAAATTGTGATAATGGAGAGTTGAAGTTGAGTGAAGAGAATGTAATTTTGGTCAGGATACATGGAAGTGGCAGTGACCTCGTCATAGACAGGTGATGAGTTTTATGCGCTTATCTATCTTAATGAAAATTGTGTTCAGTCAAGATCGTTCTGTTTATTTCATTAGGGAGGACGAGTTGTTGAGTATGTTGGCTCTCCATTCTCTCGAGTGCTCCAGGCCTCTATATGGCAAGTTCAACAATGGAATTGTGTATGGGTTCGCATCTGGTGTAGTACTTAATCAGCAGCATATTCATGACTTTGATGTACAAAGGTTTGCTTTTGGTGTCATGTTCTTTTTACTTCACTGCAAATTAATTTTGTTCAATATTTTTTCTTGACTTCTGAGTGTACATCTCACCCATAAAACTTGCTACCTTTGTCTGTGTAATGCAAAAACTAAACGGTATTCTTTCATGTTTTGATTCGCAATACTGTTCCTTTATTTAACTTTGTTCGTATTTAAAAATGTTCTTAGCCTCTCAATAGAATCAATAAATAAAAAAAATTATTTGATGAAAGATTGTGTTTCAAAGTAAGATAAATGATCATTCATGTTAGGGCAGAGTAGCTTGACAGAGGTTGTTATTGAACAAATATTAAATCACACCTTATATTTGCACATTTTCAATATTATTTATAAAGATGAGTTTTGTCACAAATAAATTATTCGATGTCGACTGTTATATATTTAATGTTACATAATTTCTAGCACTGTTAGTGATTTATTTGTCGTAAGCCTCTGCAACATCATAATTCTATACAAATTAAGAACTATAATAATTTTTAATCGACTTATTTGGTTTTTGTTATTTAATTCATTGTCTCATTAGCCTGATTTTTAAATGGCAGGCTGATAATAAAGGAGATGGTGAAGTTGCATTCCCTGGACCACAGAGTGCTTCGTAAGTTGTCTCGCGAAGGAAGTTTCAGTACGGTGAGGCCTCAGTTATTTGAGACCATACATAAATGGATGAAAAACATTCCTTGCCACGAACATCCCATGCCTCAACGGTAAGTCTCATGCATTGGTATTTTTTTTATAACATTTTGGCATTCTGCTCTCAATCAGTTAGTTGATGATGCAAGTTTTGTGTTGTTGTATTTCATTTGAAATATCTTAGCCTTTGTTTTTGCACTGCACACAAGAAAATGCTACGTCATTTTGTTAGTTATATGAATTTTATAATGACTACATTATCCATGTCTGTTGCATTGATTGAGTAATAAATTTGAATAACTTTTTTGGTTGTTTACCTATAATAAGTCTTTATTTGCTTGTTTTGCTAAATTAAGTTTGTTAATATTAATAGATACATATGTTGGATATTATGTTTAATTTGTAAATAGTTGGAGTAAGCAGAGACTGGAGTGTGAGGTAGACTTGTTGGAGCATCATCTATCATCTCTCAACTCGCCTGTTGTCTTCTGTCACAATGATTTGCTGCCGAAAAACATTATTTACGATGCAGACCTAAGTTTGTAGCAACTGACTCTAATGTTTTTCAAATCATTTTCATGTTGTCATCTTCTGTTGCAGAGAAGGTGAGCTTTATTGATTTTGAGTATACATTCTTCAACTATCAAGCTTTTGATATTGGAAATTTTTTCTGTGAATTTGCAGGTTTGTCATTTAAATAAATAATTAAATCGTCCTCACCAATTTTATTTTTTGTTTTTTTTTTGTTTTTTTTTATCAGGCATGACAGAGGTAGATTACAATTTGTACCCTTCAAGAGAATTTCAGATGAAATGGTTGACAATATTTCTGGAGACCTACAACAACTTTCACAAATTAAATAAAGCAATAACTCTTGAAGATGTTGATGTTCTGTACAAACAAGTTTCAAAATTTTCTCTGGTAAAACAGATTTTAAAATAATTTGAAAAGATTTTATAATAATTTTGTGTTGCATCTGTATTTGATCTTCTTATCGTTCATTTGTGGTTATACATCTTCTCTGTGTAATTCTGAAGTTTATATTATTATTATTAATGATATATATTACTAGAAAATATACAAGCAATGTTTTTGTTTGTTTATAGAATGAAGATTATAAATACTCATTTGCGCTAGTTTGCTTTTGCTAAGTGATGAATAATGTTAATACTGCAGCTCATATATGCTATGTGAACTGGCTTAATTTGGCTGGCTCGCCAGTTGACTGATTGGTTTAATTTATTGTTTATGAATCAATATTTTTTGATTGTATAAATTTTTTAAACTTAGGCCTCCCATATTTTTTGGGCGATTTGGGCTGTCATACAAGCCGAACATTCGAATATTGATTTTAACTACATTGAATTTGCTCGGAAGAGATTGGATGAATATGAAAAAAGAAAAGACGAGTTTCTCTCTCTTTCCATCATTACCTAATTTGTTTTCAATTACTAGCCAATATTAATTAGGAACAAAAATCGACAATGTAACTAAAAGTGTTTCAAAATCAATTCATCTGTCACTAGTGTAATTTTGCGTGATATTTTTGTATCAGCAACATATCTTTGAGTTTTGTTCCTGTTCAGATCCTGTTACATTTTTACATTCGGATGTTTTATGTTAATGTATTATTTTCATTGCATCTTCCAACTATTAATTATGCTGTATATTTTCATGATCTATTTATAATTTATTACATATTACAACTATAATGTATAGTAATTTAATTTTTTCAAACAAAACGTTAACAACCTTCTAAGAAGGCAGTAGGTGTGTTTTGTCTCGTGAGTGTTCTGGATGTTGGCTTGGTGATTGGTGACCGGTGAAATAAATTTTCGATTTTTTTAACTCGTGTATATTTTATGTATATGATTTGAGAGTTATTTTTGAAACAAGTTATTGCTGATTTTGCATAAAGTTTTAAAAATTAAAAATCAGGCGAGTTGTCATTATTATTATAAAATTTAAAATACCATCGTTAAACATTAGACGCCATATAGAGGTACATATCACATATAGAAGGTACGTATCACATGTGGGAGCTATCTTGATTTTCTTCATATATCTGTAATAGTTTTTTTTTCTGTTTTTCTCAATAATTTTACTTCTAACTTCTCTACTCTTGCTTTCGGGGCACCTCAGGATTCTATCCTTGGCCCTCTTCTATTTATACTCTATACCTCTGAACTACCTCGTATTATTAATAACTTTTCTTTCACTAGTCAACTATATGCTGATGATTCATATATTTATTCTTCTTTTCTCAATAGTGTTCTTCATAATCTATCTCTATGTCTTTCTTCAATTATCACTTGGTCTGACTTTATGTGTCTTTAACTTGATCTTTCTAAATTTGAATTAATTTGTTTTAATAAATCTAAACGCCCTATTACTATTCCTCCTATTATCTTACATCTTACCTGATTCTAAAACTTTTGATGTCTCTCAAAAGTTTCGTAGTCTAAGTTTTATTTTTGATTCTAGTAGTGTCTCTTTCTTCTCAGATTAATAGTGTTGCTAGAAGCCCTTACTTTCACCTACGTAGAATAAAAAAACTCTTGCCTTTTCTTGATGATTCTACTCTTCTCCTTCTTATTACTTCGTTAGTCTTATCTAGGATTGATTATTGTAACTTGCTCTACTATGGTCTTCTTGATTCTATTCTCTATCCTTTAAGTAAAGCTTTCAACTCTGCTGCTGGTCTAGTTTTATTCTAAAAACTTATTATTTTAATTTCGCTTTTAATTAAACACTAATTTTATACACTGCTTTTAACTAAAAACTATTATTTTATTTTAACTATAATTGTAATTTTGTAAATTTGTTTTTAACTATCGAACTCATGTTGTTTAAAATAACTTTACACGTGGTTATTAATTTCGAGGGCGCCTCGGTCGCTTGCATTGGCGCTTTATAAGTGACATTTAATATAGTTAATAATAAACCTAATTATATGTAATAAACCCTGGAAATTTCACACGCCCTAGATTATTATTTCGCGAATCGATCAAATTTAAGGGCGGTGTAACATAGATGGATTCTGATAACTTAATGGCACATATACGTGATATGCTAATAACCCTTTAACAGCACTTAGCTGCTAAAAGGCTAGCGGCACATATGCTAACGACCCTTTAGCACAATATGCTAATTAGTTATTATATCATGCAATCTTTTTATAACGCCCAGGCATACCTATATATTATTCTATATATGTGTTTAAGTTTTATTTAAGGCTCATGTTCAGATCCCTAGCTGTAAAATCCTTGGATAACTTCACGCAACTCCTCATTTAGATTCATGGATATATATATATAATCTTATTATATTTATAGTATTCATGTTTTTATTACTTTACGTTTATTTGTTTTTATTTAATATTTTTGTTTGGCATTTTGCATGTTGCAACCACATTCCGTGTCTGGTTTTTTATGTACTATAAATAAAAATTATAGTATGCATGAACAAGTTAAATGTGTCATCGCTTTCCATAGTTAACACATCGACCTAGCGCTGTGCGACCGACTCTGATTTACGTTGTAAATTTTCAATTTTGACTTAAAATGGCGAGTGTCATCAAACGAGTTATGGGGAATCCGTTCAAAAGTGCATTTTTAAGAACGTTCGTTGTCAACAACATATGGAGTCCTTGCGCAGTTTCATGCTTCAATCATTCGAGCTTATCCAACGATCTGAAACACTTGATCGTGGAATTCAAAGGAGACAAATCTAATATCGGTTTGATAAGGTTGAACCGACCAAAAGTTTTAAATGCCTTATGCGATGACCTCATGAACGAGGTGAACAGTGTTTTAGATAGGTTTGAAAAAGACCCTTCAGTCAACTGTGTGATACTCACTGGAAGTGACAAAGTTTTTGCTGCAGGGGCAGACATAAAAGAAATGAAAAACCTAGATTTTAAACAGGTATACAAAGGTTCTTTTTTATCCCATTGGTCTAGAATTGCAAAGTTCAAAAAGCCTATAATTGCAGCTGTCAATGGATTTGCATTGGGTGGTGGATGTGAACTAGCAATGATGTGTGACATAATATATGCTGGATCTAAAGCTCAGTTTGGACAACCTGAAATTATATTAGGAACCATTCCAGGTGCTGGAGGGACTCAACGTCTTACTAAAACAATAGGTAAATATAAAACTATGGAATTGGTGCTTTCAGGCAGAAGAATGTCTGCCCAAGATGCAGAAAAAGCTGGCCTTGTTTGTAAAGTATTTCCACCAGAAGAACTTCTCAATGAAGCAATAAAATTGGCTGAAACCATTGCAAGCTTGTCTCCAATGGTTGTTCAAATGGCTAAAGAATCAATAAATGCATCACTTGAACTTTCATTAAATGAGGGTCTGCATTTTGAAAAGTTGTTGTTCCACCAAACATTTGCCACAGAAGATAGAAAAGAAGGGATGGCTGCATTTGTTGAAAAAAGACCACCAAAGTTTACTGACCAGTAGACAATGCACACTGTAAAATTAAACACAAGCATGGTATATCTCAAATTGCAATATAAGCCCACTTTATTTCCAATAATCATAATCATGTTTTCTTTGTATAAAAATTAATTTTTGCTGACATTTGACAATAAATTTTTTTTATAAATATGATTTACAAAAAAACGAATAAAGGTGTTGTGTACAATTATTGTAATTTATTCCAATCATAAGCTAAACAATATTGCTCTTGAGATTATCAAGTGACATCAACCTTGGTTGCTTTGAAGGAAGCAGATTTTTGTAAATTTTGTTGAGTTTGTTATCCCAGGATTTTTGGTTCTTGCTATACACATTCAAATATATCCCTATCAATACTATCATGCCAGACCAGACGTATCTGAAATTAGAAATTATGCAAAATCATGACACATCACGCAAATGTGTATATATAAAATGAAACAAAATGAGGGGTAACTTAAATTGGGTTCTTGTTTTGTGGTCAATCATCTCTAGCTTTTTGGTTCAAAATTTTTGTCAGAAAAAAAAATCGAAAAAGTGTATTTGCCTAAATTGGGTTCTTGAGCAAGATTTTATATATGTTCAACTTATTACAAAATGTAATATCTTTGATATAGCGCATTTTGGTTGTTTGATTTATGTTTACTGATACGGTCGTGGTTGTATATCAAGGAAAGGTGTTTAAATGAAAATAAAAAAGCTAACTGCATCGTGAAAGGCTTGCTAAACAGGAGGAACGAAAGAATGATAGTCAACGCCTTTCTAAATGTTGTCACTGGAAGTTGTTTAAATGATATTTTATAACTCCAAAAACTTCATTAAATTAATTTTAAGCAAACCAGTGACTGCTATGAGAGCTCCGTATAACTGAACAAGTGACAAGACAACATTCACACCCAGGTAACCAGAAAAAGAAAACAGGAATGTGTAAATGTATATTTTTGGATTCTAAAATCAAATTGTGAAGGATTTACTATAGTACTACTCCGTTGTATTATAACGTTTAATTAATTTTTCACAAACCTGTTGACAAAAATCGAACGCCTCTGGCAACTGTTTCGAGACAATTTGTCCCAAAAGAATGTACAAAAAGCCAACAGCATAAGAGTAAAAAACCTGCATTATATGAAATTTAACGCAATACATCAGACCACTGGTCAAACTTTCAATGAGGTTCTTCAAATTGTGCCTACTTCATTATTTTAATTTAGTTTAATTCAAATGCGACTTTTAATAATATATATTTCCAAATAATTAAATAATGGTTTTAATTCTAAAATTCAGAGGTATCAATAACAAACAAACAGCGTATGTGAATACAAGCTAAATAACGCATTAAACACAAAAGGGATCCCTTTTCCTATTAAAACACGGTCGAAAATGTACCAAGTGCCTATTATCCACTAGGCCATCAAGCAACCTATAAATTGCTTAGATTTATCATGTTAAGCATTAACAGTATCCAAACCATTGAAAGTACCAATAATTTCACAAACAGCCTATATGCACTCTGAGAAACTATAAAGAATGATCATATACATAGTCGTCCATTGAGTGTTACTAGTAGTAAACAGAATATACTTCAAAAAATTACGAACCACTTCAGCGTTACTTGCCAGTGAAGATTTCATGAACTTCTCTTGCAGATTGCCAATGGCTGCATCAAACATAAGTGCCACGCTTATCAAGAAAACACCTTCAAAAATGATTATTGAACTTCAAAATAAAATCAAATTTGACTCGTTATAGCTAAAGGCAGTTTGGTTTAGTCTGTAGCCATCAGGTTTTAAGTTCGGGTCCGGTTCGGTCGTAAGCAAAGTTTAGATTTGGTTCTGTTTTTAAAAAGGTTCGAGTTCGGTTGGATTTCCATCTCTACAAGGAACATGCAGACGGTTAAAAAAATACTTTGGGCGAACTTTGAAAAAATTTTACTGTGATAACAAAAAATCAATTGAAAAGAAACCATAAATGTTGAAAGAAGGGGCCACCATGCTATCTGCCAATGTGAAAAAGATTAAACCGAGGGACATGCAAAAACAAGCCAGCCAATCAAATTTGTTAAATGATTTTCCTGGTGAAATTTCATTAAAAAAAGTTATAAAAATTAAAATAAGAATTTAACATCAATATTTCACTAACTCAAAACAAAAAAAAATCTTGAATAACAAACTGTTTACTATAAACCACAGACCACAAACCTTGAATAATTATGCCACCTACAAGAACAGGAATGAGCTTGCAGCACTTGAAGATGACTTGAGTCGGATAGTTGAGGTAACCAAGGGACGAATTTGAAAATCCCATTGTACCAACAGTCAGGAATGCCAACAAGAGGTAATTTTTAAGTGGCATTCTATGGAATGAAATATTGTTTCAAGAATTTTTTGATTAATACATTGAGTTTTTTAAAACTACTAATTGCGATGAAAAATAACTAATTAATTAAGTGAATACAACAGTGATAATTAGAAATAAATGGAAACTAACTTTCTGGTTCGATCATGTTTTAAAAACATTTCTATCAATCCAAAGAAAGAATAAAGCAAAAATTGTGTCATTGTCAAGAACCAGCCATATGGTTTAAAACCTTCAACTGTAAAAATGAGTTCCTAGAAAAAGATTATTATAATAACAGTTGAGAATTGTGAAAAAATTTTCTTAAAATATTACGTGACTTCTTTAATACATTTCCACTAAATCAAACTACAAACTAATTATGCACAAACCAGTCAAAAATTATAAATGCTAAAAATCACAAAGTGAACAAAGAACAGAATTTACATTTTTTGAATAAACATCACATACCTGGCAATAGCCATAAATAAGGTAAAACACGAAGACACATGCAGAACATATAAAAAACTGAAAATAAGCAGATTGGTTGGAAAAATTAAGTCCTAAAATAGAAAGTTTGTACACATTGACTTGACCATCATTTTTTATTTTTGCTGTTGATTCTATGGAAATGTGTACTGAATTATCACCGTTATTGAATCGATGTTTTGAGACAAAATCTTCTGCCGATGATGATGATGTGTATTCATCTTCTGTTACTACTTTAATTACTCGTTGCATTTCCATAACAGAGTAATTTGAAACAATTTGCTCATACACCAGTATCTATCTATAAAATCTTTGGCTTCATTTTTGAGAAAACTGAAAATATCTGAAAAAAATAAAATATTTAAAATGTAGTTGGGGTTTTTGTCATGATGCATTTTTTCAAAATAAATATACACAACACTTTTATGGTTACTGGAAATCATTTAAATTATTTATAACTAAGTTAAGAAAAAGTATTGTAACGTTGAAAACTTATTCGTTGTCATTCTGTTTCTGATATTGTTAGTCTACACAGTTAATTTACTCCTCTTACTAGCCTTTTTACAATTTTGCTGGTAACTTACAAGCTTAATTTCAATATAATTTAACCTGGTTACGGTAACCTTAAAAAAACTTTTTAATTAGACAGTTTTCAGCTAGTGGAACAAAGAGACAATTTCATATATTTATACGACAATGTTTTAACATTGTCAGTAAAGCTCTCATCTGCTATCTTCATGCCTCGTGATTAGACTGCAACAAATGTGTCAAAACGAGAATTCTTTTAATTTTTTTTAAATCGTGACTAGATTATATGCAAAAAACCTAACAACACAAACTTATTAGGGCAAGGTTTAACAAACTTCATTTTATTTATTTATATTAATTTCAAAAAAATAACAAAGATACAACATTTCTGCCAAATTATTTATTATGTACAATAATGGTCTTATTAATTAATTATTAAAGACTAAGATAAGTCTTAAATACTTTCAATCAATTCAACATGATTATTAGTTCAAATAAATAAAAAATAAACAAAAACACTGGAGCAAATTAAATTAATTAATAATAATTTTTTTAATGAAAATAAAAGATCCATGACTTCATGAGACAAGAATGAACTACTAAAAAAAAACTAAATTACTAAACTAAATAATTAATAATGATTGATTGATTGTCATTCATCATTGTCATTTCAATTTTATTAATTAAAAAATTTATGTTAATCAATTAAAAAATTAAATAATAAATAATGAATTAACTGAAAAAACTCAACTCAAACACCAAACAGACCAAGCACCAAACGCGGAGACCGCAAAGTGGTTTTTCCAGCAGTATTTATTTATAGTCAACAGTTTAAAGAGATTCATAAGCTCCACCCACGGTGCAACTAATAGTTAAACTAAATACAGCTCACTTGTTCGTTGGTTTGGGACCGTATTATGTACACAACAGCCAGAATAATAAAAGGAAAACGGTTCTTTGGGTATTTTTTTACAAATGTTATTGAATTTAAATCAAAAATATAAAACGCTTGACAACGCAATCTACCCTTAAACGATTTTGGATCAAAATCTAACCTGAATATTAATGCTTGGTTCCTGTTATGCGAAATGTTATAGCTCTATTTCTATATCTACGTCAATGCTCAACCATTGAGGTATAACCATTGAGGTGCTCCTCCCACGGTGCAACTAAGTTAAACTAAATAGATCTTTCCGCCGATTATGAAGTGAAAATTAAAAGAAAATAAACGGTTTTTTGAAGAAATTTTATTTTGTAAATGTTATTGAAATTAAAATTGAAAAACATAAATGAAAAACGTTTGACAAAAAAAGAATAATTCATACAACATAATATGTACGGATGAGCTCAAGAGCTCTTTGGAACCGCTCGTCGCGGTCTCTAGCACCGCGCTGCCACATAAACTCATCCAGATACGATGAGATGTGAGCATCGCAGGTGCCATGCATCTGTTTAAATTTATCTTTGGCACATTTCCAAAGATTTTCTATGCCATTTGTGTGGACTCCAGTTGAAGCCACGAACCCATATTTGTGATTAACAGTATTGTGCGGCAATCCTGTTGACTGACTCAGGCTATTATAAGCGGCCCAGCGATTTGACCACATAGTTGTTCCTGTTTGATAAGTTAGCAGTAAAATATATTTGTCAAACAAAAAATTGAGAAAAAATTACCAGGCAGTATATGGCGTTGCACTATTGGCATGAGTGTTGCTGCGCCCCTTTGTGGCACCTCCACATGAAACGCTTCTTTTGTATTTGTATCATTGTTGTATCAACACCCACCTTTGCAGAAAGAGCCTTGCGTGATCTCTTTTCGTTCGTTTGGCACACGAGACCAGAGTTTCATCAATCTGGACTACGTGTCCTGGCCCACCTATTCTCACTGGGTTATCTCTAACCCCCTCTGTGAACAGCTCTCGATGGAAATTAAACCAGTCAGGCAAAGTTTTGCTGCTTTCTATTTGCAGCAGACTCGCAACTGTTTCCCACTGTTTCCTGATTGATATCTCCCATACTCCAGTAGTATGTCAACTGAAACAAGCGAAAAGAATTGAATGAAACGTAAATTGGTTCTTTTTTGAAAATTAAATCACAATGGTAATTTAAAAAAATTCTTCTCGTCATCTCGTCAGTTAAGTTGAAGGCGTTGAAGTTGTTAAATCAGCTGATTCAACTAGTAAACTGAATATATATATATATATATATATATATATATATAAATGCTGGTAATAGACTATAATTTTTACAATATTCTATAAATTCTACCGAATGTTTGGCGTTAATATGTTCGTAGTTCGTTTTTTCGATTTTTCTCACTAAAGTTTTTTGGAATTAAATCAAATTGCACTGATGATGATTCATTCGGAATCAACATATGGCCTAATTTGCAGCATGAATTATAAAAATAAGTTTATTTTGAATTTTAATGAACTAAAGGTTCTCTAAAAAACTTTAGTGACAAAAATCGAAAAAACGAACTACAAACATATTAACGCCAAACATTCGGTAGAATTTATGGAATATTCTAAATATTCCATAAACTCTATACATTCCATATATATTGTATATATATATATATAATATATATATATATTATTAAATAATATATTATAATTTATGGAATATTGTAAATATTCCATAAATTCTATACATTCCATATATTTATATTATATATATATATATATTGGATTGTGACAGAAATACAATTAATGATGAATGAAAATCACAACATATTCCCCGTTAGTTAGCATTCTGTTTAATTTTTCGATTTTTCTAACGGTAGAACGTAAATCATAGTCAATTTTCTTGAGTTAAAACTGAAATTTTTATTTATTTTAATCAAATTGATACGTTGTGTATATGGCCCAGACTTTATTGTAATGGGCAGCTGGACCAAAATGTGTAGTTGAAAATTTTTTTGGAGCAGTGGAAAAGGCACCATGGGCAGTCAAAATGTAAAGTTCTGGGCAGCAATAAAACAAAAAAATGTAGCTAATCTTTCGTAACTACAATAACTTACACTCAAACACTCACCGTAAGAGACACAAACGAGTTATTTTACCGTGGAACAACATAAATTATTATATGCACATATGCATATGACATCTTTTGAATCACTGAAGCTTTAAAGACAGTTAAAGAATTACTTAAATTTTATTATTTTTAATCAATAAAACATTTTGGGAATCTTAAATATGTCTGCGTAACAATCAAAGAGATAGACAGTGTAATTATGTAAAATATGCATTGTAATGAATAGTAAGTAGTAAGTGTCAAAATTTCTTCTTATATTTTTGCTTTTATCTTCATCCAATATTTCATCGCCTGCCTTGTGCTGTTCTGTCGATTGAGGAAAAATTCCGTGAAATTAAACCTGCTCCTTTGCTTTTGGTGTACTTTTTACTCTTTGTTCTGTCCGTTTCAACTACAGCAGTATAGCAGGTCAAGGGTCCCAATCGACTAAAGTAATGGTTCTCAGTGCTGAATGATAAACTGGCCCTCTTTATTGACTTCAGTGTTGTACTGGTGCTGATCAGCCTCTCAACATCAGCGCTGAGCGGTTTAGCAGCCAATATTGTTGTTACGTTTATGTACGAGTCTGATGATGCAAAAAAGCGCACCAGTTCCGGCAATGACATTTTACGAACTCTTTTGCTAAATCTGCTTTTGCTTTTTCTGGCCTTTTTCTATGAGACTCTTTACCTCCTTCTCTGATGACTTCTCCATCCCTTACGAAGTTTAGAACGGATCTATTTGCAAAATTCATTGAGGAGCGCTGTTGAACATCGCGGAAAAAGCGCTTTATAAACTAATTGAATGATTGATTGCATGAATGATTGATTGAATGATTGATTGAATGATTGATTGAATGTTTGATTGAATGATTGATTGATTGATTGATTGATTGATTGATTGATTGATTACGAAGACCATCAATGTTATCCACAGCAAGCAAATCATCGTACATCTTCAAGTTTGATGACTGTTAAAGCCGCAAGGGTTGCTAATGGTTTAGCAATGCGCACAATTTCTTCACCCATTGCAAAGCGTTAATCTAGAAACTCATCTAGTGATTCAGCTTACTTATTGCACACTACACGGACATTCCTTCAATCCGTCATATACATATGGTGTGTCTTACGCCACATAATATGAGGCTTTGCCATTCATTTTGAGCGAACTATTTTCAAGTGTAAATATTTGATTGTTCAATGCCTCAACCTATCCTTCAAGTAACAGTTGTATTTCAAGTCACGCAGTTTGGTTTTCACCTGTGGGGTTAGCTTGTCTGTAAGGAAGATGGGGTTCTGATTGAAGCTGTTTTTGATTCCTGCTGAAAACGTGTGTCCGCCAGAGAAGTGATTTAAGATTGTTGATATTTAGCAGGAATGCGAGGTAACCGCTGGCTTCTTTGTCTTTGAAGTTTTGAAGAAAATAAGCAGGCAATGCCATGATGCCGGAACTGCATTCAACATGTTGGAATTGAACTGCGTCCAGTGAACCTCAAAGAGTTTTGGCAGTGACATTAGGCAACAGTTATTGTTTCTTGCAATATCTTTCAACTCTCTAGTGCTAAGTGCAGAAAAGTGAAAAAAATGTTTGAGCCTATTAGTTTCTGAAATGTTTGTTCGACTTCACTAACTGTAGACTTCCATGCTGGATTTGATTTATAGACGCCGGACCACACTTTAAGCAGTGGGACTTTGTCATCAACATATTCTTTATTTTTTTTTTCTCAGACAATTTTCAAAAACCTTTATTGAATATATTAAAAATGTTTTCGGAAATTTAACACAAGTAGTACACAATGCAAAATTTCGGCCATTTTGACAAAATATCTTAATTGTTTTATCAGAGCTGAATTTTGTTACTTAGTTATTTTAAAATAAGAATATCTAGTTATTGCTTCCTTTGACAAACGTGCCATTAAAACTGACTTACAGATACCAGCACTGTCAATTTCTACTTCGTCAAATTTATTAGCATTTATGTTTGACTGCAGCGTACTTTCTTCATTGTCATCCGATTTAACGTCTGCAAGTACACCAGGTGAGGCTGGTGATGAGCCCATCACATACTGTTAAGCGTTTTCAACATGATCATGTTTAGAGGCAGTGGCTGCGGAGTCACACATAGATGAAAATGAGGCTATCGAAGATGATACAGTGTCACAATATCAGCTTTTTCTGGTTTACTGGACGTACTTGTAGGCTACTGTTGCATCACTGATAGTGTGCGATGCGACTACCAGCCAAAAATTCCGCTTAAATCGACACGGTTGACTAGTAACTGCTCTTTTTCCTCATTACCTTTAACGTACTCAGAATAATAGTAGAATAGATATTAAAAATGAACGCAGATATTAAATTTTAAAACGATATGAATAACTAACCACTGAACTGAACAGCTTGAGCTAAAAGCAACAGCCAATATCAATGAATAAATGCCAGTTTAGTACTAAATGTACAAAGAAAGGAACATACAAATTTAATTACTAACTGAATGAAGAACTTAAAGTAAAACCGTACGATTGAACGTTAATAATAATAGTTAATAAAATGATTGATTGATTTAATTGATTTACGTTATGGAAATATAAGTGATAAATAAGTAAATTAATTGAAGTTTTGTGCAGGGGCGACGAGTCACAGCCATAGCGCACCGAAGTAACATCTGTTTATCAGCCTAAAAGCAGGCGAGGTTAAATTTCGGATCGCAAAATTTGCAATTGCAAGTTGTAAAACATAATCGATTAAGACAATAACGTTGTAATTTAGCTGAAAAACATTTTAATAATTTTATTCGGCGATTAAAAAATTAACGTAGCTTTTGGGACACGAAAATCTTTTATGTTGCACGACGTCCGTGGTTTTGGGCAGTGGGAAAAAAACTATAGAATAAGTACTGATGTGGCCGATTGCTCAAGTATATATATTCTGTGTCTCTACAATGCTCTAATTCTTTGTTTGTTTTATGTGAATACTTAACGGTCATTTAATTAATTATTACGATCTTCAACTTTGTGCAATATGAGACTTTTTCGTGTCATCATTATCGATGATTCATCTGTTTCTAAATTTATTAGTGGGAAGGATTCCAATTGCACGTTGTTGAATATTTATTACCAGATGTTTTTTTTTATGAATATTGACTCGGTTAATCGTAAATTATAATAGTTGTTATCAGGCCCGGAATTAGGGGGAGGCAAAAGGGGCAAGCGCACCGGGCGTTAAATTTTAGGGGCGGTAAATTAATTTTAAACTTATTTATTTATTTTTATTTGTTTATTTAAATCTGATCAACCTTATTAACTAACAAATCCAATTGTGTTAATTACCTTGAATACACGATTTTTAATTTTAGTCTATATAATGTTGAAACGAGACAATCGAACCAATATCGAAACGAAACTGAGAGTAAAAAACACATGGACAGCTTGATAAAAATATTGTTTAATGTTTTATTGATAATAAATCTCTCTTCATATAGAAATAAATTTAAATTATCAACAGAAAAAATCACAATAAATTATTAAAATTATTAATGGAAAAATAATTACAGGATTTCCAAAAACTATTTACATACAAAAAACTATTTACATAAAAAAAAACAATTTACATACAAAAAATTATTTACATACACAAAAAACTATTTACATACACAAAAAATATTTAAATACACAAAAAACTATTTAAACACAAAAAACTATTCACATACACGAAAAACTAGTTACATACAAAAACCTTTTCACATAGAAAAAAATGTACAACACTAAAAGATATTTACATTACTCACAAAAAAGTGACACGACTTAAGTTTTCTCATTGAAGATGAAATCATAAATTTGTTGTATCAACTTGTCTGGAGGAAACAGTTGGTCGATGGACACATTGCACCTCATGATGTTGAGGAAATGTTCGATTACTTGAAAACTGTATGTAATTTGGTGTTCTATCTGATCAATGAATGGACATAGACAGTGTTGCCCCGTTAAATAACTTACTTACTCCTTTGTAGCTCTAAATGTGGTGTAGATGGTAAGGAGGGATGGGGATCGGAAAAGTGGGCATGTTGTTTTCTCCACTGATCGATGCACGCTCTAAAGAAGCCTTGCAAACAACCGGCCAGGTATGCAAAGTTTCCAACAATTTTATCTAAACAGATGCTGCATGTTAGATGCTGCATGTGAACATTTTTGTTACATTAAAATTAAATCGTTTTCCTTAATCATTTATGATAGTTTGCTGACTTAGCATTTGAAATACAGTACTAAATTTAATTTTTCATTTTTGTAAGTTGTATAAAATAAATTTTAATCTTTTGTGAAAAATTTATTATAATTGAAGAAAAAAACTTCATAAACAAACGATGACATATTCATATACACACACAGGTATTGGCAATTTATTAATCAAATATATTTTCACATTATTAAAAAATGTAAATCTCAAAACGTATTTAATCTGTAAACAATATATACAAACTACACTCGATATTTACATAAAAATCGAAAGGTTTAGGCAACATGGACACAATTGGTGATACCATCCCAAAAAATCCGCCAATTTCTAAAGAATGTAGAATTTTCGACATTCTAAAACGTAATTTGCGTCAAGTCTTAAATCTTTTAATTTCCATTTCCAAATAAGGTAAAATTTTATTGATCTTTTATCGGGTCATCACACATGCATGCGAACGTGCCTGTATGCTTGTGTTTCAACAAAATCACCATAATGTTCACATATATCTAAAGTTTAAAATTGTGAATTAATTAATTAATTCATTCATTCATTTATTCATGATTTTAAATTTAAGTTTATAATATAACGCTGAAATGAGACAATCGAACAAATATCGAAACGAAACTGAAAGAAAGGGAAACATGGGCATCTTGATAACGAGATTGTTTAATGTTTCGTTGATAATAATTGAATGTAAATTATATTTACGAACTGAAATATCACAATGAAAAATTATTAGTGGAAAAATAATACGGGACTTCCAAAAACTATTTTCACACAAAAATACTATTTACAATCAAAAACTATTTACAAACCAAAAACTATTCACCTACATAAAAAATGTCTTACATGCCAAAAAACTATTTACATAAAAAAAACGATTTACATATACACAAATATTCTAAAAAATATTTTCACAACTCACAAAAAATTAGCCGACTCAAGTTAGTTATGTTCCTATTTTCTTTAGACAAAGCAGTCACTTATTTTGTTTCATATTCTTCATCTTCTATTGTTGTCAATTTTCAAGGAAGTTTATAGAAACTATGTAAACCAAAGCTGCACTGAAGATGATTTGTGAAAAATTGAAATAGAGCCAATCTGCATGATAAATGACTAAATGTGGATAACAACAGTTCAATTTTAAATATATTTGCATGATAAATTTATATATTAACTCTATTTTCAATAAATTGAACTATTTCCAAAAAATTGCAATAAGATAAACTGAAAAGTGCACGTTGTTTAAGCGAGGAAGTTCTCATAGGATCACCAGGTACTACGTCAAACTAGGTTAGTTATTGGTACAACACTGTGTTGTACCCATAATTGAAGTCATATGCCCCATAAAAACTTGACTCAGATTTTTAAAATAGCTTTTGCATCTAATAAAATTATAAATTGTTAAACTTGTTGTTGTCACAGATATCATTATCTGTCGATAAATTTATACAATGCCTATTTATAAACATCTCGACTTATAGCTTTTTCGATAAAGTTTATAATTAAAACGTTTATCAGTTTTGGTGAAATTTATTTAAAACTCGATAACAACATGTCAGCAAAGCTGAGGTGAATATGCGATAGCTGTCATAACTTTATAAGCTTTATATGTTTTTTGCGTAATGTGTATTAGTACCATTCTACTGAGAGCTCAATTATACAGAAATTTCAAAAAATTTATTTATTTATTTTTTAATTTGTTACGGCACTGCAGCTCCTAAGATGGTGCTTTAATGTGTCCTGTTTGTAAATTGATAATTGTAATTTTTTTGTTTAATTTTTGTTTCTCTGTTTTATTAAATTCCTCTTAACATAACGGGAAATTCGACCAAGCCGCATCAAGCCATCAGTCCAGAGTTTGAAAAGAAGCCTTTGACCGAGGTGTTGTTTTGTAGGTTAGGTATTATTAGTAACAGCTTGATCCAGTTTATCTGAGCTGGCGGGAAGCAGATATAACAACCACACCGTAAACCGGAGGCGCCAGAAGCTGACGCCACCACGGAAAAAGAAAAAGCCCATCTACCGTTTGTCGGCCCCACAACCCAATGACCCCCATACAGTGCAATCACCATAGTTTTATATAGTGTCCACTATTTACATTCCTGATATGGCTGGCGTCTGAGTCTCCACTAGGTAGGTCACCCATAAATGGCATTCGACACAACTTTGAAAGTGTTGATTTTCTCTTAAGTCATATTTAGCCACAATAGATTCTCAAGACACCTTGAGAGTTTTTTGGCCTCCACCATGGTAATTAGCAACATCAGATTCTCAACATAACCCAGAGGGAAAAGTTTAAACCTATTTACAGAATTTGTGTCTCCACTAAAATAATTATTCTCGATATATTTTTGGGTGAACTATACATCTCCTCACTGACATATTTGAGCCATCATTATGAGGTTTGTCCACAACAGGGGACAATATTTATTTGTTTTTTCAATGTTTGGTTGTATTTGCTAGAGATGTGCTTTCGTTTGATCTCAGTCTGTTTGCCATAATGATATATGTTATTTTGCAATGTTTCGTTTCAAATCAGAATGTGGCGTTGAAGTATTAGTTATGGGAATCTGATGAACTTTTACTGATAAAGTGTCAACCTTCTCATTGCCGAATATCCTTATATGACTGGGTATATCCATACTATTTGGATGTTACATTTATTTTGTGTTTATTCATTTATTTTAATTTTTATATTTTTTATTATTCATTTTAATTTGTATGAAGGCTAGTACAGCTGACAAAGAAAAGAATTTATTTAAAAACTGCAACAACAAAACATCCAACGAGTAGAACAGTCTCGATAAATTATTATTAATCAGCGCAATCAACACAGATGCATCAAATAGGAGTGTATTTTTTGTAATTACTCAGTATTTTGTTATTTTTGGGCAAAGACTAACAATAAATAAAAAAATTCTTAATTTAATTTAACTTTATTGGGTCAACATATTAGACACTAAAGTTATATACGCACACGCACGCACGCACGCACACACGCAAACACACATGCACGCACACATAAATATATAACAAGATTCATGTGGACCATGGATACAATATATATAATATATAAGCTATAATATATATGCTATAATATATAAGATATAATATAAGCAATACGTATATACGAATAGGTATATACGTATATATATTTATTAATTTATTTGCCCAATGAACGTCCGTTTTATTTGCCTATGATCCAGTAGCGCTTTTGAGATTCAACAATTAAAAAGCGCCGTATATAAATTTTCGTAATAATAATATCGTATATGAATTTCATATTATATATATATATATATATATATACAATATATAAAAATTTATACAGCGCTTTTTAAAATAAAATATTTTCAAAGGCTCTAACAAATAGAACAAACAAAAATAAAACAAAAAACGTATCGCAACAAATTGATCGTCAAATGCAAGAATAAAAATGTTGTATATATATATATATATATATATATATTTTTTTTTACAATATTCTATAAATTCTACCGAATGTTTGGCGTTAATATGTTTGTAGTTCGTTTTTTCGATTTTTCTCACTAAAGTTTTTTGGAGAACTTTTAGTTTATGAAAATTAAAAATAAACTTGTAGACTGGCGGATCTAAACAACTTTGAAAAAGATCAACATTTTTGTAAATGTTTAAATTTTCACGGGAAGTGTCAATATTTTGACGGGAGAGGCTAAAATTTGTAGTAGTTTGTAGCTGACTACTTTTTTCTTTTGCTTATTACGTCCATCTTTGGTCGATTCGATTTTTTCGACTTAAAACGCTGCTTTTTCTGTTAACTTTAACTGTTGAATTTTTTTTTTTATTAAAAATAGTGCTCAGAATGTGGGAAACCGCCGCTCCCTAAATCCACCACTGAGTGTAGAATGCACTAAAAAATATTAAGATCAATCATAGATGTTGCTAGTTGATGCTTACGAAACATCTTCCTGACGCATCGCTAAATTATAATTATCTATATGTATTTGTATCAGGTTTGTATCAGGTTTTAAATATTTGAAACACCAACGTTTAATGTTCAACGCTTAAGTAAATGATTAAAAGGTTAAAGGTTACTCTCTCTCTCTCTTTTGCGTTAGCTTCAGAAGTTTCAACGACAAACACACACAACGTATATGAATACGCGTGTAAACCACGCATCATACACATTGCATATGATAGGCGGGGATCTATTTGTATTCGAACCCAGTCATTGCAATAGCATGACCAGGCGCCTTTAACCATTGGGCCATCACGCCGATTAGCTTAGCAGATCGGTACATTTTCGCTTGATCGTTATGTGATCGGCAAATTATCGGCATATGGAGAACTCTCCAAATCGGTAAATACCAATAAATAGGGCCTACAATTTAGCAGCAACCAATCATATGTATTCATTAAATTATATGGGACTTCCTATATACATTCACCCCTAACTAGGATGGTTCAACCGGCTCACATTCTACCATTATGTAATTAAAATATGATAAAAAAATAATTTTACTTTTAATTTATTGTTTGTTTAAAATAATATTATTTATCAACAAAATCAACACTTACTATTTTTCATTTTTTACCTAAAAATTGCAACTATTCTACCTTACACATTCATCGGTATCAGTAAATTTTATTACCGATGTAGGGATTGGAAGAAATCAGTAATTTTCAGTACATCGGTTTGAGAACATTAATGGAATAAACACAAAAATTCATTTCTATATCTTTTTTTAATCAATGATCATGAACTTGAAAAAATTCTACAACGAAAAACAAGAATTGATTAAAACACTGAAAAACACCTCCAAATATTTCTCTTAATTACAGTCAGATATACAGTTATCAAGATTCGTGTTTATTATTAAATATTGAAAAAATTAATCATTATTAATTTCATTTTAATTTATAAAATTATATATTTACTTAAATTGGCTTAAACTTCTTCGATGAGATAAATATTTAATAATCACATGCTTCAACTCATCTTCAAACAGATTAGAATAATCTATAAATATATCGTAACCTGAACAAATAGTATCGTTATCGCATGAGATAGGTTATCAAACATTTTACGTTAATATAAATACTGTGGCTGGAATGAAAAAAATAATTTAAAAATATTAGAAAATATTTTTGCAAAACTTTATTTTAACAGAATGGTTAAAATAACGACGTATTATTCCATGACAGGTTTGTGCATTTTTATAGCTGCACTGGTGTTGCCGACTCTTTCTGAGAGTGGTAAAACATACCTGCCAACATGGGAGTCTCTGGATTCACGACCACTGCCTGCCTGGTTTGATGAGGCTAAGATAGGAATCTTCTTACACTGGGGAGTCTTCTCTGTGCCCTCGTTTCAGTCTGAATGGTTTTGGAATAGTTGGAACAATGGGAATCCAGCCGCTGTAGAATTCATGAAAAAGAACTATCCACCCAACTTTACATATGCAGATTTTGGATCTCAGTTCAAAGCAGAGTTTTATGATACTGACCTGCTTGCTGACATCTTCAAGGACGCAGGAGCAAAGTTATTAATAATTAAATAAATACGGTTAAGTTCTACTAATGAATTCATAACTTTTAATTTTGATAGATATGTAGTCCTGACCAGCAAGCATCATGAGGGCTACACAAATTGGCCTTCCAATTATTCTTGGAACTGGAACTCGATGGATGTTGGTCCCAAAAAAGATTTAGTAGGTGAGATTTTTCATTATTCAAAAAATTAAATAATTTCAATAAATTTGAAGGTTGAATGTAGCGAGTTTCTTAATTAACAACTATACATAATCAAAAAGAATATCTTGAAATTATAAATTATTTGATAGGAGAACTGGCCACGTCCATTCGAAAAAGAACTGACCTTAGATTTGGATTGTATCATTCTATGTTTGAATGGTACCACCCTTTATATTTAAACGACAAAAGCAACAATTTTAAAACGAACTTATTCACAATGGTATTATTACAGATTAAGCATTGAGAACATTTTCATCGATTTCTACCAAAACTTTGTAATCTTCAGAGTAAAACGTTACCAGAGTTATATGAGATAGTGAACCTGTACAAACCTGATGTTGTTTGGTCGGATGGAGAGTGGGAGGCATCTTACAAATATTGGAACAGCACTGAATTCTTGGCTTGGCTTTATAACGACAGGTTGTTACTCTGACTGACCGATTGACCGACCGAACGCTGACTGAATAATTTCTCAAATGGGAAAAATTGTCTTTTAAAATCATTTCGGTCACTTTTATGAAAATAATAACATAATTTGAAAAGCATTCACCAATTTTATTTTGGTTTTATATTTTGAAAACCAAATTTTCCAGCCCAGTAAAAAATACAGTTGTGGTCAATGATAGATGGGGAGGGGAGACACTGTGCAAACACGGAGGATTTTACACTTGCACAGACCGTTTCAATCCAGGTTCAACCAATATCACGTTAGTATTTTATGTGGACCGCCATAAACTAACTGCTCAACATATTATGCAGGTGTTCTTCAGAAACATAAATGGGAGAATTGCATGACGATGGACCTCAGTTCGTGGGGTTACAGAAGAGTAGCCCAATTAAAAGACATTATAACAATCAATAAGCTAATTTATGAACTCGCATCAACTATAAGGTATATTTGCGTTTAAAACTAAACGGTTTATCAAGTGTAAAAAAAAATATGTATTACACTTGAAACTACAGCTGTGGTGGAAATATATTGATCAACGCTGGAATTCGATCAGATGGACGAATTGATCCCATCTTTGAGGAGCGGTTGAGGCAACTGGGTACGTGGTTGAAAGTTAATGAGGAGGCAGTTTATTCGTCAGTTCCTTGGAAGTTTCAAAACGACACCATCACCGAAAACATATGGTGAGCACCATGTTAAATTATTTTGCTAATTAACTGAAATACTTATTAAATTGTCATACAGTATAAATTGTATTATCATTTTTAAGGTACACATCTAAACAACTTGCCACTAGCAAAGCCGTTTATGTTTTTGTTTTAGACTGGCCATCAAAAAATATTTTGACGTTAGGAGCTCCTCAGCCATCTTCATCTACCAAGGTCACAATGATTGGGCATAATGCAACATTTCAATGGAGCAAACTTTCATCGAGTGGAGGCATGAATATAACCTTTCCATACATTTCACCCAACCAGCTGCCTTCAATGTGGGCTTGGGTTCTGAAATTACAAAATTTGAACAACTAATATATTTTTAATAATATGCAAAGCCAACAAACATAAACCTTCTCATTTTTACGTTTCGATTGTAATTTGAACTTCTCTTTTGGAAAAGATCCAAATATTTTAAATTCAAAACAATGGTTTTTTTTTATCGAAATTGTAAACAGCATGCTAAGTCGCGTGAGCGCAGTTAGCGCACCGGTTATAAAAAAAAGTTCATTCAGGGAAATTACTTTTCAATTTATTAAGCCCAACAGAACATTCATCATCAATGTTCATTATCCATCATCATTTTTGCCCGTTACCCAAACTAAAATGGGGTGCTGATGTCGTTTAATGCAACAAATAATTAACAAAATTGAATTGGAATATATTTTGACTGAAGTAGTGGCCAGTGAAAAAACACATTCTTTCAAAAATGTTGTAAAAAAATATACTTTACATTGCACGACTTTGAGTATTAATAATTGATTTTGTTTATTATAGTTTGATTTATTTTATCAAGATTCACAAGTAGATAATGTTACAACATTTTTGGTTACTGGATAGAGTTGATTATGTGTTGGAAGATAAAAGCTGTTTATTTTAACGCCTTTTTAATAATGGGGAAGAATTGTCCGTTAACACTCTTAATAATGCAACTACACGCACCATATCAAAGAAGCTATTAAAAATATGTAATGTTTTTACTAAAATAACTTTTAATTAGTAAACTGTATAGTTGAGTTCATAAAAAATGTCAATGTATACTTTTTTCATCCAAATAAGTTTGAAAATTAATGATAATGATTTTTAAAAGGCTTTGAACATATTACAGAAGATAGAGCCAATTAGCTAGAAAATCTAGCGCAAATATTCAACCCTAACTAAAAAATTTTTATTAAGATTTGCATTTACCACCCCAGATGAAGACCGAAATTTTTTTTCCTTCAAACTATTTAAAATTGACTGATTGATTTTTTTAACAAAATAAAACATTTATTTATAAACAAATTGCTATTTAAAATTTCAAACATCTTTTTTACAAAATATGGAAAATGACGTTAAATAATTAATTGAAACTTAAAACAATGACAAAAGTGATTCAATAACGTATTCACAAGACGCATTGCTTCCGTGAAACCTCAGCATCAGAAACATTCTGTTGCTAGAAACGTCTCAATCGACCAATAAGAGATTTTGTTACTCTTCTAGGCAGAGAATTTTTTGTTCTCGTTGTTTCATAGTTTTCCAGTTTGTCAGCCTCAACCGATGAACAGATGCAGTTCTTGAGTTGTTGCATGATCTTATGAGGATGGTCTTCGTTGAAGATGTGCTTCAACAAGTAGTAATAATTTAGTCCAGGTTGCATTGTTTTAACAGCTGAACAGCAAGGACATTTGAAATGCAACTCATGAGACGTGCAGATGACCTCAACAAAACAACCAAATGGGTCGCAAGTAACTTCGTAAGAATTCATTTTTAAGTTCATGCAGTTGATGGCAGGATATGAGTTTGAAGTGTTGTTGCTTGGAAAGGTAGCTGAAGAAAGTGTGGATGCGTTTGAAGCATCGCTGAAATAGTTGCTCAAATTACTTGTGGATGCATCGTGTGACGTTGAAGTGATATGTTGTGGTGTGGTGTCGCCAGTGAGATCGATGCCATGATCTCCTGAATAACTGCTTGTTGAGAGGATTTCAAAAGTTGGCTCAATACGACTTTGAACATTTTCATTGTCTTCGTCGTCTATGTACTTGATATTTTCAAATAATTCTGCATTTATAAAAGAACAGCTCGCAAGTGATGTTACAATGGTGTCAGCTGAAGAGCTCGATGAACAACTAGTTTCATAAGATGGGAATGTTATTTCCTCAATGCCATCATCGCTGTCCTCACTTCCATCGTTTGTGACAACTTGGAAGCATCTCAGTAGTGAATGGTTGATGCTGTTTCTTCTTTTGTTGATGATGTTGGACAGACGTTTCGATGAAGACGTCTTGTTTGTTGTTGTGTTTTCGAGATTTTTACATTCACTTGATAAACAGCAGCAACATAATGATTGCAATGCCTTTTTTGTATTATTTGACGTAGAACAATTGTTAGAAGGATGAATGTATTTTTCGTTGTTCGTCGTATCGTATTCAGGGTTCACTGGCTCAATGCGTTCAACTGATCTACTTGCTTCTTTCAATATTGATTTTCGTTTCAAGTTTTGTGTTGTGTCGATTGATGGTTCAGTAACTGTTTCAACAAATTTGATTGGAAGTCCTCCGTCAGAAACGTTGTTATAAACCTGGTAACTCTGATCCACCTCGTTGAACAACAGGAATGATACTCGTCTTGCCATTTTCATTCACTTATATGAAATGCTCTTGTAATTTAAAATATGATAATGTTTACAAGCAGATGTTAAAACCAGTTCAATTCGAAAATATTCATGTACTAACGAGACATTTGTAGTTTATATATTAGTTGACTGCGTGGAACCAACGACGGGGTTGTTATAAATTTCATTGTTCAATTGATAATCTTGTTATTATCGTCTAGATTGAAAATGATTAGCCATTTTAATTGATGTTACTCAACATTTGAACGATCGATTATTGGAACGTGTAATAAACTTTCTAATTGAAGTTAACAGTGGGAGGCCGTTGGGTGGTGGTTCTCTAAACAAATGATTGTTAGAATTTGGTGTTGTTGGACATATGTTTGAGTTGAAGTTAAAGTTTGATAGCCAAAATTCATTTTTCATGTAATAATAATACTAAAAATATGCATTGAGTCATATTGCAGTACTAACGTGACTGTAACAGCCTTAAAATATTCATTCACTAATTGAATCTATACTGTTTTTAAAATATTCAAACCTTTTGCATCCATTATTTACTGAGATAAGTAATTCCATTTGTTGACTATACGATTTGTAGAAACTTTTTTCGGCAGTTTTCTTTTTTACCTTTTTCCATTCGTTATCTTTTATTATGTCCTCTTGTTCTTGGGTCAAACACGAATATCGGTTCCTTATGCCAGTTTATTACATCTGTGCCACTTACAAATTGTACATATGAATTATACCATCTCTGGTTCTTTTTTTTCTTTTTTCTAACGTTGTTAAACCAATCATATTTATTCTGTCATGGTATGGTAAGTTTTTTAGTTTACACTTTCTGGTTGCTCTTTTCGGAACTTGCTCTAACTTTTTTTTTCTCCTGTTAGATATGGATTCCAGACTGTAGCCGCATACTCCAGGTGCAGTCTTACTAGAGATGTATAAAGTAATTTTAGTGATTTTTCGTCTGGAAATAGAAAAGATTTCCTAGTCATGCTTAGTTTTCTGTTTGCTTTCCCAACTGCATAACAGACATGTTCCATCCATTTCAGATTATTTGACACACAAATAACCAAGTCTTTTTCAAGTTCAGTTTCATTTAATTTGTTTTTTCTTTCCTATCATTATACATATAGTAAACAAAACTAGAGTTATTCCAAGCAATAGGCTTTATTTTATATTTTTCAGTATTGAATTTCCCATACCACTTGTCTGACCAATTAAACATTTCATTCAAATCATTCTGTAAATTAGTTTTAATTTTATTATTTTCTAGTAATTTAATAATTTTTGTGTCATCTGCATATAATTTACAATTATTTCTGACGTTCATAGTTAGATCATTATTTTTTATTATTAATCATTATTAATTTTATTATTTTCTAGTAATTTAATAATTTTTGTGTCATCTGCATATAATTTACAATTATTTCTGACGTTCATAGTAAGATCATTGATGTACACCACAAATAGTAATGCTCCAAGTACCGAACCTTGAGGAACCCCACTCAGGACATCTATTCAGCTTGACACATACTTCCCCATTACCACTCTGCTTTCTTTTACTTAAAAATGCTTTGCACCAAACTAACAATTTATCTTTAACACCAATGTTTTCTAATTTTATACATAATCGTTCATGTTGTACAGAATCAAAAACTTTAGCAAAAACAAAAAATGCTATTTCGACAGGTATATTATGTTCATTTGCTTCTGTTATTAAATCAAATGTCTCTAATAAATTCGTGAACAGCTTTTATTATTTACAAAACCATGTTGTTCTTTGATAATTAATTTATTTTCATTTAGATGTTTCATTAGTGTATCTCTTGTTATACTATCCATTATTTTGCAAACTACAGATGTTAGAGAAGGCGGTCTATAGTTTGATGGATTTAATTTATTACATTTCTTATATAGGGGTGTAACGTTATCACATAGCCACAATTCTGGCACTTTACCGTTTTGGCTTGATTTATCAAATAATTTTTTCAGTGATTTTGCTAGAACACTGAACACTCTTTAAAAATTCTAGGATGTCCACCAGCTACTGCAATAGCTTTATTTACATTTAGATTACCTAATTTAGTCTTGATAATGATTTCATTAAATGATGGGTCTGTGCATATAGCATTTGTTTTTGGTAGAGAAGTAGGAAAATTAATTTTATCTTCTATTTTGAAAACAGAGCTGAAATAATTGTTTAAAAAGTTTGTATTGCATGTCCATTTGTTACTACAGAACCATCAAAATTTTTTATAGCTTTTATACGCAGTTTTTTTTTATTCTTTTTTAGCAATTTTCTGTTATTTATTTTTTTGTATAGTTTTTAAATTTTTGATCCGAAATAAAAGTTTTATACAGATGTTAAGAAATGTATGCTCTTGGTTCTTGTTGTATTTTTTTATTTCAATAAGACAAGGTTATAAATACTGCAAAAATAACAAATGTATGGAGTCTTTCTAGTTCGCTATGCATGTTGAATTGTTATCGCATGAACGGAACAGGAACAGGCTCAATACCTCTGTTTGACTCAGTGACGAGATCATATCAGCGCACGGACCACTGGAAACAAAAACAGCAACAAAGTCACACATTCATTATAATTCAAGCAGTGAAATTCCAAGCAGTATTCGGCGAGAGTTGAGGCACAAAAAAGATGAATGCAAACATCTGCAAGTCAACGATGAGGTCAAGTAAAATTCTATGGCAACAACAAGCTTCGATAACAAATTTTACAAAACATTAACTATTTTGTTTATTTTTTAATTCCGTTGCTGATAAAAACGTTGAACTCAAATGATAAAGTGTTTAGCATAAGAATGGAGCTACAAAGGTTTAACGCTGACCTGGTTTAATCGGTAAAACAAAAAGCCACAATGGAATTCATGAAAGAGTTCAACTTGTAGCTATACACGAAATATAAAAATGGCATCTGGTGCAATTCGGTTGAATGTGTCTTGGTGGGTGATCATCACTTGGAAAGCAACTATTGAATTATGCAGTTTACAATGAGATCATCTGAATATTAACATTCAGCGACACAATTCTAAATAAAATATTATAGCTAAATTAAACGAAATCTTCATAAAATAGATCTAGAAAAACTAATTGAAGTAGTTGAAATTAGGGTGTCAGAGTTGAATAAAAAACATCCGCTTCTGATTCCGACTTTTTAAAAATTTACGACTCTCGACTCTGTCTTCCGACTCCGGTTCCTTTATTTTCATTATTGAGGATGATTGCTTATCGCTACACATATTTATCTTCTAAGAAACACGACCTTTAAAAAAAGTTCATAATAAAAAACAAATTATTTTAAATTCATAACATTTTCCGGTGTCGAATAAAAAATATCCGCTCTAAAAGATTCAAGATCCCAACACCTAATATCAATGAAGGTAATCATTTTCTGGTTTTTATATTTGGTTTCGTTTTTTTTGTTTTTAAATTTAATTGTGAAACGTTTATTTTTCTTTAAACCAAATTTCAACTTCCTAAGCAAAAAATGTTGAATGTGTGTAAACAATAATTTTTAGAGGATGTAGCACAAATTGAAATGGAAAAAAAAGAACTCTGCAAATGAAGTCAAGCTTCTCAATGGCATGACATTAGAAGAGTTTGCTGCAGTAGATGATAAAGTCCCCAACAAAATCAACAATTTTTTAAAAATATTGAACAATTATTGGTATCATCAGGTGATGCAAGTTTAGATCATGTAACTACCTCAGCCTGCAATCATCTTCGCTTCGGGCTCTTCGATGATGTGACACCTGATGAGATCATCAAATCTTCCTGCAATAAAACATCACCAGTGGATCTTTTCCACATCAAGTATTAACTGCATGAACACCTTATCAACTGCCATATCCATCCTTACAAATCTCTCATTTTATAGACAGTTTCCTGATAGTTTTGCAACAGCGTAGTCTCCCACTCATAGAAAAAACATAATTTAGATAGGTCCTATCCATCCAGTTATAGACCAATATCCAATCTATCTACCATTTCTAAAATTTATTGATGCGAAAGCTCTAAAAAAAACTTCAGCCCAATAATAATAATATCAATATGCGATCATTACCAACACACTCAAGTGTTTTCTTTTTAAAGTAAATTAAATTATGCTTTGTGTATCTTTGGTACCTACCTGTTACCTGCAAAAAGAAAATTTAAAGTGGATATTGGTATATTTTTATATACCTTCAAACCTTCAAATATATATACTTATAAAATATAATCTTAAATATATATAAATGTGTTATATATATATATATATATATATATACATATATATAAACATAACGATATTACAAGACAAAACATCTTTATAACAATAACTGAACCGTACTGATATGTAATGGATTGTTAACAATGTAGTTAAATATCATGCATGATTATATACACATGATGCATGCATCCTTTTAACTGTATCTACCAACAAATTGAATTAACGTGCATAAAACTTAACCCTTACAAATGACATTTCTTCGTACATCACACGAATGATGTTTCAATTTAATCCACTGCGGCAAACGGTGAATTCCCGATGATCAAATAATCACCCGCACATCATGTGATGTGATGCTGATTGTTATTCTATTGGAATTCAACAATTTTTAATTTAACCTCCCGACTATTTTATTTCGTTTTAATTTTTTGGCGTTGAAATAAATAATAACATAATTTTAATTTGTTTAAAATGCAATTTTCATTTGCGTTTCATTTTTTGCTTGCGTTTGCATTCTTGACCCATTCAACAGCAACACTGAAGAACAAAAAGACCTACGAGCCAACATGGGAGTCCATAGATTCACGACCACTGCCTGCCTGGTTTGATGAGGCTAAGATAGGAATCTTCTTACACTGGGGAGTCTTTTCTGTGCCTTCTTTTAAAGCTGATTGGTTTTGGTATTCATGGCAAACAAAAGATCCAGAAGTGCTGGAATTCATGAAAAAGAACTATCCACCCAATTTTACATATGCAGATTTTGGTTCTCAGTTCAAAGCAGAATTTTATGATTCTGATCTGCTTGCTGACATCTTCAAGGCTGCAGGAGCAAAGTATTTGAAATTTTATTTTTCAGAATCATATCAATAAATAATTTAAAAATTTTAAAACAAATGTTTAGATATGTGGTTCTCACCAGCAAACATCATGAAGGATATACTAATTGGCCATCTAAATATTCTTGGAATTGGAACTCTTTAGATTTGGGACCCAAGAAGGATTTAGTAGGTATGTTATTATAATTATAAGGTATAAGCATCATTAATTTATTAAATGAAAACATATCTAACATCATATGCATTATATTATTATATTGTTCTTTTCTAAATTTTGATCTGTTTATTTTCAGAATGTTATTTTTATAATAATATCCATGTTTAAAAAAATCTTTTTTAAAACAGGTGAACTTGCCAACTCAATAAGAAACAGAACAAATTTACACTTTGGTCTTTACCATTCTCTTTATGAATGGTACCATCCGTTATACTTGCAAGACAAGAATAACTCTTTTAAGACTAACTCTTTTACAATGGTGATATTTGAAAATTTTTTTTCTTGTTTTATATTGAATATTTTGAAGTTTTATTAATTTTGGCTAATTGGTTTAGAGAAAAACCCTGCCTGAGTTATATGAGATAGTGAACACATACAAGCCTGATGTTGTTTGGTCTGATGGTGACTGGGAAGCTCCTTATCAATATTGGAACAGTACTGAATTTCTTGCATGGCTCTATAATGATAGGTTGACAAAACTTATTCTTTGTAAATTTATAATTATTATTACAGCATGTATTTAAATCTGGCATATTGAAATGAAAACATTACCTTGAATAGTTTTTTTTCTATAAACTATGAAATATTTTTCTTCAGTTACATTTTGGTTACATTAATTAATCAAGTTTATTAATTTAAACATGAAAGTTTAAGCTAAGCAACCTTTAGTTTCTTTAATAAATAAAAATATTTAAAATGCTTGTTTTAAAATTTCTAATTAATTTAATGAATTTTAAGAACATAAAATTTATTTAATATAAATAGTCCAGTGAGTGAGACGGTTGTGGTGAATGACAGGTGGGGAGGTGGTACATTGTGCAATCATGGTGGGTACTTCACATGTTCTGATAAATACAATCCAGGTTTCTTCTGATTTTTTATGCATGCTTACATTCATATTTCATGTCAAATTTAACCACAGTTCTTCTGCTAAAAGAATTTGATGTGTTGTTTTAATCCTGCAATTAAATATAATCAATTAATCAAGTAATATGGGGTCAAGTCAGTCTAATAATATTTTGATCTAACAAATTAACAAACAATTTGTTTATGCCTAATGGTTTAACAGTTGAATAAGTGCTCATAACTTTTTTTAAATTTTTTGTAAGACAATTTTCATAATTAATTTACAGGCATTTATGATGTCAAAAATAATCTTTGAATTTATGTGCGTGCATGTTATTTAAATGATTGTGCAAGTTAATTTGAAGATATGCCTAGCTTGCTGTCATAATGTGTGCTAAGAAATGAAATGGTTCATGTCAATATAATTTATATTGGTATTGGTCCATGGTATTCAGTGGCGTTTCGGGAGCGTAGGGTCAATTGTGAGCAGCGTTTTTATTAAGGGTCAGTAAAACTTAGAAATTGGCGTGATAAGCAAAAAAAATGTCGCCAACCTAATTTTGTCCACACTAGCAATTTCGTAAAATTTCAAACGTTTAACATATTTTAAATGTTGCCTCCTACTCACCTCCATCAATGTTGTTTAGATCTGTCACTGTTTATAAACTTTGCTGGAAATAAAATCAGCAATGACGTCAGGCATTCATTATAAAATGTTGTAGAGAAGGTCAACGCTGAACTTGTCTCGACAGCGCTAATAAGACAATTTAATTTTAAAGTTAAACTTTGGCAAATCCTGACGTAGAATTTTCAGCGAAATATAGTCTATTGAGAACTCCTTGATTGATGATGATACGGGAAATAGTCAAGATATCTCGATAAAAATAATGATTATTGAAGACAAAATCTGAAAAAATGAATGATATATTTATGGAATACCATTTTCTTGTTTTGAAAATAATTCAAAATGACAGGTGTTCTGCAAAAGCACAAATGGGAAAACTGCATGACATTAGATCTTAGCTCATGGGCTTACAGAAGAGTTGCACAGTTGAGGGACATCATTTCAATAGAAGGTTTAATTGCTGAGGTGGCATCAACTATCAGGTCTGTTTCACTGTTCTCCTGGAATTTGATTAAACAATATTTTTATCCCGAATTTAAATTATAAACAGTTGTGGTGGAAATATATTGATCAACGCTGGAATTCGATCAGATGGACGAATCGATCCCATCTTTGAGGAGCGGTTGAGGCAACTGGGTACGTGGTTGAAAGTTAATGGGGAGGCAGTTTATTCGTCAATTCCTTGGAAGTTTCAAAACGACACCATCAGCAAGAACATATGGTGTGTATCTGTACACTAACTGTAGTGAATTGTATTGATGCTAAATTATTTTAATTGTTATTTCAAGGTACACCTCTAAACAATCTGATTCCGAAAAAGTGGTTTATGTTTTTGTGTTGAACTGGCCAGCACAAAATATTTTGACGTTAGGAGCTCCACAGCCATCATCAACCACCAAGGTTACAATGCTTGGGTATTATGATTCGTTTCTATGGAACAAACATTCATCGAGTGGAGGCATTGACATCGTCTTTCCGTACATTCCACCAACCCAGCTGCCTTCAATGTGGGCCTGGGTTCTCAAACTGCAATATTTAGATAATTAATCAACCGCCATAGATTTTGTTTTTATGCTGTTTTTTTTTATTTTTGAAAATTATTTTGCATTAACACTTTTGTCATAATTTTTATATAATTGTACGTTTCAACTTTGAATGGAAATCATTCATTTATTTGTCACATCTATGATTCTTTGTGTGACGCGGTGTAATAGTTGGTGTGCCTGGCGCTGTTATTGCCGTGATTGGGCTCAAATGTTAGAAATCTCTATCACATGCAATTTGCCAATAATTTATAGCTCCAACTCTAGCCTCCGCAACTCGAATCTCACTACTCTGACTTCAAGTCATGCTGTGTTTATACTTTACAAACCCATCGCGCGTTACAAAGTTATCTGATTACAACGTAGAATTATTAAACCAAGATAATAACCAATTACAATCCGTTAAATATCGTAATTCGACAATCCCAGCGGATATAACAATATTTTGCATCTTCTGGTCTCAGCTCAATGAAGAATAGTTTATTTTAGGTCGTTATTGCTGCGATCGAATTTAATTAAACATGTTTACAAACAGAACTTCTGGCAAACTTCACTAAAATTACGAGGGAGTCACCTTTCCTTCTTTGAGTCAAAAAACGCTTTTTTATACTTTTTTTTTATTAACTTTGGGTTTTTACAAGTGTATAGAAAATTGAATTCAAAAATTAGCACAAAAAGTAAAATATAAAACTATCTTAAAACTACAGAAGAATTATCATACGATTTTGCTTCGTAGAGATAGAGACGGTGACTTGGTTCGATTGCTACAAGGTCCCCGTTATTATTTGCTTAAGTACATGATGCATTTGCTTCTGTGCATGTTATTTTTAAAATGTTGAAATGTGCCGTTGAACAGTAAGAAAATAAAAGCACTATTTGATCCTTATACTCATTAATTGATTTATTATCTTCGACCCTCATAATATTTATTTATTATTAATTTAGGGATCTCGTGGCCGAGTAGTTCTCGTGTCCGTCTACCACTCCCACGGCTTGGATTCGAATCCGTTGGTTTATCCGGGTAGCCAACCCCCGGCCAACCCAGCCATCCATCCTTACGAGGTCGGTAAATGGGGAGACGACGTAAGTTGTCGCATGTTGGCCAGCGAGATGGCTCAGCGGTTCAAATATACTCAGCATATATGATGCGGTGCTTTGCGCGTGCACATAAATGCATGTGTACGTCGTGTGAAAAGGATAAACAGCCTTTGTGGCGAAGGTGGCTCTTTCAAATCAATGAATAAAGATACGAAGAACGTAATAAAAGATTATAGATAATATATGTATAAAATTGTAAGTGGTTCTGCGCATATCAGAACTGCAATAATAAAGACTGAAAAAATTTAATGATGGTATATGTAAAAAATAATTGATTGTGATTTTTCAAAACAGTTTAAAAAACAAGATGGTCTAAATATGCTCCGGCATATTTGCAGAATAAAATGTCATCCGTATCATATCCATGTTAGAAGATCATTAGGAATAAATCCTAAATTATCCTGCTGCCCATCCCATACCAAGGTTCATTTACGCGCCACATTGGAGATTCCGAGATGACCCACTCAAATAATTGTGCGATCTGTCCAGTAAAAATGGTTATATAGGCTATGTTAAGAGTCCATGCTAGTAAATTAAAATCTCTACAATACATCAATACATTTGTCGTTTTAATGTGTTTCATATAACATATAACTCGACACATGATGCGCTCTGCTTTTCAGCTGTGAATCACAAGACGGCTTTGTTTACATACGAATACCACCAAATAGTAATACAATATAGAGATGTATGTATCCAAGGTTTCTTTAGTTTCTTTATATGTTTTTATACATATATGTATGTTGGATGTTGGATTACCCTTAGCGCCGTTCATTTCTCTGGTTGATTCGTTGATCTTCTTAAAATACTTAATTGCTTGATATAATCAGTATAGAGTATATAATATAAATTGTTATTGTGATAATATTAATCTGTTGAGCTGTTCCTCTGAACTTACCGACAGCTTCCAAGACGACTACGTGCGTGTGATTGCACATGATCTCATTCACCGACCATTATATATATATAATTAATATATAATTTATTTATTATTTTACTTTACATCAATCGTTGTTACCATTTTATTTGTTGTCTGACTGCTAAACAATTTTTATTTATTTCTTTCTTATTATTGAAATCAAATTTTATTTTGCGACAGACGATCAACAACAACATCTACTGACAGTTCCATACTATGTCTGTGATATTATTATTATCTGTTTGTGTGTTTATGTTGGCATGTTCAACTTCAACTGCATCATCGGTCAGCAACAAAAAGACCTACGAGCCGACATGGGAGTCCATAGATTCACGACCACTACCTGCCTGGTTTGATGAGGCTAAGATAGGAATCTTCTTACACTGGGGAGTCTTTTCTGTGCCTTCATTTCAATCTGAATGGTTTTGGTGGTCACTAGAAACTAAAAATCCAGATGCTTTGGAATTCATGAGAAAGAACTACCCACCCAACTTTACATATGCAGATTTTGGTTCTCAGTTTAAAGCAGAATTTTATGATACTGATCTGCTTGCTGACATCTTCAAGGCTGCAGGAGCAAAGTATTTGAAATTTTATTTTTCAGAATCATATCAACAAATATAAATAATTTAAAAATATTAAAACAAATGTTTAGATATGTGGTTCTCACCAGCAAACATCATGAAGGATATACTAATTGGCCATCTAAATATTCTTGGAATTGGAACTCTTTAGATTTGGGACCCAAAAAGGATTTAGTAGGTGCGCCATTTGTATGTAATATATGTGTAACCAAAAAAGTCTGTTTTTATTTTTTGATGTGTGAGATTAACCACTGAAAGACCATTAATAATTCTTAGTTGCAAAAATTAAAATATTTGAAAACCAAGATATTATCATTTAAATTCTGAATAGATAGCTAATGGTAAATTCAAAAACTTTTTTGAAGTTTTTTTTTCTAAACTTTGAACTTAACAACGGGGTTGTAACAAATAACTTCATTATTGATTGTATTAATGTATTTCTTGGAAGGTGAACTTGCCAACTCGATAAGAAACAGGACAGATCTGCACTTTGGGCTTTATCATTCCTTGTTTGAATGGTTTCATCCATTATACTTACAAGACAAGAATAATTCTTTTAAAACCAACTCGTTCACAATGGTAAACTATGGTATTATTGATTATAATTGATATTTACAACAGATATTTATTATATTGGTGTGACCTGTATTTCATTATTTTATTGATGTAAAATAATGTGATATAATTATAATAATGGCATTTTAAAATATTTCAGAGCAAAACTTTGCCTGAGTTGTTTGAAATTGTGAACACATACAAGCCTGATGTTATTTGGTCAGATGGAGAGTGGGAGGCACCCTATCAATACTGGAACAGTACAGAGTTCCTTGCCTGGCTCTATAATGACAGGTAAACACTTCTTTTGTATCATGATTGCTCTCTTTAGAACATGTATGCCTTGACTGGTTATATGTGGTATCACCATATAACAGAAGTTATTGAATTTCAATTTGTTTGTTTTTTTGCATTTATATTTTAGAACATGGAAATGACTTTCAACAAAATGTGTCCAATGTTAAAAATAATTGAAAGTTAAAATAATTGTTACCAGCCCAGTGAAAGATACTGTGGTGGTGAATGACAGATGGGGCAGCGGCATGTTGTGCAATCATGGAGGTTTTTACACATGCTCTGATCGCTACAATCCAGGTTAATTATATGTTATAAAATTTCATAGTTCATTTTTCGAATTTTTTTTTTAAATATTATTTCTGTGAACAGATTAAAACATTTGTATTTAATTTACAATCTTCAGTGATATGACATTTCCTATCTAAAACTAATAAATGATGAAACATCTACAGCACCACTAACATTATATTCAAAAACAATCTTTTTCAAATACACTGATCAAAATTTATTTCTTTTTTTCTTATAATTCAGCTCATGTCATTCTATACTTAAAATTAAACTTTAGTGCCACAAAGGTTGTACATATCTGCACAAGTACATGCACATATTATGTACACGTGCCCAATTGCTTCTTTTGCATCTTTGAGTTTTGGACAAAGAGTATATGCACCAGGCTATCACTTAATAACAGCACGAGTTATAGCACTTTTATCAACTGAGCTAACTCAGTGACTAATGAAAATGAAAATAAATGTTATCTCAAAGCAGTATTTACTACTGCAGGGGTGGGCTAACTTTTTGCTGTGAGAGCCACGTTGAAAACTATTTTAACCTTGAAAGGCCACATATGTACTTAAATAGCAAATTTTTTGACCCAGAAGAGAATATTTTTAAGATTTAAGGTTCCTTTTTTGTATTCATAATGTCTGGCTGACTTTTGGCAAACACGACCTCGTGAGCCGCATAAAATAGCTTAACGGGCCGTAGTTTGCTCACCCTGTACTACTGCATTATTAATTTACTTGCTCATTTGGATATTAAGTGCAAAATGTTAAAGTAAGCTAACTTTGCTAATAATATTACTTCAGCTTAGTTTGAATATTGTAAACTAAGGGAGATCAGTGTAAAGAAAATATTTCAGAAATAAAGGTTAAAAGGTCATTTACAAGATTACAAGGTTATAAATTGAAATTATAGACTCTAACCATTATTTTCAAGTTGGGTTTTTTGCCTTTGCTTTAAATTTCAAAAATATAGATGTGAAAATATAAAAATTGTATCTTGAACTAGAATCCAAAGAATGTAATAATTTTTTTTGGAAATGAAGCAATAAATATTAAAGTTAGTTTAGAATAAAACAGCTATTGATTGTTTTAAGTATTTTGTTGAAATTTTGATAAAGAATTTAAATGAACTGCATATGAATAAGGAGAGAAGAGGAAATATATTAAAAAAGAAATTTCCCATTTTGGTAAAAGCTTCCAACTACAGTTTGTTTATCACTTTTCATCAATGTTTACTAAATTGAATTGTGTGAAAATAATTTCTGATAAGAATTGATGATTCCATGGACAATTAAAATCTTATAATCTGAACAAATTTTACATAAATAGATATTTAGGCAGATTATGACTGGAAATGAAAAAACATTAAGAATTGGATTAAAATTTGTATATGAAGCCTCGAATCTTAGATGTTGGTTAGGAAGCTGTTAGAAAAGGTCAAAATTAAGTAAATTTAGAAAGAAAATAATTTAATATAGTTGAATTGAAGTTGTGAATTTGTTCCAAAAATTTCAGGAAGTAGGTTTGACAAAATTTTCTAAAAAAAAGCTGTTGAATGCTCAACTGATATATAATATTTATCTTTAATAATATATGACGGGTGATAAAAATAATTGCAAAACCCATACATACATGATGTTAAGTTATTGTAGTATTTTCATTAAAAGGAATTCTGCAAAAGCATAAATGGGAAAACTGCATGACATTGGATCTTGGTTCATGGGGCTACAGACGTGTTGCCCAGTTCAGCGACATCATTCCAATAGAAGGTTTAATTGCTGAGGTAGCATCAACAATCAGGTTTGTTTCATTGCTTTCAAGTAGTAGTTTTTCATTAATGTTCAGCTCTGACAGACGCCTAGTTGCTAACAAATCTCTTTCTTGCATTGTTTTGAACTAAACTTTTGTGCTAAAATGGATGTATGTCTAATACACACCGAATGGCATATATGCCTACACATTTATTGAAATACAAGCACAGCGTCGTTAGGCTTGTTAGAACCATTCAGTTTGACAAAAACAACATTAAATAGAACCATAATTCAAACATATAACAAGAGAATATAAACGCGGAACGCATCTAAACAATGTCTGAACCAATTGGGTGATAAATAAATACAAACCATTTTCTTATCGATAATTTGAATGAAACTACAGTTGTGGTGGAAATATATTGATCAACGCCGGAATTCGATCAGATGGACGAATCGATCCCATCTTTGAGGAGAGGTTGAGGCAACTGGGTACGTGGTTGAAAGTTAATGGGGAGGCAGTTTATTCGTCAGTTCCTTGGAAGTTTCAAAACGACACCATCAGCAAGAACATATGGTGTGTATGTGTACATTAACTGTAGTGAATTGTATTGATGCTAAATTATTTTAATTGTTATTTCAAGGTACACCTCTAAACAATCTGATTCCGAAAAAGTGGTTTATGTCTTTGTGTTGAACTGGCCAGCACAAAATATTTTGACGTTAGGAGCTCCACAGCCATCTTCAGCCACCAAGGTTACAATGCTTGGGTATTATGATTCGTTTCTATGGAACAAACATTCATCGAGTGGAGGCATTGACATCATCTTTCCGTACATTCCACCAAGCCAGCTGCCTTCAATGTGGGCCTGGGTTTTAAAATTGCAGCATTTGATTGATTAATTTTATTTCACAGTTTTATAATTCGATCCATCGACTCATTGTCGAATATTCAACATTTTTTGATTTGACCTATTTTTATCGTGATTTGTTACTAACACAAATTTTAGGATCTGCTCGTATTTATCAACAACGTTTTTATCAATTTTTTTAAAACTTTAATTTTATTTATTTTTTGATTGTTACCGATCAATTAACTCAAATATTTGGCTAATGTATGTAATGTTTCAACTTTGTTCTAAGATATATACGACTTTTTCGAATTTTTTAACGAGCAAATAATCCTTGGGCAATATTTTATTGTCAATTTCTTTTGAGAAATTGTTGGTTATAAAGCTGCCGAAATAAGATTCGTTACAGTTCTGTCTCCAATATCATTCTACTAATGTTTTTTCTTTTTCTAATAACTTTCAATCAATCAATCAATTAGTTGATAAAGCGCTATTTCCGCGATGTTCAACAACGTTCTTCAACGAATTTTGCAAACAGATGAGTCTTGGGTCCGTTCTGAACTGCATAAGTGATGAAGAAGTAATCGTAGAAAAAGTTAGAGAGCTCCAGAGAAAAGGGCCAGATTCAGCAAAAGAGTGCGAGTTATATTTATCGATAATGAAAACACGTAAAAGTGTTATATTTTACGACGTTGAAGATTGTAAAACTAAATACTCACTTTGAACAAACTAGGAACCAGTAAATAGGCACAGTATAAAAATATCATTGAGCATGACCACCTATCATTTTGAACAGCAAAGATGGTATAGGAGTACTAAAAAAAGTTTTTCTTTTCTATCATGCATAAAATAAACAAAAATTTTGGTTTTGAACTAAAGAAACTTGGAAATGATTTACGATCAACCGTTAGAAAAGTCGAAGAGTTAAATTGGAAGTTAACTAACGCCGAACATGCTGTGATTTCCATCGATAATTATATATACATATATATATATATGTATATATATATATAAGTATAATAAAAGTAATATAATACTATATAACAATCACATTTTAACAAGTCATTATAATATCGACGTTAACGACTCACATGATTTCTTCAACATCTTGTGAGTATCAAGTAGATAATTAATGTAATGCGCTTTATATTTATCTGGTATATATTTTTGTATGTATGTGTATAGATACAAATATATGATCATTTATATGATCTTTTATATATGTATATATATATGCGCTTGCCAAATTAATGTTGTAATGCGCTTTATATGTATCTGGTATATATTTTTGTATATATGTGTATATATAGAAATATATGATCTTTTATATATGTATGTATGTATATATATATATATATATTTTATAATATTCTATAAATATATATATATATATTATATATATATATATATATATTATTACGGAAATTTATATACAGCGCTTTTTTATTGTTGAATCTCAAAAGCGCTACTAAATCATAGACAAATAAGACGGACATTCATTGTGCAAATAAATAAATTTTAAGTTGACTTCGAAATTGTAAATATGATAGGTTAGGGTCACGTAAGTATGGAGGTAAACCATTCCAAACAATCGGGCCAAGAACCGCAAAGTTGCGGGAACCCGTCACCAACTTTGTGGTCGGGGTAAAAAATAAATTGCGCTCGGTTGATCGGAAGGAATATTTTGAAAAATGAGATTTGTTTCTTTTTTGGGAAAATTGTTGTATTTTTTCTTTTAATGCTAAGCGCCATGCATTTCGATTAATATCATTTTTCATTTTCCTATACAATCGTTCCAGTTTTCGACAATTGCGTTTTAATGAACGACATTCAGAGTCAAACCAAGGAGCAGATAGTACATGAGTAGATTTGACATAACGACAAGGAGCAACCATATCCACAATTCTCACGATTTCAGAATTAAACAAATCCAACAGGGTATCAGCGGAAGATGAATTGAACGGCCCTGAAATAGGTGATTCGAGAACTAGTGAAGAAAATTGATTTTCGTCAATTTGATTCCATGAACGAGTAAGTTTCCATTTTTTCTGAGGTGTGGGAACAGAAATAGGGAAACAAATTTTAATTAAACTGTGGTCTGAATACACATTTGGTGGCTCAACGGAAAAAAATTGTGAGGGAAGGTCAGAACTAGAGGCAATTAAATCTAATGTTCCACTATGAACGTGGGTTGGTTCATTTATTCTATTTATCAATTGATATAAATCAAAAATTTCAAACAATTTCAATGCATTAGGGTCGTTCAAAAGTTCAACATGAATATTCACATCTTCAATAAGAATAACATAATTTGCTAAAAGCAATATTTGATCAAAAACAGATGATAACTCATCAAAAAACAATGGTGATGGAATAGAAGACCCAGGACGATAAATTGCAAAAACAACAATAGTTACTTTGTTGAAATAAAATTTCACAACTATAGCCTCAAACGTCTTAAATAAAGGCAGCGGAATTCTATAAAATTTAAAATAATTTTTAAAAAATACAATTATTCCACCATGGTTAGGGTCGGTCGGCCTCAGAAAATCTATGAACACAAAATCAGGTGGCAGAGTGAGTCTAAGTGATAAATTATCGGACGACCCATGCCAGGATTCCGTAACAACAAAAATATCAAAATTATTAGAAAATAAATCGCGAACAGTTTTGATCTTATTCATAATTGACCTAATGTTCAACAAACCTAATTGCAATTTTAGTTCTGAGTCTTTTTTGGTAACTTCACGATCATTACTACCACTTTTATCGTTACCATTACAACCATCATCACAATCGCAAATACCACCATCATTACCACCACCGTTAACATTACCACCACAACCATCTCCACCACTGCAAATACCACAACCACAACTATCATAATCACCACAGCTGAACAAACTAAGTTATATATATATATATATAACTATAGCTTTATATGTATCTGGTATATATTTTTGTATATATGTGTACCTGTACATATACAAATATATGATCTTTTATATATGTATGTATGTATGTATATATATATATATATATATATATATATATATAAGCATTTGGTTATATATATATATAACTATGTACTCGTTTTAAATTGAAAGAATAAAAAAGCTAACTGTTAATTATTTTGATTTTTGTATCATGAAAATATTTTCAGTTTGTGAGTAACTTTCAAATAATTTCAAAAAATTTACTGTTGTTTTAACTGTTCGAAATTACGTTTTATTTTCATAAATAAATTGTTGTGTGATGAGCGAATTTATTGTGGGAGATAATAAAATCCAAATAAATAAATTGTTGTGCAATTTGGTAAGAAATTTATAATATGAAACACATGATGGCATATATTCATGTTTTAAGTGCTACTTTAACGTTTTTGTCTTTGTCTTATTTTAAAAATAACTACTTGCCAACATGGGAGTCCATAGATTCACGACCACTGCTTGCCTAGTTTGATAAGGCCAAGATAGGAATCTTCTTACACTGGGGAGTCTTTTCTGTGCCTTCGTTTCAGTCTGAATGGTTTTGGTATTATTGGAACAATAACAATACAGATGCCGTTGAACTCATGAAAAAGAATTACCCACCCAACTTTACATATGCTGATTTTGGTTCTCAGTTCAAAGCTGAGTTTTATGATACCGACCTGCTTGCTGACATTTTTAAGGACGCTGGAGCAAAGTTAATTTCATTTTATTTCTAGCATTTTTTTATTTTATAAATTTGAAAAATTTAATTTTTATAGATATGTAGTTCTGACCAGCAAGCATCATGAGGGCTACACAAATTGGCCTTCCAATTATTCTTGGAACTGGAACTCGATGGATGTTTGTCCCAAAAAAGATTTAGTTGGTGAGTTTTTTCAATATTAATTAATTAACGCAATTTTTTGTTAATTGTTCAAAGACAACCGCAAATTAACAAGCAACAAAAAATAACAACGTCATTGACAAACTGCTTATATGTCATACTTAAAGTATGGTCACCGCGTAATAACAGCGCCAGATATGGCATTTTTATTGATTGTGCTAACTCGCCAACAATTAATACGTTGAGAAACAAAGCAAAAGCGTCACCTCTTAAAATTTTAATACTGGCATTGTTCTACTATCGTATTTTTTTCGTCAGACACTTTATTGCAAGCAAGAGCGGCATTGCACACATAATTTAATTTGTGGTGAAAACAATCTCGACATCTTAGCTAAAAAAAATAGGAATAACGACCACGTGTTACACTCTAGAGCTAAAATGTAATGTAATGACGTAATAATGTAGTAAGAAAAGATTGTATGTGATGAAGCATGATGAAGTGATGAAGCATACAAAGCATATATAAAACATATGTAGCCCTAATAACATAATGGAGCAATAGCTTTCCGGTCAACATTTAAGGTCAAGTTTAATTTATTTAATTCAATTTATTTAATTCCATCATTTGCAGCTCTTGGTGTATTGCATTTCCAAAATTATATAATGTTTTTCAATATTCCATATTTGTTTTATGTAAATAAACGTTACTAAAGTTAATGATTAATGAATGTTACAAATGAAAATTTTATTTGACATTAAATTTTGATATTGTTTTAAAAAGAGAACTTGCTAATTCCATTAGAAAAAGAACTGACCTTAAATTTGGATTGTATCATTCTTTATTTGAATGGTACCACTCTTTATATTTAAACGACAAAGGCAACCAGTTCAAAACGAACTTATTCACAATGGTATGTTATTTATTTGATTTTGCTTGATTATCTTTTTATTAGAATTATTATTACCAATCAAATTTTACTACCATGCCATAATATGTTTCCAAGTTTTATTACCATCAAAATTTCCATTGTAGAATTGTTTTTTCTAGAAACGCACCGCTGAAATTTTAGGTTCGACCTTTTTTAAAAGACCGAATAGCCAAATATTGATATTTTTTAGTTTCGTTATATTTATCTTCTAAAACCGCATTGTTGATTATAATTAGCGAGAAATTTATTTTGACCACCATGGCTGTTAAAACATCTAAAATCGATCAGTAGATTAAATATTACTCTATAAAAAATAGTTGAATGGAATTAAACAGCTTTTTTTTCGAATATATATTTTCACGTGCAAGGCCTGTTGTCGGCAGGAAGTATTTGTGGATGATTAGATTTATTGTTCAGTATTCAGGTCAAAGTATTTTATATTTTAATTAGTTAAGTACTTCTTATGTGAACGAATTCTAACAAAATAATTATATGAGCTACTTTACCCCATAAACGCCTAAAACAAAACTAGCGTAGTTAGAAAAAATGGTATAGTTTACCATATACAAAAAGTAAAAATAATTCTGTCATTTAATTTCAAAATATAGGGTTCTAATATGAGGTCGTTAGGCTCAAAGACAGATTTAAAGGAACCAGTCATGAGCAGTATTTTTATTAAAAATCAGTAAAACTCAGTTTTTACACACGAAAACACCGTTTTAAGTTGAAAAGTTACCCAAAAATTTGCGAGATAAGCAAAGTAAAAATCTCAAGCCTAATTATGTTAGTTTTAGTGGTTTTTGATACCAAGTCAAATTTTAAAATTAAATTTCAAAAATTTTAGGCCTCCCCTCAACGGTTTCTAAATCCGCCCTAGTTCGGCTGATATATAGTGTTTTTCAAAACATCCTTTCATACCGATTTGCTACTGATGCAATTTGTTCACATCTTTTACAATAAAAATTATAGGAACATAAATTTTTTATGTTAATACTAACTAGCTAAATCTATTAATAAATCAAAAAAAATCATCTTTATTTAGTCTGCGTTGTTAAACAATATTACTTTAACAACTTTTTTTATCCTGCTTACTGATAAGTTTGCTTAAGGCTATTTCCTATTTAACTCAATTATTATTATTAGTGTATTTGCAAGCACCCTTTAAAAAGATCTCAGAGGCGCTAACGATTTATAGAAGTACATTGCGCAGCTTGTTATTAGGGCAATGCAGTGAATGAAAAGCTTGGGAAAAAGATAGTGTTCCAACCTTTTACGAAATTGGATAACAGACAACGCAAGATCACCATTTCAGACAGCATGAACCATTACGAAAAAAATTTTATGACTAATTGCCGAGTTTGTATCAGACACAAATAGTAAACCTGCATTGTCAGACCCCAATGTTTGACTCAGCAGTGGCATAGGCATTGTTCTGGGAAAGTCTCTGTCACTTAAATATTTAGGGGCGACTCCTTTAATACATTTAAAAACTGTTAAATAAATATTAAAAATAATTTTCTGATAATCAGAAAGCCAATGAAGAGCAAAAAGAATTGGTTGTATTTAAGACCACCTAAAACCAACCTTGCAGTCCAATTTTAAACCAACTGCTGTCTAGCCATACTTTCACTTAATAAGCCTTAATATAGATCAATGCAAGTCAATTGAAAAGTATGTCTGTTTAAAGATCGTTTGATGAAGATAAGTCTACGCAATTATCCAGAGCATTCTTTTAAAACTGTCCTAGTTTGAACGTTAAAAGACATGTTATTATTAAAAATAAATCCCAGGTTGCGTGCATATATGCAAAATTCGATGTCAGAATCACCAAGTCTTATAGACTCAACGTTCATTTTTTTTTTCAATTGATGCCTGGTACCAACCGTTAAAAACTGAGTTTTTGAATGATTTAATTGAAGCCTATTTGCAATATCCACCCATTAATTTCCTAAAGACATGGCAATCCCTGTCTTATTAGTCTTTATGTTTTTTATATAATATAATCAGTATTTACATGCTGGATGCTTTTAACATTAGATTAGTGGCAAAATGTGATGTAACTTTCGGTAACTAGTTAAATCTTTTCAGAGTAAAACCTTGCCTGAATTATACGAGATAGTGAACACGTATAAGCCGGACGTTGTTTGGTCGGATGGAGATCAAGAAGCTTCCTATCAGTATTGGAATAGTACCGAATTTCTTGCATGGCTTTATAATAACAGGTTGATTTTCAATTAAAAATTAATTGTATTTATAACAAGAATCAATGTTGAATATTACAAAATTAAATAGTCCAGTCAAAGATACCGTAGTTGTTAACGACAAATGGGGAAAAGATATGATGTGCAAGCATGGGGGATTTTACACATGTAACGATCGTTACAATCCAGGTTAGATAAAATAACTTTTTAAAAAATTGGTATGATTTAAACTGCTTATTAATTTTTAGGAATTCTGCAAAAGCATAAATGGGAAAATTGCGTGACATTGGATCTTGATTCATGGGGCTACAGACGAGTTGCCCAGTTCAGCGACATCATTCCAATAGAAAGTTCAATTGCTGAGGTAGCATCAACTATTAGGTCTGTTTCATTGCTTTCGTGCAGGTCTTGTTAGTTATTATGCAGTTCTGACAGACGCCTAGTTGCTTACAAATTTGTTTCTTTTTTCTCCCATTGTTTGGTTTCGAATTAAACTTAATTGCTAATACACACCACAGGACAAACGTGGCTACGCATTTATTGAAATGCAAGCACTGCGTCATTAGTGCTTATTAGAACCATTCAGTTTGACGCAAATAACAATAAATAGAGTGCAATACATCAAACAAGCAACCCAACAATAAAAACGCGGAACACAGTCTGAATCAATTAAAACAATTATTTATCGATAATTTGAATGAAACTACAGTTGTGGTGGAAATATATTGATCAACGCTGGAATTCGATCAGATGGACGAATCGATCCCATCTTTGAGGAGAGGTTGAGGCAACTGGGTACGTGGTTGAAAGTTAATGAGGAGGCAGTTTATTCGTCAGTCCCTTGGAAGTGTCAAAACGACACCATCAGCAAGAACATATGGTGTGTATGTGTACATTAACTGTAGTGAATTGTATTGATGCTAAATTATTTTAATTGTTATTTCAAGGTACACCTCTAAACAATCTGATTCCGAAAAAGTGGTTTATGTCTTTGTGTTGAACTGGCCAGCACAAAATATTTTGACGTTAGGAGCTCCACAGCCATCTTCAGCCACCAAGGTTACAATGCTTGGGTATTATGATTCGTTTCTATGGAACAAACATTCATCGAGTGGAGGCATTGACATCATCTTTCCGTACATTCCACCAAGCCAGCTGCCTTCAATGTGGGCCTGGGTTTTAAAATTGCAGCATTTGATTGATTAATTTTATTTCACAGTTTTATAATTCGATCCATCGACTCATTGTCGAATATTCAACATTTTTTGATTTGACCTATTTTTATCGTGATTTGTTACTAACACAAATTTTAGGATCTGCTCGTATTTATCAACAACGTTTTTATCAATTTTTTTAAAACTTTAATTTTATTTATTTTTTGATTGTTACCGATCAATTAACTCAAATATTTGGCTAATGTATGTAATGTTTCAACTTTGTTCTAAGATATATACGACTTTTTCGAATTTTTTAACGAGCAAATAATCCTTGGGCAATATTTTATTGTCAATTTCTTTTGAGAAATTGTTGGTTATAAAGCTGCCGAAATAAGATTCGTTACAGTTCTGTCTCCAATATCATTCTACTAATGTTTTTTCTTTTTCTAATAACTTTCAATCAATCAATCAATTAGTTGATAAAGCGCTATTTCCGCGATGTTCAACAACGTTCTTCAATGAATTTTGCAAACAGATGAGTCTTGGGTCCGTTCTGAACTGCATAAGTGATGAAGAAGTAATCGTAGAAAAAGTTAGAGAGCTCAATCAATCAATCAATCAATCAATCAATCAATCAATCAATCAATCAATCAATCAATCAATCAATCAATCAATCAATCAATCAATCAATCAATCAATCAATCAATCAATCAATCAATCAATCAATCAATCAATCAATCAATCAATCAATCAATCAATCAATCAATTAATCAATCAATCAATCAATCAATCAATCGATCAATCATTCAATCAATCAATCAATCAATCAATCAATCAATCAATTAGTTGATAAAGCGGTGTTTCCGCGATGTTCAATTTTAGCAACCCTATTAATCTGAGAAGATTTTTATTTCGCAACAACAAACCATATCTTTGTTTGAAAAAAACATTAAAAATTAATGAATCCATATTAAAAGAAAAAGAATTTAATTTTTCAAAAAAACCTATTTTTATTGTTTTCATTTATTTATTTTATACAGTAGTGTATGAATTCTACCGATTTGTTGAATTTATACAATACTGTATATAATATAGTCTCCTTCCAATATTTATTTATTTATATAAATTCAAATATATTTTTGAAAAAACATTAAAATACATTGAATCCGTTTCAGTTATTACTATTGATGATAATAATAATAATTATTAATAGTTTATTATATATAAGTTTTTATTTATTAACCATAATTAGTTATTTATCCTCATACATATATAGAATATTATAATTATTTGCCATTTTTTCAATTTTGTCCATTTTTTTTCTTAACAACGTCATAACTTATTAAGTCACTAATTAGTCAATTAACCAGTTAATGACTTTTTTAAATCATCATTTTATTTTCCATGCTTATTATGCTTACCTATATGTACGTTCTCACTTAGTTACTTATTTTTTGTTATCATTTTATAGGTTTTGCATGTTTTAACAGTTTGTCAAATTCTGATTTTTTAAAGAATATAAAAAATGATACAATATTTATGAAATCTTAATTTGTTTTAGTCTGACTCGTTTTCCATATTAACTGAAACATTGATTTAGTGCTGTTGAACAACTGACCATTTCCAATCACTATCGTTCTGCGTTCGTTATTGTTTTTAGCAAACTAAATGAATATATAATACTATAGCGAGATAGAATTCAATGAAAATTATATGAATAAATAAATTAATTAATTAACAATTAATTCTTTCCAATAACTTGTTTCTAAATTCCGGATCGACGTTTGCGGATCCATAAACTTTATAAAAAGTTTGAGAACGGGATTGAAGATTGCCACAAGTCACGGTAAGTATAAATATAAAATATATATACTATATATGCACAGTGAGACATGGCTGTAAAAAGAGAAAGTACGTTGATGTACCCATGCATAAGTAAAGTATATTTTTGCTAAGACATATGTAAATGTAAAATGTTTAAAATAGACTTTTATTTTATTTTATAGACATGTTCATTCATATAAAATAAATGTTTACAATATTCTATAAAGTATAAGTATAAAATAAATTCTACTGAATTCGGTAGAATTTATAGAATATTGTAAAAATTATGGTCTATTACCAACATATAAATGTTTGTAAATATATATAGTTATATATATATATATATATACGTTTATGTAAAATAATAACTAAAAAAAAATTAATTTAAAAATACTTCTCTATTAAATCAATCGAATACTTCAACCGTCTGAAAGCTATGAAGGATGGAATGGCAGCAGGACCCTCTGGACTCACAAATGACATTATCAAAGCACCTGGTACTGTAGGTATCCTAATGTTACTACAACTTTGCCATGAAATCTAGAGAAATTGCTCAATGCCGACTGAATGGAACTATAGCATAACAGTCCCGCTATACAAAGGCAAAGGTGATCCATTGAACTGCTCATCATATCGGGTATACGTCTGTTAGAACACTCCCTGAAAATTGTCGAGAAAATCATTGAGAGAAGATTAACGTCGTGCATCACAATCGGAAATTATCAATTTGGTTTCCTAGTGGGGAAATCTACAATTGAAGCAATTCACATCCTTCAGCAACTGCAAGAGAATTACCTCGCAAAGCATCAACGGTAAAACGTGAGATCGGTACTCCTATGGTATCGTCCATGTTTACAAACTATCGCAATGTACTTTTAATAAATTGAATTGTCTAGCGCTTGATTATTTATTTATATCAAATTGAAAATAATTTAGATCATTACTATAATAATAATTTAGATCATTACTTGTCAAATATGAATGGCTTATGCAGTGGTTAACAGGGTTAGGGTTAGGGCCTCCCTTTGTAACAAAATTTTCAATCATTTCACAAATATGGAGTGGTTAAAATTTTCAATCATTTTTATCATTTTAATCACTCCATAAGCCATTGATTGTTATCAAAACAGAAATTTACTCATATTTTAACTTTTTTTTATTTAATGTTCACTATTTCAACTATTTGACAAGTAACGATCTAAAAAACTTACCTAATTAAATTATTTTCAATTCAACACGGGCAGAGTCAATTTATTAAAAGTACATTGCTATAGTTTGTAAACATGGATGATACCATAGGAGTACCGATCTCACGTTTTACCAGCATCAGCAACTATCACACATTTTTGTAGACCTTGAAAAAGCATTTGATCGAGTTCCCCGTGAAGCAATCAGTCGGAGTCTATGTCGGCAACTCATTCCAGAATATCTTGTTCGACTTGTGATGGAAATGTACATGAATACTAAGACTCTCATCAGCACAACAGTTGGAAACACAGATGCATTTGACATCAGCATGGGAGTTCACCAAGGCTTGATTCTCAGTCCATATATATATTATTTAGCTATATTATCCGTCACATACTATTATATAGTATATACACGTGAACAAGTTCTTTTTCACAAAGATCAGCTTATAATTTATGCATAACCTATTTTATAACATAAAGAAAATTGTCCAGCTCACCTCACAATTAGTGATGTTGTTATTATATGTCATGTATGCTTAGCCTTTAAATTATTGACATAAAATTAATTGAATTCAATAAAATTTATTTTTCTATTTATAACATTTTTAATTGTTGATAGACGCCTAAATCCGGATTCGGCCGGATTTGAAAAAAAGCCGGATTTCAGCCGGATTTGAAAAAAAGCCGGATTTAGGCCGGATTTGAAAAAAAGCCGGATTTCGGCGTAGCCGAACTTCGGTGCATCTCTAAATTAAAATGTATACAAAGTTTTTAACCATTTTCATTCCCTACTGGAAGAGAAGTACCATGAATTTCCACTGAACCATTGCCCCCTGTAAATTAAATTAATTTTTTTACTACACATTAAATTGCTGTAACAAAAAATTAGTAAAATGTGGTTGATGAACCAAAGTATATATAGTTTTTGCCTTCTTCAGTTCTTCATACATCTGACTATGACTATAAATGATAAACTTTTTTAACCATTATTATTTGATACCGGAAGTGGAAGCAAACCACTACCATTTGATACCACTGAATCTGTGCCTCCTGTAAAGTATTAATTTTTTATTACACATAAATTTGTTCTAATTATAAAATTGTAAAAATTGTTTTATCGCGTCCTCTAAATAGTAATAAAATCTACTCAACTAAATATGCATATATAACAAAACTATTTAAATAACTGAAAAACAGAAAAAATGACATTACTGGGTCTGCCGATTTCCAACTCCATGCTGATGATAATGTGGTTGATAAACCAGAGTATATATAGTTTTTGCCTTCTTCAGTTCTTCATACATCTTACTATGATGTACAATTTGTATAGGATAATATCGGGCAATTTTGGTAAGACATGTACTTGGTGCAGATCATAGGCAATTCGATGCGTTCCATTTACTTCTGTTCGTAACGCTTTGTAAAAAGCATTTTTCCGTAACAAGTGAACCTTTCTCTCGGCAACCAACTTCTTTCTTTCGTGCTCATTCCGATGCTTTCGAATCAGATGCCTGAAACGCTCACATGTCGTACATGCATCTACTTTTGGGGACCCAAAGCCAATGTTAAATTCTCTGGTAAAAATCTTGTAGAACATTTGAAACGAAGAAGTTGTGCTGTTGTACATTCTCCAGAGTTGTCTGCTGCTCTTCAGTTCAGCTGGAAGGTACACGCGAATACTTTTGTTCCTTTCGTAATGGCTCTCACGTGCTCGAAGACTTTTTATGAACGTTCTTATTTGCAGCTCCTTTGATATCGACTTGTGCGATACACGGTCGCCTCCTCTTCCTTCGACTGGTAATCCAAGAAATGCTTGCTTCAGCAATCTAGTTAGTCTGGTCTTCTTAATTGGGTGTATTCATCCTGAAAAACTATCCTGCATACTCTTTTCTTCATCCCCGAAATTGCTGATTTTATGAAATAAGAAGAAGCCAATGACCTATTTCTTTTTGGTTCAGGTGCTCTCTTACTTACTGATTTTATTGTTTCAACATGAGCGGCAACAAATTAATCTTGTTCAACTTTAGAACACGTTGCAAACAACTGTGTCTTGAAAGGAAGAACATCCTATTGTGTTACCTTTGCACACTGGTATGTCGATCGTGTCGGATCATGAGTGCATGAAACGTACCAATTAAGGTCATCTACTTTAAAAGTGTGCCTGAAATTTAATAATTATATTATATTTATTTGTAATGAATTACTTGTAAAAATATCAACAAAATGATTGTATGGTAAAGGAGTAATGAAATTGAGCAATAATAATATTACTAAAAGTTTTTTTTGGAATAAAGCATGAGGTCATTGTATCAATGCAAGAAGAAGACAGTACTGTTATGGTAATACTTTAATAATGACTGTCTTAAGTCATATTAAAAATAATGATACTTTTTTCTTTTTTCATAATATTTTTATCCTTTTTGATAACAAAGTGGCTGCATAAGAGCTGCAAGCAGAAGACAAGTACTGAATTTCAAGACGGTAACTGCTATAATTAAACTATTCTATTGTAATAAATTAATTCCAATTATTTTGACTAAATGCGCTGCGGAATCTAAAATACTACTAAAATACTATTAAAATTTTACGAAAAGAACATTATTGTAACAGTAGTGATGGCTTGAAGCTACCACACATCCGTCTTCCAAAATAACCCCTATATCCCGATCTCCTACCATTCAAGCTGTTGTTTACTGCGCTTGTTCGACGTTATTGTATTCTTTCGTGTGCCTTTGTTGATGTCCTCAATTAATCCGCTTAACTCTTCTTCGGAACTCATGTTTAAAATATAGTTATTAGTTTTCTGACTGGAAATAATTATAATATTGTCAATAAACAAAATAAACAAACAAAATAAATAAACAAAATATCTTTCGAATCGACCGCAAAACTAGTAAACATCAAAAGAAATGTCAGTCACGTTACGCTAACAAACACGCCTCATGGATTAAATTTGTTTTGCCCAACTCATAACTTTGGATTTAACGTCATATGCACGAAATGAGTTCTTTTGCTATAAGAAAATTACATGAATATAACGTAGTCTGCACGAAAATCATCAACCAAAGAGAAAAAATGATACTGCTGTTTAATTTCATACCACGAAGCCATAGCATAGCAAAAGTGGATTTTAACTTGTTTTGCATAATCGCTCCTCATTTTGCAATTCATTCGTGTCAATGAAAAATTCATAAAAGTTTATCATTCATTCACTGTATATAATACGATTTGATCTGTGTGTGGGATATTGATTTGATTTTATAAATCAAAATAAATATATGGTATAACAAAAAAATGGGTAGGGTGATGATAAAATATCAAGTGTATTTTAACGCGGCTGTGACTGTGTGGATAATAAAACTCGTGATCGTGTTGTAAAATTTTATTTCGTATTGATATAATATCTAAACAGTCTGCGTGGTCGACACATGTGTTTCAATAGTTATCATCAGGAACTGCAGACTTATGTGTCGCGTAGAATCCCCCGTATATTAATATTCAAACCGCGGCGTTTCCAATAAAAAATATATAATTAAAAACTAGAATAATTCGGAACAACGATCGCGATAGTTATAAACGAGGTGTAAATCTGACGTTATTACATATCCGAGACAATTTAAATAAATTTATATATTTGTATATAAATAAAAAGTTCATTACTTCAAAGCAAGGCACTGCATTACCCATTAAAACATTTCTATTTTTGTTTTTTGATTTTGGTTTAAAATCTTTGTCACAAAAATGATTACTGCAAATTCTGGTTTTGCTGTTGGGTAACCAATTCACATCATCTAATACCTTTCTAACAAATTATATCCATTTTGTAGAAGTGTACAATTTTTCAATGGAAATCTTTTTTGTGTTAATATAATAGATTATAATATAAAAAAATCAAAATTAAAATCATTTTTGGACACCTAACGTCCAACCATGCTAGCCTCAGCCTGGGTTAGGTTTTAGAAACAGCAAGACTTCATAACTTTGCTTTAAGAAGGCTTCCTTAAAACCCTACCTACCCTAACAAACAGTAACAAGAAATACATCCATAGATAGACTAGAACCTGGGCGCTCGTCCATTTTATATTTCATTACAATGCAAATTTGTATGTTTAACTACAAGAAATAGAAATTTAAAAAAATATTACACTGTTTAGTGTTTACTATTGTGTCTGTGTTTGAAAACTGAAAAGTAATATACTACTAGTACTAAACAACTTACTAAATACTAGCTAAACAATGTTATTTAAATAATAACTAATTACTGTCGTTGCCTTACTTATGCAACATTTTCGACTTTTCATTTTGAAAAATAAAATTGATATGTAAAAATATAGATTTAAAAAATTCAAATAAGAATCATGCAAACAAGACACGTCCGTAACACCAGCATCATGAATATGATTTTCAAATTTGATGATCAACTCAACAACAAATAAATATGGAGTGCCGAAATACTTTTGAGTTAAAATGGAGAAACTGAAGAAGTTGAAGAAATCATTAATGCATGAAGCACATGCAAATTTAAAACACTTGTTTTAACTTAAAAAATCCTGCTTCCCGGAGGCTGCTGGTTCCAGCTTCTGACGTGTAAAACAATGTCTTCGCTAATGTCATTTTTCAATAAGGACGATAACTGCACAATGAGATTGTCAGTAATTGACAATAACTTTTGCGGCCGCCATGTTAAATCTTCTAAAGAAGAATCTTCCGCTTTCTTTTTTCCCTTAGCCGCCATTAAGAAACAAATTTATTATTATTAAATTATTTTAACGAAATACAATTTTTATATGTAATTTAGAGAAAAAAAAACGGATTGTTTTTTTCAAGCGATATTAACGATACCAAAGATATATATACGTAGTTTTATATATATATATATATATATATATATATATATATATATACATACATATATATATATATTGGATATATATAAAGTTTTATGAATTTTAATTTTATTAAAATTCATAAAACTGAATAACAGAGTTTTACAACAATTTTACCAAGTGTCCTCAAAAAAGAACGCTGAACGCTAATGGGTTAACTAAATATTACGATGTCGTGTATGTGCGATCTGTGTCATATAACAATATGTTACACTTTGATTTCGTGCATAATTTTACAGGACATAAACCAATGAAAAGGAAAAACTAAATTAACAAAATGGGCAGTCTGTTACTATCCAATATGCGTACTACATCACTGTTATGTGGATAAATGATGATAAAAATGTTTAGAAAAGTATGCCACACAAAAAGTTTTGATTAACGCACACAGATTTCGACTGAAACATAAACAAAAAATATGAAAAATCAACCTCCTTAGTTTCTGAATTTTGTATTGCACAAAAGCAATTCAGCGTCGCTTTGCGCAGCTGTTTGTCATTTATTTGAAATGAAATTCTGTAAGAAAGAATGTTTTTAAAATAACTCGGTCTGCAATAGCTAAATACATTTGACAGATAAATTTTAAATAACCTCCTGCTCAAATTTCATAGCATGATTTTTGCAAATCATAACCCTTGCGTTGAGTTCCATTGATTTGAAGCATCTTATCATTTACTCTTTCAAGTTACATTGATTGAATGCTATTACTGCAGCATTGATTAAGGCATATGAAAAATCAACCACTATTAATGAGAGATTCAATGTGGATGAAGTGAACATACTGGTGGCTGTAATAAATTCATTGAATTTTGATGCTATTAACCAGCTTCTGTGGTATGTTGACAAAAATTCGAAAACCAAATGATTTCGATTAGTGAAAACAGAGTACAGATAAGGCTTTTTTTCATTTTTTATATTTTGTATGATTCCTTCTGTACTGTCGATGTGTAATGAGCACGGAACTGCCGGAACACTATGACGAACGTCGTTTAACAATGCTTCAATTTAAGATTCCGTGTACAACGAAGCATGAAATTTTTTGTTGCTAAGGTGTTGAACGTATCTGGGCAATGTTGGATGAAGTAATGTTTTCAACCACATTTCATTCAATATTTTGATTTCATTGAAACTGGCCTTGTCAAAGCGGCTGTTAATTTTCTTTCTCTATATAAATTGTTTTGTTGCAGCCAAAGTACTGCACTTCGTAATGTTACCTGTGTGGTGATATTTTTAATGACCGAAATTTATATCGTACTATTTATTATAAGGTGAAAATTTTAAATTAAGTTGCGAAGGAAGAAGAAAGTTAACCGGTTTCAATTTCTTGTGGAGTTTCATTTAACAGTGACCTATAAATAGCTTTAGGAGTTTTATTGGTGTTCGTAAGCTCTCTTATCTTTTTTTTAGTGTCACTGTTAATGTGACGACTGTGCAGTCCAGTAGACGAATGATTTATTTCTCCATTGACAGTTACATTTATGATCACGTCTTTCTCACGTTGCGGAATTTTTTTTATTTTGAAAAAAAAAACTGCAACATTCTGAAAAGCTGCACCTCGCTTTCTCTCAAAATCAAAATCTACTGTTTAAATTTTTTTTTAATGAATAAAAACGCAGACACAGTTATGATAAATAAAGTGAAATAACCACGTTAACCATTTTTTAAATATATTTTGATGCAACATTTTAACTACAATGTAACTGAGTTCACGGCAAAAATACTTTAATACTCAAAAAAAACCAAGCGTAATTCTTTACAGTCAGGAATTGAAATAACGAAACTATTGTTATTAACGAAAAAATTAATAACGAAAAATATTGTTTGAATTTCGAACTTAATTTAACAATAATAACGACGTTAACAGTACTTTCCACCGACATTCGCTTCTTGACCAAAACTCGCCAACAATCCCCTTTTTCCAGCTCACCTGCCTCTGAAGCGCATTCCGTCCGGCTAGCACCTAACCTCGAACCGTGACATACAATTTTGCCATGAATAAACATATTTAATAATTTATAAAACAACAATCCTGTATCAATTGGTGTAAAATAATTTGAAATCTACTGCCAGAATATGTTTTAAATGAAAAAGAACAGAGACGCAGTTTTAATAAATAAAGTGAAATAGCCACGTTAACCATTTATTAAATATATTTTTATACAGCATGATAACTATAATTTTGCCATGAATAAATATATTTAATAAATTTTAGAACAAATAATACTGAATCGATTGATGTAAAACAATTTAAAATCATCTGCTAGAATATTTTTTAAATGAATAAAAACCCACGGTTTTGATATTTCCACGGTTTTGATATTTTTTGTTAACAATGTAGCCATGACCTCAAACGATCATTAAAGTATTTAGGAAGCAGCATGTTTTAACTACAGTTTTGCCACAAATAAATATATTTCATAATTTTATAATTTGCCACATTAATATTTTAATTTGATTAAAATGTGACGTAAACATTCTCGCTAGATTGAAGCCTGTGACTCCATTGTTGAACATTAGGAACATCCAAAACATCGCGAACATTAACGTCAGGAGCAACATTCAGGACATCAGGAGAGAACATCAAAATGGCCTGTCTGGATGAACCGTGGAGGAAGCAGATCTTGAGGGATTTGAAAGAACGAGACAACAATCAATATGATGTCTTTGCGCAACTCATCAGATCATGTGTGTTCATATGTCCTTACATTTGTTTGTTTGTTGTTTGTTAGCTTTTTTCATTTATTTTTCATCAATTAAAAAATGCTTGCATTGGTGCATATGATTGACCATCTCACATCGACGCCCTCGTGCCTTCATGCGACAAACATCAACCCGATGTCAAAACTGGACCAACTCAATGAGTTGACGAGTCATACCAGACTATGATATAAATTTTCAACAGTTTAACATTTTAAGTCATTTAATTTCCAGATGTATATTTCCAACCGCTGGATAATTATAAGCAACACGGCATAATATGAAATAAGTTTAGATTAATCTTTTAAAATATTAATTCCAACAAAACTAGTAGAAGTGACAACATTGTTTGAAATATTCATTCATTCAATTTTATGACAATAACACAACTGTTCAGTGTTCATATAACATCTATGCTGTTATTATTGCAGTATACAGTATAATGTTATTTCTCGCCAATCGACCAAAGCAGACAGACATACACACCCACACACACACTCACGTATTTCAACAAATAACCACACACATACACACACACACACACTAACAAACAATCACTTACACAAACAACCACTCACACCGCCAGACAACCACTTTTTTGATTGTTCAGAGAGTTACAGAGCCATGAACATTCGCTTGGAAGTTGAGATGAATAGATTAAAACATAGGTACAGGTTTGTTATAGTTGTTTTGATGTTGATGTTGTTGTTTATGTTGATGTTATTGTTTTGTTGATGTCATTCATATTGTCTATTTGCCAATGAAAATGTTGATGTTGTAGGTGAGGTTGTTGCTTCTGTTGATTTTGTTGCTGCTGTTGATTTTGTTGTTGTTGATGATTGGACATTATTTTGACATTTAAATGAATTAACACTCATCCATCGCGTTAGTTGTGGTGACGGAACATCATTATCATCACCTCAGTCCATGGTATCATCATCAGCATCGTCGTCACAGGAGGCTGAATTGTTGCAGTTGAAGGAGAAGTTGAGGCAATGCAGAAATGAATTGCTGGAAGCATACAGATCTCAACAACAGGTGGTGGTGGTGGTGGTACGTAATGTGGTGGTGGTATGGTAATGTGGTGGGGGTGAGATGGTGGGGGTGAAATGGCGGTAGTGATGAGGATATGATTGATGAGGGTGATGATGTGATTATGGTGGAAGTGGTGATGATGTGCGGATGTAGTGGTGGTAACGATGATGTGCTTATGATGAAATAATGGTGATAGTCAGAATGATGAAGTGATGGTATTGCTGATCATGATGTTGAAGGCCCATTAAAAAATTTTTATACAGGCTACTGTTCAGGTCAATGAGCTGAACAATACTATCAAAGTTAAAAATCAAGAAGCCAGCTCACTTACTGCCAAGTTTGTGATGTTGTTGTTGATGTAGTTGTTGGCGTTGTATTTTTGTTGATGTTGTTGTTGATGTTGTTGTTTTTACGTTGATGTTTTTGTTGTTATTATTGTGTTATTGTTGTTGTTGATGGTGGAATTTTATCTTGGAATGTAGTAGAAAAACATGCTTAAAATTATTGCTGAATTTTCATGTTTGCTTGCTTTTGACGTTGTTACATCATACCAGCATGTCCGTTACATGTTTATTCATTATGTTATATTACACTGTGTTATTGTGTTGTTTGTGCTGATGTTGTGTGTTAATTGTTAGTGAGATTATGTTGTTGTTGGTTGCTTTTCCACGCGTTGTTTTTTGATTAGATTCGTGTGTGTGTGTGTGTTGTGTGTGCGCGTGTGTGGGATGTGTAGTTTATGTGCGCGTGTGTGTGGTGTTGAGTAAAAAATATAAATATATAAAATGAACATTCGAAGGCTAAAGGTTCTGGAGAAAAAATGTGAGGATCTGACTGAAGAAAAAGCAAACATGGAGCAGAATTTGCATGATCTGGATGCTACCAATCTGGTTGGTTGGCTGGTTGGCTGGTTGGTTGGTTGGTTTTTTTGGTTGGTTGGTTGGTTGGTGGTTGGTTGGTTGGTTGGTTAGTCGATGGTCGGTTTGTCGGTCAGTCGGTCG